TGTTGTGGAAAGTGTTGTATGAACATGCCTTCAAGCTGGAAGACCGAGAGTGAAAATAAGGACAAAAATGAGGAAGGCAATAACGGCAAGGACACTGACTGAGCCCAATGTCGATGAGGTAGTAAGTGCTAAAGCACTGATGGAGAGACAGGGGTCAATTATCTCTTCATCATAACCTTCTTCCCTGAGGATTTATAAATCAAAGCTAATGAAGTCCCCCTCATTTCATGATTTGTACGCCACTTACGAGTTCACCCTCCAACCCAATGAACTCACTGTCCAGTTCTTGGCAGAAAGCCCCTGCCACATGATTTGCTGTAAATAGGTAAGTAGATTTTCAAGAGACAGAAAATAACATTTAGCAACATTAGCGACAAAATAACATTTAGCAACACAAATATTCTCAAAGTAGAATTATCGATAATATGAATCCATCATCAGCTGACCATCACGAGTCAAAGCACTGACAATCAGAAGACAAACTGGCTTAGGATGAGCTTTGCAGTCTGCTATTAAAAGGAGAAGATTTTGAGCAGCTGGTGCATTCAGGATCACCATTAGGCATCCCAACAAGGCTAAGAGGAAACATAAGTTGAAGTAGAGCGGCACCAAGTGGTCATATGTGAAACTGTTAAAAAAGCATTACCAGCACAATTCAACAATCTGCTGCTCCAACACAGCTCTAAAATACTTAGACACAACACAAACAGCTCCAGAACTAAACCTTAGACATAGATGAAACCATAAAAAACATCATAAACTAGGTAAAGATACATAAACACTAATGCAGGAAACCGAAACAACTGATAAAATAGTAACACCAAAACCTTTTCTAAAGGATATCTGCAGCTAACAGCATTTGAAGAGTCTGTCAGCAAACTACTTCTGTGAATCTAATGCTGAGTGTACCGTAAGTACAAAAAAGAAACAAGCTAATGTTGGATTAAAACAAAAGAATATTAATTAGAAATCTTGTTAACTATTTTTAGGGGAAACTGTAATATTGTTCCAGCTGAAATAGTTGCAGAGAAAATAACAGAAAGTAGAAACTACACATCAGAAAATGATGGCAGTAGACCTTCCTACTATCAAGACCCCAGGTTGGTCATCCTGAAAGTATCAATGGGATGGCTTTATTCCACTACAATTAAAGCAGGGACAAATTAGCTAAAGAGGGATGAATTTATCTTTAAATAAGAGAAAAAATCCTGACAAGACCGCTAAATTTGTTAGTTGGTTACAACACGCATTACACATTCCCTCACAATACTAAAAAATCAAAATGTAACATCTGTAAACTGTCCCTGCTCCCAAAATAATATGCTTCCCCCTTTTTTACATCGTTATCCCACTCCACATCCCATCTTTAGTTTAAATACCATATTTTCCATGAGAACTCCAATACATTTAGTAAAAATACAAACAATTGTCCAGTCGTGTCCTCAAGATTTCACTTGGTCCCAATACTTTAACCAAACCATGTTCTTGAATTACCATTATTTAGGCCCTACTGGGAATTAATCAAGCCTGAATGAGTAAGTCCTGTATTGAAGGCCACAGTGGGGGTAGGCACAGACAGGTCATAGCGAGTATAGGCCCTGAATTCTGATCCCAGCAGGGGCCTTCCCTTGTAGAGCTAGAAATTCCTGGATCTCACCACAGGGGGCCCGAGCAAGCATTTCAAACACCAAAATCCTCCATAAAGATGAACCTGGACAAGAAAATCCTGCGTACTCCTTTGGATCATAGTTAGCAATGATAACATACAGGACCTACATTCATAATCCAGCAGTGTCCCACTCATGTTAAACTAGTAAGGTCTTGGGTCAGGACCATGCTTTTGAATCAATGAAGTGTACTAAAAGGAAAATAAACATCGATATCGCTTGGCCAGCAGTCTGAGAGGATTTAGGCCACACAAAGACATATTTATAAAATGAAGATTTCAAGAAAAAAGGTAAGACCGCCACATTTTTGAATGCGGAAGAAAAGCCACGTTCTACTTTTGTGCAGCAGCTGTATGGATAGTGTACCAAAGGTGTATCACGATACCGATATTGTGTCACGATATTACCTCTAATGAACACACAAACGGAGAAGCAGAGCAGATAGACCTACGGTTGTAATGCTGGCAGTTCTCTGTGTTAAAAGAATGAAAATGAACATGTCTCTACCTTGGTGGGCCTGGGAACCTGGGGCACACGCACTCCACGAACTCTTCTTTCACAGCTTTGGTTTCCACTGAAGACGTCTTGTGTTTGTCCAGACTGTGACTGATAAGGTAAGATGTCATCATTACATCCATGAATCATGATATTAGGCCTGGTGAAGTCGACTGTCGTGTCGCTAACTAGTCCTTCGACTCTCACATTTGATGGATTTATGGATTGGGTTTATGGAGGAATTGGCCTTATCGCTTCAATGCGCTTTAAAAATCACTTCATACTGATCTGCTTTGGGACGGCCTCAACACAAACAATACAGATGCACTTTGCATTTAGTGTTGAACAATACGTTGATTGAAAATAGTGCTATTTAGCATAAAGGCAGGAGGCACTACAACTTTTTGGAGGGAACCAGATAATCCACAGCTCGTGTTCGACCACGTCGTTTGACGGTGTGTCCGGAGGCCGCCCCGGCGCTACAAGTAGCCAATAGAAAAACTGTGATATGTTAAAGGTAGTCTGTTTTTCTGTGGTGCATTCAAGACAATCTGACAGGACATCACTATGCTATTAGGCAGAGCCGGCCCAATCCTCAAAAGGGGCCCTAAGGAAAATTTGATTTTGGGGCCCTCTGTTTCTGCCAGTAATATTGATTGTTGGTCTTTCACACACCTTCACAAATCTCTTTGATTAACATTCCATGACATGCAAACATATCTTTTTCACAGCAGGAGGCACATAATGGTAGCAGAGCTTTGACATATCGGCATATAAGACAGTAAGTAAGGCCTACATCAGCAGCAGCACTAAAATATTTTTACTTTATTTTAATTTTACCATATTATATATTTGTTCATACAGAAAGCATCACTCATACATGCAAAAAAAAAACATATATATACATTTTGATTGCTCTAGGGGGCCCCCTATTGGCCGCAGGTCCTTTGGCAAGACAGTGAAAGCCACATTGCTCCAAATTGCCAGTAATTTACTGTGGAAGCCTAAGGGTGGCGCCAAAGGGCTTTACAAAAGTATTTTCCTGTAGTCCAATATCATTACCAATGTGCCATTTTAATTCTCTTATTTATCTGTTGTTTGTGTCCATTGCTAAACATTGTCTATAATATGGTTTTGACAAGACAAAATACATTGAACATGGATGTGGTTTTGCAGAGCTTTTTCAAACTTTTTTTTTTGACATTTCATGCGTAAATGCCCAACCAAAAAGTTCAAACTGTGCCTATGATATTAAGTAGCCTACTCTGTGGATGTGGACATAGTCACCATGGAAGAAAAGCCTTCCTGTCTGGAATAGTTTGATGTGAGATTAAAACAGCTCAGCAATATAGAGAACATTTGTTTCCCATTCACCCTATTTAAGTCAATGATGTTTTTGACTATGAGGATGAAAACACAATCCTTTTTCTGCATTTGCCCCATTAGAATCATCAATTGTTGTTTTCCTCTCAAAAGTCTGTCCAATTGGCCTGCCTGTGTGCAATTGGCAAAACTTTTTTATGCATGTTCATTTAATCACTTTGATACAGCTGATATTTTGACTCTGAGGAAGGACCACTAGAATAACTGATGTCTTTCCCCCAGCAATTTGTATTGTACAGTTCAGCCATTTAGTTTAACTAGTTACTAGCTGTACAGAAATAACTCACCCTTAACTGGTTACACCAAATGCTTGTGAACAAATTTCAAACAGTAGAACAGAGAAATGTCAGGGTTTAGACTTGTAGGCCCTATCACTTCTGTATCTTAATTATAGTAAGTGAATGAATGGCAGTGGCTGATATCCATCAATTAGATGAAATTTTGGACCATAAAGGTCAAATACAACTTTTCTGAAAAGGCTGGAGCAGCTCAGTTGGCTATTGATTCAGAGATTATCCCACAGGCAAATTCATTCCGCTCAGGTTTACATCCAACAAACAAAAAAATACATTAAGCACTACAAACGAGACCTAGAAAGCAGCGGCTCTATGTCTCTGAATGTTGGAGTGCGTGTGTCTATGTATTTGGGGTAGGGGAGGGTGGGGTAAGATGAGCCATTTTTCATATTTCGGATCACTCCATCAAGGCAATCATAGTTTTGTTTCTAACTAGTGTATCTGCATATATTTCAAGATGTTGTGCATCCCTGCAAACCAACAGAATGAGTGTAAACATAACTGTCTTGATAATATAGCATGACAAAGAAAGTGGTCTCCTATGTTCAACTTACCCCGTGTTGACCAAAGTGACACATTTCAACAATATGAACTGAAACTCTGATCCTCTCATCAGACTTCTTTACTTTCTCAGTTGAACCACTGGCTCAACTTACCCCAGAACTACTATTATGACTTCATTAGTCCTCTAAGCTAAAATGGTGGACTTTTATGCTAGGTTTTTGACCTCATGTTGTAGCTCACAGATACCACAATTGATGTATAAAACAAATTTAAAATGATCTTTTTTGGTCTGAACACAATTCTAATAAAACTTATGACAGACTTAATTCACTTTTTACATTTAAATTTTTTTTTGGAAATAAATGTCTAACCCCTTCACCCATGTGTTTCTAACCTTCACAGACTCCATGAATTGATGCCCATCTCCTAAATATTTGGTCACATGATCAATTTCTTTTACCATTTCCAAGCAACAGGGGGTGGCTCAACTTACCCTTTGGCTCAACTTACCCCACTCTCCCCCTACTTGAAGAAATAAGTTTGAGGATCAAGCTGAAGGATTTTGGAAGAGAAAATAAGAGAGAGAGAGAGAGAGAGAGAGAGAGAGATGGGGGGTTTGAGATTTGTCAAGTGAAGCAGTTGCTCAGAGAGGAGTCTAGTGTACAGAGGAGGACGGATAGAAGGAGGGCAGCTCTGAGGATAAATGCTCTCTTTCATTTCAAAGTGAGAGAAACCCGTCACTGGAGGCACATATATTTCCACGCACAGGAGCTCACTGGAAACGGCTGTTTTTAGATGTCTAGTCTTGGAGATCCAGCGGGGAGGACCATGGATAACAAGCACAGCAGCTCACCTCAAAGTTTTGGCTCGATGAGCTGAGTTTGATCTTCAAAGACGTGCTCCGGGGTCAGCAGGGGGAAAACGCGTGGAGCCGGCGGACTGACTGTTTGGGAAGGTGTTGAACATTAGTGATGGTTTAGTGACTCTGAACTGTGGCCTCTTGTTTGATGGGACAGGTGCAGGATTTTCGCGCCTACAACATGGGTCATTGAAGTGTCAAGTTTTTTCTCTGCATCCAAACGGCTCAATATAACTCCAAACTGAGGTGTCCGGACTTCAATAGTCGTCAAAACAGCATAAGTTTGATTTATTCTATGTCGTATTTAAAGGCGTTCAACTGCTTCTGTTAATCACCTGACCTGGGCCCCTCACGATCAGAAGATATGCGACTGCCACACCGTGTGCGAGGAATTCACGCATCTCTTGGGGAGTGGGCGAGCTGAAGACGTAGCACACGCGTGTGTTCCTTCATGTGTGTGGAAGTGTGAAGGATTTACTGCATTTTAAAGAACTCAGGAGAAACCACTTAGTACTCTGAGAAAGAAATAGGTTTAAAATCTGCTTCATAAATGGAGCTGCAGAAATACCTGTTGTTCCTGGAGTTTGTCTTCCTTCTCAAAGGTAAGAGCCACCTCACCGCTTTTAGATCTATGCTTAAGACCATTTTTAAGTCAAGTTTTTAGGATTAAAGCTCCTGTGAGAATTTTTTTTTATAATGACCAAACAGACTGATGCCACTTCTTGACCAACAGAAGTTAACAAGATCATGAACAACAATGCTGACAAAAGCATTGGTCATTTGTAAGGCCTTAAAGGGATATTCCGGTGTAAAATTAATTTAGGGTCCGACCGCTTGCTTCTCTAGTTATACCAACTTTAGTAACGACCGCATGATAGCAATACACAGCGATCTCAGGAGCCATGCACTCAACCAAAACATCACTCGATAGCCACAAATTATGCTCAGAACAGCGCCTAACTTCATCAACAGTACATATAAGGTCCTAGTCAAAGCACTATCACCAAACATCTTTTTAACTTTGCCTAATATCTTACCAAAGAGATGAAACACAACTCGCCTACTCTCATCCAGCAGCTGTTTGTTTGTAGTGAGAACTAGGGCCTATCTATTATGGACTAAAGTGGGATGACGCAGCTTTAGGAATCAGACCAAGACGCTAAGGCAGAAGAACTACCGTGTCTGCAGTGCAAAATTATTAATATGGTGATTATTACTTGGAAATGATAAAGAAATGATCATAAATGTTCTTCCTTGAGCTGCGTCACCCCACAGCAATCCATAATGTACTGGCCTGAGGTCTTGCTACAAACAAGCGGCTGCTGGAAGAGAGTAGGGTGTGTTTGAAATAATATTATGCCGTAATATCCCTTTAATGTCACATTTGACTGTCAAAATGCAGCAGAATAAGATTTTTCTGTGAGAAAAAGGTACATGTAGAGGACAAGATATGCAAAAACTACTTTGTCCACCGGGGGCAACAAAATTTACCCTGACTGAAAGTTACTCACAGGAGCTTTAAAGTATCTGGCTTTTTAAGCATCTTTTGTATGAGTAGGACTTCAATCACAACTTTGATTTGTGAACTTGGGGAACTATGCAAATTATGACAACCTCTTTTTCATGATTGATGCTTCTTCACTGCCCAGGTGCCCCCCTGTCCTTCAGCTCTGTCAAATCCAATTACATGGACCCTACTAACCAACCGTTTCACACTTTAACCGACAACACATGTGAATGACCCTGTCATGTGTGCCTCCTTAAGGCCCGGAGAGCTTTGTTCTATGTGATAGTAAGCGACTGACCATGAAACATTCCTAACATGATTGTGTGCATGAGAGTTGAGAAGCAGACCCATTAAAACATATGGCCGCTCTCCATTTGCCAAACAGATCAAAGTTAAAGGAAGTTGTGCATGAGTCCAACAAAGAAATGGTTCCTGGTTTTAAAGCCGGATAATCCAGTAAATCTATCCATTTTGTCAGTCCTGAGGAAATATTTCAATCTTGTTAGTGACTCCCAGCTCTGTTAGAAGGTATCTAAAGCAAAAGGAGATATTTGCTGATATATCCTCTGCCAAAAGGTTACTAGTTCATCTCCGCTTACAGCCCACATCTCCTGACCTGTGCGGCAGCGTAACTCAACCTCACAGGTCATATCAGCCTCTTTCATCGCTTAGACTACATGTCTACAGTCCCCTAAAAAGGCGCCTGTGCCATGTGTGTTCACTCCCTACTCATGTTCACTGTGGCAGTGCGGCCTCACACACCTCATTGAGCCGACCCTGACCACCAGAGAGAAACCAAAGAAAAAGACTCTTGTTGTCTAGCAAGGATAAGTGTTTGTGCAGCTGATAAGCGCTGGTTTAATTGCTGCTTTGTGGCACATAGCCGTGACATAAAGCGAGATCAATAGCCTTAGATTAGATATTATGTTGTGCGAGTAAAACATGTTTAAGTTGTTCCTGCTCTCTGACATTTGTGCCAAATTTTTACATGCAAACTGCAGACTACTTATCCATGCTATGTAAAATGCTTCTCGCCCAGCACACACACACACACGCATATACACACGTGCCAAATGATTCCTGTGGTTAGATGGGACACATTACCTTTAATTTTCTGTATAAATGGAGCCTAAACGGTGTAACTTCACCACTGTGTAACCTTTGATTCATCTGCACTCGAACTTATTTGATTTCAGCGAAGCAGTTCTTGCATGTGCTACCTCGTTCATGTGTCAGACGTAAATATGTAGGTGAGTGAGTATGTGTGTAATGTTAATGGTTTCAGCAGAGCTCCCCTGATGCAGCCAGCAGGCTCTCCATGTCTGTTACACTCTGTTATGCTTTACTGAGATGTTGAACACAGGTGTGTGTGTGTTTGACTCAGTTCCAGTGGTCATTCATAAATTTACGCCACTATTCTCCCTGCTAACTTCCTCTGTTATTTTACTCTCCCATCATTCGCTCACTGTCATTCCTACTCCCCCTCATCTCCCACCCCCATTCCCCACGAGAGGGTGACAGAGATGAGAACAGAACACGGAGGAGATAATGGATAGAAAAGCTGTGAAAGTGGGTGATAGGAGGTGAAGAGGGAGATGTTTGGGAAACATGAGTCGGTCAGATGAAGATGACAGAAACAGAGACGGCTCCGCTGCTGTTCACAGAGGTGCTAAAAGTCAGGGGGTTTTTAGTAAAGAGAGAAAAAAAAGAGAAAAGTAAAGAGATAAACTCAGATATATTACAGCAATATATTACTGTTAAAGGGATATTCCGGAGTAAAATTAAATTAGGGTCAAACACAATGTAACACCGGGTTAGACAGCCCCTTTAAGAGATGAATGTTGCTGACCGCTTGCTTGTCTAGTTATACCAACTTTAGTAACAACCGCACGATAGCAATACACAGCAGTCTGAGGAGCCATTAGCAAACCTCAACCAAAACACCACTCTATAGATACAAATAATGTGTCTATAAATGCTCAGAACAGCACCTAACTTCATCAACAGTACATATAGGGTCCCAGCCATAGTAATAGCCACCAAACATCTTTTTAACTTTGCCTGATTTCTTTAACAAAGAGACTAAACACAACTCACCTACTCTCTTCCAGCAGCCACTTGTTTGTAGCGAGACCTCCAGGCGAGTCCATCAACTGCTGCAGGGTGACCCACAGCTCAAGGAAGAACATTTATCATCATTTCGTCATAGAAATGCAATCAGACCAAGATGCCAAGGCAGAAGAACTACCACATCTGCAGTGCAAAATAACTAATATGGTGATAATTACTTCAAGGAAATGATGAAGTAATGATCACAAATGTTCTTCCTTGAGCTGTGTCACCCGCTGTAGTCCGTAATGGACTGGCCTGAGGTCTCCCTACAAACAAGCAGCTGCTGGAAGAGAGTAGGTGAGTTGTGTTTAGTCTCTTTGCTAAAGAAATTAGGCAAAGCTAAAAAGATGTTTGGTGGCTACTGCTGTGGCTAGGACCCTATATGTACTGTAGATGAAGTTAGGTGCTGTTCTGAGCATTATTTGTGGCTATAGAGTGGCGTTTTGGTTTGTGTTTGTGTGTGGCTCTTGAGACCGCTGTGTATCGCTATCTGCTGTTGTGTCTAAAGTTGGTATGACTAGATAAGCAAGCAATCAGCAACATTAATCTCTCGAGGGGGTGTCTAACTCAGTGTTATGGTGTGCTTGACCCTAAATTAATTTTACGCCGGAATATCCCTTTAAGTGCTGGTGTATTATTTAGTACCAAACACTGAAGTGCGAGTTCAGTTTCTGTAGTTGTTACAGCGCTCATCCAGCAGCAGTAGCGCCCAGAGCCTTGTGGTTGAGAGAATCTGGACTCAGTTTGGCTTGATAAATGTTTGCCACCAGTTGTCATGGCGATGGGTGGTCAGACCGGCTGTGGTGCAGTGTCATATATAAGCCACAAATGAAAATGGGGAGGGAAGACAGGAGAGCGAAAACAGTAAATGATGGTACAGCTTTGTGGGAGTTGAAGGGGCTCGGCAGGGAGAGGGGGCCTTGTGGTAGAGTTACAGTGTGTGTTTACATGTGTGTTAGAGTATGTTATAGAAGAGGGGTAAAAGAAAAAAAGACGTTTATGAGGAAAAGAGTGAAATAGGAGAATGACATCAGTCAGAATGACATCAATGAAACGAACAGTGAGGGTTGTTATCAGAGGCTTGGCTTTTTGTGGAAAGAAACTTGGTTTTGGAGAAGTTGGGGGATGTTGCCACAAGAAAAGACTGAAATGTTTACTACACTAACTGCATATAAGAGGGGACAGGAGAAAGTAGCTTGTTTCAAGCAGGCCCAGTTGTTTTGTTCATTCAGGTTCATGAAAATGAAAGGAATAACTTTCCTTGTCTAGGTGTATTAAACATCTGTGTCCAGTTGGTTCGATCAAATCCCCCTGGTGTTTTCAGATTTGAGATATTGGAAGCTTGCACAGATCTACAGGATGAGCAGAAACAGGATTTAGAGTCTACAGCTGAACAGGAGCTTTGTGTGACTCTGCTTAGACACTGCAGTTCTCCAAGGGAAATGCAAATGTTGGCAATTAAACCGGCTCAAAAAGACAACACTGATATAATTATGCTAAGAGGGAATAACGTTGACAGTGGTCTTCACTTTAGTTAAAGGTACAGTGTGTGGAAATAGGAATATTTAGTGGTATTAGTCAGATTTCAGCTTGAAGTGCTCCCCTGCTCATGGCTCAGGGACGATGACCTTCAAGGACACGAGGCATTATAAAAAATATTCCTCCATTTGACAATTTTATACCATCAAAACCATCCATTACGACTTCCTTTTTGCAAGAACAACCAGTTTTTCTTCATCCTCATGACCTTTTAATTTGAAATTTTATTTAGAAAAGCTTTTCCACATGATCATTTATCCTGTTCCTGTTTCCCTGTATGTGCCGGTCTACTTTATGTTTCTTGGAAGGGATGAATTGTAAACTTACCCTTGTGGGACTAATGAAGAAGTATCATGTCTTATTCAATCTCGACTTATCTTATCTTATCTTATCTCATCTTATCTTATCATGGTGTTCAAAAGTAAGAGAAAAACCCAAATCATTACAGCCTATTTAAAGGGGAACCGTATTCCTGGACTTCATCCAAATGTCCTGGGGTCTTGAAACCACAAATGTGAACCTCATGAAGGCTAAAATTTTGGGGATCCTTTAAGTCTGGGAACAACAGATCTTGTGCTATTCTATTGAGTAGATAATTACAAACTTTGGCTGACTGTTTTCACTTGAGGAAAAGTTAGATAACCAATAAAATCACCAAAGCACAACCTTTTAGTTGTATGCTTAAAGTTTCTGGAGAATCATTAAGTACTTGTTTAATTCCTTAGACTGGACCAAACGGGTCAAATAAATGTCAGGGTTATAATACCCGTCCCAAAGTCTGACTACAACCCACATCTTTGTAGCTACAGATGTCCAGTGAGTAAACTAGTGAACAAGAGAGGAAACTTGAAAATGTAATTATATTACAGACTGAAAACATCTGTTCTAAAGAGAAGATGGAAAAATCACTGAATATGAGAAATGCAGGAGCAGGGATGGAAGAGAAACAGTGGACATATCTAGTTTCTGTCTCCAAACCAAGTGGAATCCCCCTCTGATTGGCTTGGCCAAAGTTGATGTTTGTGTGTCAGTGTGTATTTGCTGGAAAGTATCTCTGTGCAATTGTAAGAGTAGCTGGAGTGTAATCACAGCTGCACTGGTCTTGTCTTGTTCCCCGTCCTGGACTCTCGAGAGGTAGTACAGTACATGGTGGACGGCCTGGATGCTGCTGAATGACACGTCAAGTTAAATTTATTTAAACAAAACACATTTAACACACCCTGCTCCTCGCAGATTCAAATGAAATACAGTAGATAGACAAAAAGGACATGTTAAATACCAACTGTCAAGAGTGGTGTACTTCTTACAAGACTCAACTGAGAATACTACATCAAGATCCTCTTAGTAGTCTTTAATTTGAGTGGAGCTGAAAATCTAAGAGACATGAAATTGGCTTCCTGTTTTGGCCCCGACGACATCAGTAATGACAGAACCTGAAAGTGAAGCTGGGGGGCGCAGAAGTGGTCATATTTTTGTATGAGGATGAAGGTGGTCGGGGTCATTTATCGCCAATTCAGTCTATTCTTAGACAAATTAATTAGTTTTCACGGAAGCATGTTAACAGTCGTGTTTGCCACTGAATGGATTTTACTTTTGGCGTTCACTGATCAGACTTGTTCAATTCCTGAAACAGAAAAAGCCAATAGAGGTTGCAAAATGAACAAAATTACTTGGGTTTCTCACATTCCCAAGAGTCCGTTAGAAAAATTAGAGAAGTCAAGTAATAGCAGAGTTTTGATGACCCTAGAAGCAAGTATCTGCTAAATACCATCATAGGGGTATTAGGCCTCAAGCTCTCAGCAGCTTATTGTGCTACATCCACTATTCTTAATTTGTTAAAGCAGTAGGAGTTATTTGACATATATGAAATAGATTGAAATTCATCTTGATGCCTATTTATAATGCATAAAATCAAGAAGGACCATCAGTGACAAAACTATTTCTATCGTCTGAAATTCGTGCAAGGGAGTAGTTTCAAGCCTTGCAACTGGAGAAACAGCTCTGTTTTTACAATTTCCACCAATAATATGCACAATAGATACTATATTTGACTGTCAAAAGTCAGCAGTATGAGATCTGTTTTCATAAATAACTACTTAAGCATGTACTGGACAAAATAAGTGAAGATTGCTTTGCACAGGGAGTGCCAAAATTGACACAAACCAAAAGTTCCTCAGACAAATCCTCTTTTTTGTCTGTTTAGTTTATATTAACGGTAAAGCAGGGTGTGTTTTATCTGCAGTTTGTATTACTGTAACATTATATGCTTAATTTAATGTTAGAAAAACACATTTAAATGTTTCCCTTCAGACTTTGGGATAAATAAAGATGTGTCTCTTACATTTTGCCGTTTAGGTGTAAACACTGTGAGTTCTCACCTAAATGTTCACAACTCAGTGAACTGTCTGCCTACCATCGCGTTGCTCTCCTGCTTTTCTGTGTGTCTCTTTCTGTATGAAGGGCAGGCTTGTGTGTCATAACAGGGGGCTTACTATACTACATAGTTTTTCTAACCCACACCCTTCCCTGCCTTGCTTCGTCTCTTCCCTCTCCTTGCCCACTCTCTCCTCAGACTGAACTCCCTTTCTACCTGGAGGTTGTCTTTAGTCGATTTGTTTATCCTTTTTTTCCCCCCTCAGCTCTGCCTCAGTTTCCCCCAGCAGTCTCCTCACCTAACGCCAACAAGGAAAATAATAATCTGACCCTGCACTGTAGATGCTGTATAGATGGTTTCCTTCTCCATGTCTGCATGTATTCCACCAGCGTGTAACTTGTAATAAGTTTGTCATCTCAAGAGCTTGTTGGAAGATTGGCATACTTTTTAAACGTTTATGATACATATTGTGTGACTAAACATTGTGGTTTGTATGTATTTTGCTTTTGTGTAATGATATCATGGACACAAGTAGTCAGATTGTGTTAACTGAAGATTTAGAAGTGAAGTTAATCTGTTTTTTATATTTTATGAACAAAAATAAATTCAAAATTTAATACAGTAAACAATAAGGACTACACATTCATCTATTGTACACGTATTTACTAAGAGTTGGAATCACTAGTGGCCCCACGATATCATATTATCACGAACTTGGGCCACGATATGATATAATTGCGATTTTTGACATTTTGCAATACAGTGAATACTGTGATACAATATATTACGTTTTATAAAATTTTTCAACTGTTTAGCTAATTTAGCATTTTGCTTTCTATTGTGTTTGTCTTATTTATGCTGTATATTATTTTCATGTAACACATCTTGCAAACCTTATATATATATTTGTTGTACTAACTTTCTCCTGCTCTATTATTTCACCTCTCCCAACCTCACTGGACAAACGGTTGATTTTATTTTCCATTTTCATAGATTTAACTCCATATTAGCAGTTAATTTGAAAAAGTCGATACTTGGTAAATGAGACGATATGATATATCGCCACACAAAATATCGCGATACTTTGCTGAATCGATTTTGTCTTCCACCCTTTATATATTTACGCATTATAATATCTTCATTGGTACCTTTAAACGATTGCTTCTGTGGTTTCTCCCACATTAACCCTCATGATAAGTGTCCTCAGCTTTGATTGGTTATTTCAGTCACATGAGAAAAAGGAATGAGGAAGTGTTGTTCTTATGAAGGTGATGAAGTTTAAACTTTAACAGAGCCTCCTTATTAACAAGGATTCAACCATGACACATTTAACCAATAAGCTGCACTTTCTCATCCTTATCTTGTTTGCAAATTTATGCTGAACTGAGTTAACAAGCTGCTGATTGTCAATGCATATTAAACAGATAGGAGATGTGTAAGACTTGTCCCCACAGAGGTGTAACAGTCCTTTCTTTTTGTGTCTTTCAGAGTTGTGTCAGTGTTTCAACATAGATGTAAAGCATCCGCGTATCTTTGATGGTCCAGAGGATGCTCTGTTTGGCTTCTCTGTTTTGCAACATGAAGCAGACGGAGAGAAATCGTAAGTGTGTTGTGACAGTCAAAGAAAGGTGGATAATAAGTTGACACCAGCTAGAAAGAACATGGAATAAAGAAATGTCTTTCTGCTTCACATTTTAATTGAAGGATGCTGGTTGGTGCTCCCTGGGATGGACCACCTAACAACCGGAAAGGAGATGTGTACAAGTGCACTGTGGGAAAGAAGAAGAACTCAAAGTGCAGCAAAGTGAATTTAGGTAAAAGAAATCTGACTTTTGAACAGTTTTCTCATTGTGAGTAATCTTATCATGTAAAGTTCACTTTTCCTTTCTACTTCAGGTGAGTCTGCTCTCCAGAATGTTTCTAAAAACCTGAGGAACTCTCACCTTGGGATGACACTCACTCCTGACTCACCCGACGGCTTTCTGGTATGTTGTTTCAACACGGACAAACAACACTTTTTTTATTTGTGTAACATCATGGGGGGTTTTATGTGTGGGATTCTGGGAGGATGTGGTGGGACCAGGTTATGTTTGCCCTGACAGAATATGAATGAGTCAGCTCTGGGGACCATGTGAGGTTCACTGACCGCACACTTCCTGGATACCTGTGAGGAGATTCATGCACACATTTACAAACACGTCCTTTAATCAGTTACATAAATGATCATCTGAATCCTCACTGTAATTATAGATAATGTAGTAAACAGGATAAACAGTGAGATGTATTCTTGTCAAACTGATCAGAAACAGATTTCAGGTCAGGATTTTGGTCATATCTGAGAGTGAAGTTCAAGTCCTTGTTTTCGTAACCTGTGTCAGCAAGCAGATGTGTGTCCTTTGTATTTTCTGTACTATTGTTTGTGTGTTGGTTCCTGTGCTTATGTCCCTTTGTCTCATTTGTCTGTATACACGGGTTTGAATCAAGTGAGTAGGCTTGTGTGTTTTGGTGTCTGCCAGGTTTTTACCGCTGCTTCGGGTGTGGAATACAGTTCGCTGACTCCAATCCAACTTCGCCTATTTTAATGTGTGTGTGTGTGTGTGTGTGTGTGTGTGTGTGTGTGTGTGTGTGTGTGTGTGTGTGTGTGTGTGTGTGTGTGTGTGTGTGCCCCTGTGTGTTTATCCCAACCCCAGTGGTCAGGTCTAAAACAGGATCGGAATGCGTCTCCGGCCCTTTGTTAATGACAGACCTACCAAAAGCCAAAGCACCTCTCATACTTTTCTCCATCTTCTCCCTCCTTCCTTTCTCTCCTCCCTCTCTCCATCTTTTTTTTTCTCTTTCTGCCTGTCTGTGCGCCTGAGGAGAAACCGTCCATAATGACAGGGCGCACAAAACCGGGATGTTTCTCTTTCTCTCATTTTACCCATATTTCACCCCACTCTTGGTCTCTCTCTTTTGTCTCTCCGCTGTGAGTTTCTCTTTTATCTCCTCTTTCCGCACTTTCCCCCTTATTGCTCCCTCTTGGTATGAAAGCCAAATAAACAGCATGCTTTGAAGACTAAAATATTTTTATATGATGCCCTCCCACCCCACACCCTCCCCCCTGTATTTAACACAATCTGATTTAAATTGCCGCACTGGTCTGGTGCTCTGGCTCTGTAAAACCACTCATGACAGCAGTGACTGCCAACATGTCAACAATAGTCTCTCTCTCTCTCTCTGCCTCTCCCTTATTTTTCTATCCCCCAAACCACACTATTGTAGTTTTTCCATGAGTTATTCCCTCTCATGACTTGTTTTCTTTTTGTTCCACGTCTCATTTTTGTTCACATCTCATTTTCTCTTTTATTTCTGTTCATTTAAGGGTCACCCATCCACATTTGTCCATATGTTAAAACTCTTTGATAAGAACTAAAATTACAACCTTCACATGATAAAAACTTAAACACTTAAAAGTTTTATGTGCTCAAATTGACTCTAGCTGCTCCTGAAATCGCCTAACATTCGAGACAGATGTTGATGTTGTGTGTCTTTGTGTGGTTTTGGCAGGCATGTGCCCCTCTGTGGTCTCAGGAGTGTGGTACGTCTATGTTCAGCACCGGCATCTGTGCCTCTGTCGGCGATGACCTAGAACCAAGAGAGACCATCGCTCCAACAGCGCAAAGTAACCACACATTTGCACAAACACACTTAGGCAGAGAAACACACAGCGCAGGCCGACGTTAGCTAACCAAATATTTTTAAACCCCCACATGTGGCAGGGTGCTCCACATACATGGACATTGTGATCGTTCTTGATGGTTCCAACAGTATCTACCCCTGGTACGAGGTCCAGAACTTCCTCAGCAACATCCTCAGCAAGTTTCACATCAGCTCAGATCAAATGCAGGTAAACTACCGGGTTGTTGTGTTTTTGCGATGCCTGTAAATAATGTTTACATCGGTAATGGAAACTTGTGGGTTAGAGCTTGACTAAGTCTCCAAATCAAACCTCTGGATCCCCTTTGCTGTTGCCCAGAACAGAAAGACAAGCCAGCACCCTGAGTGAAAACATGCGCAGAGTGACACGTATAAAAAGCCGCTTTGGCAGATATGACCAGAATGAATTGCTCTAGTAATGTAAAGGGACATGAGCCCAGCTAGCTTGAGGTTTAGGGAGGAATGGGGACACAACAAAAGGAGAGAGCGAAGGCTTGGGTTTTGAAAGGGGAGGGTGGGGGGTACGGGGTAGCAGGCAACGTGAGGTGAAAAGGAAATACTTCTGGTTTCTGAATGAATTCAAAAATTCCCGAGTGCACTGTTTGCGTAGAGAAAAGAATCGGCACTTAAAGAGATAGTTCACAACAGAAACGAAAGTCTTAGATGTGTCTTTCCACAGCTATGTGCCTGCACAACCCAGACATGTGGCGTTTTAATAATACTCTTAACCATATCTTTGTGTGTATGCATGTGTGCATTTAGGTTGGCATCCTGCAGTACGGTGAGGTAGCTGTTCATGAATGGTCTCTGAAGGACTACCAGACCACACAGGAGGTGGTGGAGGCCGCCAAGAACATCAGCAGACAGGAGGGACGGGAGACACGAACTGCATATGCCATCCACATGGCCTGGTAAGCCTGTCAATCACTGACACCTCTCTCTTCCTGGCTGTTGTTCGCTCTACTTAAAGTCAATGAATTTTTGGCTCAATGACTGGAAAGTGTCTGCCTATTCTCAAAAAGCACTCTCATGCTTTTTTTCTCAGTTATAATTTTGTGTTATTTTTCAAGAAATTAGCCTAAAAAGTGGTTAGGGGCATCCTTTTGTAATCAGGATTGTTACTGTATTACTTAGTCAACTAAAACACTGATATAAAGCCGATGAACTCAGTATTTTAATTTGAACAATGAATCAACTCATCAAAGATATAATGTTGACATAATCCATATATGTAACAGTTCTTTTAGCATCTTTCAGCCGTTATTTTGGTGTTACAAAAAACTCAACGTCAACGTCAGTGAACAAAAAATAATGGACTGTTTAGCAGGTGCATTGACCGACATTTCCATCAGGAGGAGGTGGTGGAAAATAGACTCAAACTATATGAAGAGGCTATGATGTAGGACACAAACACTGTTTAAAATGAAAGAAAAAAAAAAACAAAAACAACTGTTTTGGTATCACAGTTGCTATAACGACCGAAAGAAATTGGTAATAACCGGGTGAGCTCAGACCGCACGGTTAAAAAACACACCCTCGAAGGCTTTTATAAAATCTATTTGCATCAGAACAGCTGATAGAAATGTCAAAGAGATGACAACAAGCAGGTGTCATGGCAACCTAAAATACAACAATAAAAACAACAAGTCTGCTGACCACTGTGGTCGCAGCTATGTGTTTATTGTGAGTTGCAGGGTTTTTGCTGTTTTAGTTGATTGTTCTCTGTGTATTTCTGTTTTTGTACTTTTTATTTAAAGACTATTGTTTGAAGCGAGTCAGCGCTACTTTAGCTCAAGTGCTCAACCGAACCAGTGGCGTAGTCAGGATGTTTGAGGGCCAGGGGCAGGAGTATAAGAGAGACACCTGCTGTATGTAATGGGATATCAGCGCACAGAGAGTTGTTATCAGTGAAGATCTGTCACTAACTCCCTTCATTCTGTGGAATATTTATGCAACATTTATATAGTTATCAAAAATGAGCGGTTTTTCCTGTGTTTTTATATAACACAAAAAAAGATGTTTCTTTAAGAGTTCAGCCTAACCCACCTTTGAAGGTAAATCAACTTGTGGAAGACATTGGTCTGATGCCAAGATGTTCTGAGTACTAAACTTGGCTATCAGACCCTGCATGTCAACTAAACAAATACTTTACAGCGAGGCTAAATTACCAAAATGTCACCCTATCACAGTGGAAGAGCATCTACGCTGTGGGTACAGCCTCAATATCTTGATTATCTTTTTTACTTCTTCTTCTTTGTTCTGCCTTCATCTGTTAAAAAGTGCTGGACATATTTCGGCTGGTAACCCAAGTCTAAAGAAACAATTCTATAGGATGAGGGTCAGCGGCTTAATGAAAACCTCTGAGTCTTAAAATATCTCTTTCCTTTTCAAAATAAAATTCCTACTTTATTAAAGTCAAACCCACATAGAGCACCACACCCAGACCTGATGTGTGGCCACCACTTCCATTTTGGGATGTGTACCTTGGAAATCTTGGAGAGTTGCTCAACCTACACACACACACTCGCGCACACGAATCCAGGTAATTGGAGAGTTCCTGTTTTCTGCTACATTCAAAGGTGAAAGTCTGAGACTTTTAGGAGGAACGTTTAAAAGGTAGTTGAAAAGCAGTGACTGGAAAATGGAGCCAGTAAAATAGTGTAACTGTGGCATTAAAACCCCACTGACGGGAAATCCAGACACGGCTGCATATTTACTTTTCACTGTCACAACCTTTCCCACCCTGTCAGAAGATGCGAACATTCAGAAAACTCATCAGTCCACTTGAAAATAAACACAAAACTCCTCAGTTAAGAGCTTACTCTACTCACTTTTCTTCAGGACAAGAAATAAATGGCTCATATTGAGGTAAAATTTAGGAAGCAAAATCTTCTCTCACACACGTTACTGCACAGATTGGCAGATAGCAGCGCTGGCACCAGGCAGGAAAGTGACGGGGCAGAAAAACAACGAGATTAGCTGAGCTGGACTAGTCGACTGCTGGCTCAGCATGGCTGCAGGTGTGGCACACACTGACCCAGTCTGGTCAGCCAAGTAGCGCTCTTGCAGCTGTGAAAATACATACACAGACATTTACAGTATGCACAGAATCCAACACACATGCAGTCACATGTTCAGGACTTACACTTCGCACTTATACACATACACACATTATTTTGCTATAGTTACACGGGCTGACATTGACTGCATTCATTCCTTGCTCGCCCTAACCTCAACTTTGACCCTCTCCCCTGCATTGTTGACCTTTAACCTTTACCCTGACCTCATCCTTATTATAAACTTAACCCTAAACCAGAGCACTTCGCTAACATAACTATAAATACTTGGCCCTTGAGGCTTTTCATGGTTTTATTCTTGTGTTCATGCCCACACATAACCCCTGTCATGCAGATTTTTTGACATGACAGGGATTGACTTGGACCAGACTCACTTGATCTTGACCGATGAGAACTTAGATGAACAAATAAATGTTTGCAAATTGGTTACAAGCTACTATTAATAAACCAGCCAGACCTTCTGCTTTTTAAGGAGAAACACAGGAGAGCTAAGACATGCAGTGTAATGATGATGGAGAAAACAAAAAACAATGCAACAGAAAAAATCAGTAAAAAGGGTCAGTGAACTCCAAGATCTCCAAATGGAAAGTAAAAATGACAAACAGAAGCACATGGAGGCTGAATGAGCTCGACTAGCTGATGTATGAAGCAGATTAGAGACCTTGACAATGACCTCTACATTAGAGGACCGACTCTTGGAAAATATCTGAGTCCAAGAAAAGACTCTGCACCATAAAAACAGATGAAAAAAGGTGATATTAGATAAGTTAGCAGCTTGTAGATTTTGCCAAAGTGTTGGATTATTCACACATGAAGTCTTGTTAATGATGTGAGACCACCTGCCACATTATTTGTTTGTTTATTTATCTGATTTATGTTGATTTATGTTTGTTTAACAGATTTAGGCCACAAGTTGGTGAATTAGTCCCGATGTGTTGATTGTTTTCATATTGGACAAAGCAAGGCTGCCTGTTTCCTGTTTCTTATCATTGTGCCAAGCTATGCAAGTTGGTGTCAAACTCAAAGTCTTAGCTGTGTTATAGACATTTTAAAAGGGAAAAAAAAACACTCAGACACCCAGATGCTCCCACACAAAGACTCACTATGGTGGGTTAAGAAATCTCTTTGAAGCCACACACGGCCGTGTAAATGATAGTAATGGACGACACGCAGGACACTTTGAATTTAGAGAAGATGACAGATTGATGCATGAACATCAAACAACCCTCTACAATTGGATCAGACTCTGATTTTTAGATTGCTCCACCCGTCTGGGATGCTCTCACTCTCTTACACACACACAAACACACACACACACACACAGACCGCTGCACCGTGTCATTACCACACTGCTGTGACTCCATAAAATGGGTTGTAAAAACTACCAGGCCTCCCAATTAGCATCTCTTACTTTCTCTCCTCTTTCATGCCCCCTCTCTTTCTTCTCATCCACGTTCCTTTGCCTTTTTAAACTTTCCTTCCTCCTCACCTGTTTGCCTAAATATCTGTCCTGTCGCTTTTCTATTTTGCTTCTTTTCTTCCACGTCCATTCCCTTTTGTTTAATATCTCTCACTTCACTCTGTCTAACCACTTTTGTTTCATTGTTTTTGCCACACATTTACAAGCCCACATCAGAGCAGAGTTTGCACTTGAAGTTTGTCCTAATTTAACCATCTTTTATTGTTCTGTTTTAATTGAACAGCTCTCTCTTGTTTTCTCTCTGCAATTTACTGTCTCCTTTTTTAACTTCTTTTTTAACCTCTGTCTTTTCTGGCCTAATATTTACCTCTCTACTCTCTTTTTCATGTCCCCCTGTAGTTTACTCATTTAAGTTCCTCTCAGTTATTTCTCTCCCTCTCCTCCTCTCTGTTTTCTGCTCTCCTTTCTCTCTTTCCGCACCCTATGTAATTTGCAGTCTGCATAGGGGGAATCGGTTGTTTTTAACTTTGAGTTTCTTGCGGCTGACCACGATGTTAAATTTAGACAAGGGCTGGAGTTTGGCCTGAAAATGACTGAGCTCGCTAGCAGTGACTACTCTCCCCAGTTTACCGCATTTGTGTGTGTGTATGTGTGCGTGTGTGTGTGTGTGTCTGTGTGTGTGTTGGTCTGAGGCTTACCAACTCTATTCACTGCTTGAAGCAGGTCTTGCTGAAGACAGGTTTCCTGCAGACAAACAGGGTGTGGCTGGGGTCCATTTGATGCTGTTTGTCACTTAGGTTTCCTCTCTGTATCATGGCTCAGCCGGATGGGAATGCACAGATGTGGTTGCTGTGTGCCATGACACATACATGCTGCATGCAATGACCAAGCGGAGCCAACTGGCAGTCATGTTGACTAATTAGCTGAAAGGTTCAGTCATGATTTGACGCAATTATATCCATTTTCGTCTTGTTTTACTGGACATGCGTCTTCGTAAGAAAGCATTTTAAACTACTTTGAGGTTTTAGATGATCAAGTGACTGACTCCCCTCCTCTCCTTCTTGTCTTTATCTCTTATTTTCCTCCTTTTCTCCGTCAAAATTCACGACAACTCAGCTGAGTGTTTTACCAAACTAGTAATTCATTTTCAATTCTCTCCCTTCTTTTTGAAGCACCGAGGCATTCAGTGCTGAGCGAGGCGCAAGAGATGGCGCCACCAAAGTGATGATTGTCGTGACAGACGGAGAGTCACATGATGGGGAGGAGCTACCGGATGCTCTGATGGAGTGTGAGAACAGAAACATCACGAGATATGCCATCGCTGTAAGTACATCTAACCACACCTCATCTCTGCTTTAAAAACTGAAACCTAAAATAAAGGTTTTTAAGACATAAGTTTGATCTTTTCATACTGCTCAAGAGAAGTCAACTATTTAAAGGTATGCACAAAAAACTAACCCCCCTTATCAGTAGGGTGTATGAAGCATCCCTCATTCCTCACTCTTTGTTTAAACATGGTATGGTCACCACCATACACACCCTCAAGCAACCACAAAATACCACCACTACCACTCCCCCCAAAATAACATTTCCAAATTACCACATGAACCCCTCTGGTGGACTAATATAGCCCACTGGGAACAAAAACTCTTCCTTTCTGGCCCCACCCTGCTCCTTTGACACAGACACACACTGATCAATGGCATGGTTGGAGTGTCAGAGGAGCAGACAGACTCGACAGGCTGCAGACCCCTCCCTTCCCAGAGAGCCGGGTAACCTCCAGACTCCACTGAGACCACAGATGAAGAGAGCATGGCTAACATGGAGAAGAGATGTTGATGATCAGATATATCTTTTAATCTGCGAAAGGAGAGGTTCAGTGAAGTCATCACCTCGTCACAATCAATCTTTATTGACATAGCACCAATTCACAACAAGTGTTATCCCAAGACTCTTTGAAAAAGAAGCTGGTCTAGACAAAGACGCCCATGTAAAGATGGGAAACTGAAAAAAAAACATCAGACCTGTCTTATCTCCAACCACGAGTGTGACACTTGGCAGCATTTGGCGAGTTACAGTGGTGAGGAAAACTTCCTTTAACAGGCAGAAACCTTAAGCAGAACCAGACTCATGTTAGACAGTCATCTGCCACTTCTGCATTGGGTTTGGAGAGAAGAGAGAGGGAGATGAGGAAAGAGAGAGAGATGGACAGAGGTGAGATTAATGCGCTTAGCTGAATCAGCTTCAACCAACAGTTTGCTGAAGGTATCCAGATTAATCTACGACATAATGGAGCTCATGGACTTCCAGGAAAGTGATTATCTGTGACTCTAATGGGAAATAATGACTCCTGATGGTTTAGTCATGGTTAAATTCGTCAAGTTAATGCTGTGATTGAAAGCTGGTAGCGGATGACCTGATGTTTGTTGGCTGACAAAATGATTTTTACTGGAATTAACAGCCTTTTTTAGCTTTAATTTCAGTGGCATTTACTCACCATGAATGGAAAGTTTTCTAATTGTGTTCCTAGATTTTTAGAGCTCTGGTTTGAGGTTGTTGGGGTTTTTTGCCTCCACAGTTAAACAATAGAAGTGAGAGAAATACAGTTTGTGATGACCAAGATATGAAGTAATATTTCAAGAAAGATGAATATTCTACAGCCACATTTGTGCACTTTGACAGTCATAATCATGTTAGCACACTTACATGTTAAAACTTGCAAAAATGAATTCATTTATAATCTATTATCCATGAAAGCCTTTTAAAATTCTAGAAAAACCTAGAAAAGTTGCTAACTAGCACACACGATAGCCTGGACACCACTGTGAAGCTGGGGTACAAACTGGCAGCTTGCAGTAGCTGCAGCTGAAGCATGAGAGCAGCTGCTGATTGTCGCTGACGAGGGACAGCTGCGTCTAATCAGAGTGTGGACCTCCACAGCAGGCCTCCACCAGCCAGTGCTGAACTGAAAAACTCTGAGAATAATGAAAACTGAAGTCCAAATAATAACACTTTAAATGATTATGAATGATTTAAAGGACATGTAGACTTAAGCAGATCACCCTGAGGAGTAGGACAGCTCTGTCATCTTTAGTTCAGCGAAGTATCAAGTAAATATTCTGTAACTGACCATAAACACAAAGTAGAGGATAGAGCTAATGAAAGGAAATTACAATGTAGCCCTTTGCTGTTGAGTTAAGCCACCCCAAGAACAGCACCCCCTGGTGACGGCCTGCAGTATCGGTCATAAATCCCGCCTCCTCCAGCAATCCCTATGGAGCTGTGGACAAACTTCAGAAATTTATTACACAGAATATACATTTTTCTCCCCCCGGCTTGCGATGTTGACATGTAGTTACTGTAACACTGGTTTGTGCTCAAGTCCTCTTTTTTCTGTGCAGCAGTTATTGGGGGTTCATGTTCGCTATGATTGATGCTTGATACAGTATGAAGATTGCGTAGCTCAACCGGGGGATACACTGTTTGAGCCGAGCGTCATCACAGCGACTATTGGCGACTCTCCCGCCGAATGTGTAAAACGCTACTGTGCAATGTTGGTTCCAGGAAGTGGAGAAAAATCGCGGAAATACCGAGAACTTTTTGGCTTCAAATCTGTATAGTGGCGGAAGGCAGAACCAAGTTGTCCGTTGTATATACAGTCTATGGTTATTTCTAGTCTGTTGATCGCTGAAGCTGCTCTTTAAAAACTTCAGTGCGTAATGCTTTTTTGTTACTAAATCTGGCTTTGTATCAGCAGTTACACATGCACACATCAGGTCAACAAAAGGAAGAGGGATAAGTAGAAAGAAGGAAACATCCGGAGACAGAGTCAATATATCAGCAGATCAGATTTTAAAATTAAATAAATTAATAAATAAACATACTTTTGAGTGAGTCCTGATCACAGGAGTGATGACAGGCGGGTTCTTCTTGTAACAACAGCCGTCCTTTTACCGCTGCCTGTCTGTGTGTGTTCAGTTAAAATGGCTCACAGGGGAGGGCAGAGCCTCCAAAACAAGAGCACGTTTACTGCAGACTGTGTTTTATGCATTATGGCAGGTCAGGGGCTTCAAGTGTGTGTTTGTTGGGAAAGATTGATGCTCAGCTATGCATGTATGAAACACTTGTTTCATATATTTATGTACATTGTGTAACCAAAATCCTTCACATCTGAGAACGGACTTTATAATTGAAGCATTGAGTCTTCTCTTTCTCTCCTTTCATTATTTTGTAAAAGCCTCACACATTTGGCAGCCGGAGAGGAAATTCTCAGCCTCTTTGAATTCTTAATGTAGATATTTATATGTGGTCTGTCTTCATGTTACACACTACACCCTTCTCCGTCCTTCTACCCTTTGAAAACAGAGGATTTCCTTAGTTTGCTTGGCAGCTGGAGTCACAGGGGGAGATTCTTGGGTTTGGTTTCTCTTATGGAATTTTCTCATTTGTACTTCAGGCATTAAGCCATAGACCACTGCTGCTACAGTCTATCTCCTGCATCAGTCATCTCTTCACCTCTCCGCGAGGCCTGCGCTCCTCATTTACAAATCTCTGGTGGCCACTATTTCCTCAGCTCGGAGCTTTCCAGTCAATTTGTTGCTTTTAGGTAATTACAAGTAAATGACACAGGCCGTGAAGTGTGTTTGTTTTCATTTCAATTCATGGTTAAATCCTCAAGTTCAAAGTTAGATGTGATGACGGGAGTACATCATGGTGGTGTTGGTCTTTATTAGACTTTAATGGGAACACAACGGGGCTGAAATGTCAGTTTTTACAGTTGAAGCATGCTCTTATATCCTTTCTTCTTTCTACGTTTGCTTTCCTTATGGTGAGATGTGCAAAACTCAGCTACAAACTGCTAAAAGAAGCATAAAGACACATGCTTCATTGATTTCCCTCCTATGTATTAAGTCGGTCCTCTCTGTGATTTTTGCTTTCAACACATTTCTCTGCGTCATGCTTAATCCCCAATTTATGTTAAATTGAGCTCGAGTTAAAAGGAATATCTCTTTACTCTCATTTTTTGTCTAACCCAGGTTCTTGGTCATTACATCCGCCGGCAGCAGGATCCAGAGACGTTCATCAGTGAGATCAAGTATATCGCCAGCGACCCCGATGACAAATACTTTTTCAACGTTACAGATGAAGCTGCGCTCAATGACATTGTGGATGCTCTTGGAGATCGCATCTTTACTCTCGAAGGTTTGTAATAAGGAGGAAGGAGCCGAGCTGAAGATACTGGCACTGTGAGAAGAATTTGAGAAAGAGAAGAAGAAGTGGCACGTTAAGATATAGGACAAAAGGTATGGGCGTCAGGTCAATGTGAAGCGAGAATGAGGAGAGGAAGTTAGAGGGAGTGCACGGCTATCATGAGAAGAAGGCTGATGAAACATGATGATACCCCTGCAAATGTTTAGGGACATCAGAGAGGAAGAGACAGGAGGAGAGGAAAGGGTGAGGCATGTCTGCCACCTGTGGTCCTCCCAGTGAGTGGGAGTACTTGCTGATGCCGTCTAGATCAGATCCTCAGAGGCCAAGGAAGGAAGGGAGGAGATGTGTGAAGAAAAAACCAGACACTTTGCTCTCTATCTCCTCCTGTAGGCACGCTTGGATACAACCAGAGCTCGTTCCACATGGAGATGTCTCAGATCGGCTTCTCAACACACACACTGGACGTGAGTAATCGTTCATCTCTGAGCCAAGTGTGTGTTTTTACCTGTAACTTCTCAACAACAAATCAGTAAATGTGTGGTACTGTTTAGGATGGCATTCTGTTCGGGATGGTGGGCGCTTACGACTGGGATGGCGGAGTGTTGAAGGAAGGGATCAACGGGCGCATCATGCCGCCCAGAGAAGCGTTTGAGAGCGAGTTTCCACTGGAGCTAAAAAACCATGCTGCTTATTTAGGTATTCACACATTCACACACCGAACATTATCTTCAATGGATCCCATTTGTAGTTTAGCATTTCAGTGCACCGCTATTACAGATTATTGTGTCAGTGTTTGGTATTGATGTAGCAACGTCCGAGATATAATTCAACTGTTTAAAACATTCACTGCAAATTATTTGGTTATTACTAAGACAAAAAAACTTAGATTTAGAAGTGTTAGATAATTTCTCTTGTTTTAAGACTTAATTTCATACTTTAAGTGTTTAACTTTGTCTCAAATAGGCACAATATCTTAAAATGAGGAAAAAAACGGTTAAAATCAGTTTTATTCCATCTGTCTCCCAAAGTTTCATCAGAAGGAATCTTGTTTTAAGATTAAGTAAGCCTTGTTTCAAGATAAGCCTGCTTGGATTGACACAGAGTTTAGTCATTCTTCACTAATACTGGGTATTTTTTCTCTAAATTTCTAGTTTTTGTTTAACTAATCTTCAGCTTAATTTGCTAAAAGTAAGAATACAAAATATGTAATTGCTTATATTTGGTATATTTCGCTTATTTTAGGGCTGTAAAAGTAGTAATCTGATCTTAAAACCAGCAATTTATACTTATTTTATGCTTATATTTAGTATATTTAACTTATTTTGGGGGCTGTAAAAGTTACATTTGAAGTAATCTGATTTTAAAATCAGCATTTTTGGCTTACTTTAAGCCTTCCAAACACATTTCTAGTCACGCTTGTCTCTAGATTTAACAATCTTAATTTAAGAAATCTTGTCAAGTGAAATTATCTTGCTGCATGGACGGATAATTTCACTTGTTTTTATTACCTTTTCCCCTCAGATTTAGCGTTTTTATCTTGTTTTTAGAACCCCTTTTTTGCAGTGTTGATTTTGCTCACTCATAATTTATTGGTTAGTTTAACTTTAGAAAAAATTACGTCATAGATTTCTATCATTTTACATTCAGACCTAACTTATGACTGCATAAACATTGAAAACAATGCAGCTCGTAGCAGAAACTTTAAACTGACTCAAGTAGAGTTTTCTCTGAGCTGCTTGGTTCATGCAGAAAATAGTCCACCACAGTGCTCCAAGTGCGCCTGGTTTGTGGTGAACTAAAACGTTAGAAAAACCCCACTGTGACTCTTTGACTCTTAGTTGTAGGACACAGTTATTTGCAGAGTTTGATGATGTGTATCTGTGTGTGTTTCCAGGTTACACAGTATCCTCTGTCATAGTTGGAGACTGGAGGAGGCTTTACGTCGCCGGGGCTCCTCGGTTCAAACACAAAGGCAAAGTCATCCTGTTTGAACTCAGTGATGAGGGGGATGTCAAAATCGCACAGGCGCTCAATGGAGAACAGGTAAAGCTTTCTTTATGAATGATCTCACTCTTAGTCTGCAGTTATTTTTACTGACTGGAGCAGAAAACAGCAGGTTTGCACAGATTAAGGCAAGGGCTCCACCTACTGGCAGACAACTTGAAAAGCATCTGTCTGTGTGCAGATCGGGTCTTACTATGGCAGTGAGGTTTGTGGGCTGGATATTGACCAGGACGGCATCACTGACGTTCTCCTGGTTGCTGCACCAATGTACCTCGGCTCAGGGAACAAGGAGGCCGGTAAAGTCTACATCTACACCGTCAGCGGGGTAGGGCAGCAGTGGCACCGTCATTCTTCTCCTTGTGAACTATTATACAACCAGCATGAGAACATGAACATCATCCGATTTAGAAATGATGCTTTTTTTTACTTCTTATGTTTCCTCTCTCTTAAAACTTCCCTATATTGTCTCAGGAAGAGGTGTTTGTCTCTAACGGTACCCTCAAGTCTGAGGAAAAGTCTCAGGATTCCAGGTTTGGTTACGCACTTGCTGCAGCTCCGGATCTCAATCATGATGGCTTTACTGACCTGCTGGTGGGGGCCCCACTGGAGGATGAGCACAGGGGCGCCCTCTATGTCTACCACGGCAATGGCATTTATGTCATTCATAATTATAAGCAGGTACTTGTCGTTGCTATGATGAGATATTTTCTTGTGTACTCCAGGATTCAGCCAAACTGATTTCTGTTTCTGCCTCTCTTGTCATCTCAGCGTATTACTGGGTCATCGCTCTCCCCCTCCCTGCAGTATTTTGGCCGCAGTGTGAGCGCCCGGTTGGACTTGGATGGAGATGAGCTGATAGACTTGGCAGTGGGAGCACAGGGCAGCGCCGTGCTGCTCAGGTAGGTCGAGTTTAGAGGAAAGGGAAGGACATTGCTAGGAAAGGCTGCGAGCACTTTGAGTTAAAGTAGATTCATACCATAAATTGGCACGACTGAATTAGTCATTGATTCTTTCAAATGAGGTGGGGTACGATGATTGACAGCTCTGTCGACAAATGCAGATCGAGCAACATTCACTTGATAAATAAAGAGGAGAAGGAACAGCGAGAGGAAATGTAATGAACGCAAACACACAATTCAGTCAACTTAAAGCTCCTGTGAGGAACTTTTAGTTTGTGTAAATTTTGGCGCCCCCCTGTGGACAACACAGTTTTTACTTATCTTGTCCTCATTCTTGAGAAAAAAAATGTCACCTTGCAGACTTTGACTGTCAAATGTCTCATTTATCGTGAATATTTTCAGTGGAAGTTGTCAAAGTAGAGTTGACACCTTACCTCCTCGTACCGGTTTCAGACACTAAGAATTACAATATAAAAATCGCCAGTCTTGTTCCAATGGTTCTGTGGCTCTGAGGGACAAAGGATACATATAATTAATCTTCATTTAAGTATTCACACAGTCAATTAGAGGTAATTATGCTTAACCAAATATTAAATGCCTTGTCTAAAGCGAGTTAGTTGTCCTTACTATCAGCCGTGACCGTAAGAAATAAATCATCTCAGAGCAGCAGCTGGCTCCTACAGGTCTTTGGAGTCACACGGCTGACAAATGAATCCTGTTTTATCATCCACCGTCTGTCCTCTGTGCAGTTCTCGCAGCATCGTCCGGATCAATGTGAGTCTGTCCTTTGAGCCGCACTCCATCAACGTCATCCAGAAGACCTGCCAGAGGGGAGGCAGGGAGTCTGCGTGTCTCAATGCCACCGCCTGCTTCACAACTGTCTCCCGCTCCCCTGGACCGCACAGCAACAGCTTTGGTATCACTCTTTATTTTGACTCTCCCTCTCTCTCTTTTATACTTCTTGAAGCGACTGCACATTCAGTGACTTGGCAAATGATTAAAATGGGAATTTTCCAACACTCTCCATCTGTCCCAACTACCTGCTCCCTTCTCAGATCTGTGGTTGTCAGCCACGCTGGATGACAGGAAGTTGTCTGCGAGGGCACTTTTTGACGACAGCTCCCACAGACAGACACAGCTGGTGGTGCCAGTCCACACAGGAAAGACTGTCTGCCACAAACTGCCCTTCCATGTTTATGTAAGAGTTCCTCTAAACATGTTTGACACTACTCAGACATGAAAACGCTGAATCCAGTTCGTCACAAGTGCTTGTCTTTGTTTTAGGACACAGCAGATTACATCCGTCCCATTAGTTTCTCGCTGCGCTTTAAAATCAACAGTACAGAGAGCGGCCCAGTGCTGGATGAAGGCTGGCCAACAACTGTTAAGAAAACTGTAAGTGACCCATTCTTGACAATTTTCCGACCGCTTAAGGTTTCCTGTTTTTTTTTTAATTTTCCCACCATAAATCATACCTCCCTTACTCTGCTCCAGATCCAGTTCTTTAAAGACTGCGGCGAGGATGATGTGTGCACCACAGACTTAGTGCTGCAAGCCCACATGGACATCTCTGGGACAAGGTACGGATTTCAGATATTTCCTCTGTTTTCTTCTCTTATAGAGGATTAGAAATGTATGGAAGCCCATTTCCGCCAGTCAAAAAAAAAGTCGAAATTACGAGATAAAAAGTCATAATTATGAGATTAAAAAGTCATAATTATGAGATTAAAAAGTCATAATTATGAGATAAAAAATCGAAATTATGAGATAAAAAGTCATAATTATGAGATAAAAAGTCCAAATTATGAGATTAAAAAGTCATAATTATGAGATAAAAAAGTCAGAATTATGAGATAAAAAGTCACAATTATGAGATTAAAAAGTCATAATTATGAGATTAAAAAGTCATAATTATGAGATTAAAAATCGAAATTATGTGATAGTAAGTGCGCATGTTTTATGGCGCCGTCTTCAAGGTCTTACTTCACCTCACTGGACGCACCATGCAAACGATACTCATCAGTAAATTAGGAAAGTATTATAGGTGTCTTTGATAGATATTTAATATTACTATTCATTTAATCAGTCCGTCCGTGCTGCTAAACAAATTACGTTATTTTGACAATATCTTTCAGCTGTCAGTGATTCATCGTTGAGACCTTGAAGACGGCGCCATAAAACATGCGCACTTACTATCACATAATTTCGATTTTTAATCTCATAATTATGACTTTTAATCTCATAATTATGACTTTTTAATCTCATAATTATGACTTTTTTTTTTTTTTTGACTGGCGGAAATTGGCTTCCATAGAAATGATCTACAAGCTGCTCAGTAAAGTTTTCTAGTGAGTCCTCATTGTGATTTCTCCGCAGACAGAAGCCTTATGTGATTCGGAGCCCTCGTAGGCGTCTGGCAGTAGAGGTGCAGCTTCAGAACAGACTGGAGAACGCCTACAACACAAGCTTGACGCTCCACTACTCACGCAACCTCCACTTCTCCAGCCTCAGTATTAGGGTAAATTACACTCCTATATACATCAAACTCCTGTCAAACTTTTCACACAGATCTGCGTAGACAAACTGACACAGTATTTCTGTCTCTCACTTTCTCCCGCCGTAGGAGGATGCCCACTTCAAGATCGAGTGTACCGCGCTCGGTGCCAACAGCCACTCATGTAACGTCAGCTATCCAGTATTCCGCTCCCAGTCAAAAGTACATCCATGCTGAGGGAGTAACCACCCCTCTCCTGACTCAGCCCACTCATACTTCACTCCCTCCAGGTGTCGTGTATCACTCCAGCAGCCTCTTCTCTCTTGTGTTTGTTTGCAGGTTAACTTCATGCTGGAGTTTGAGTTCAGCTGCACGTCTCTGCACAGCCGAGTGCAGATGAAGCTTCATGCCTCCAGGTAGTTCACAACAGCAAATAGATCAGATCTGGGAATAAACGGTCCAAAGTGTGCTGTCTTTTATTGACCTTGTGTTACCTTCTGGATGTCCCATAGTGACAGTGTGGAGAGAGAGGACACTTTGGGGGATAACAGTGTTCAGCTGCAAACGTTTGTTCAGTATGAGCCAGATCTGTTTGTAAGCAGGTATGTGTGTGCAGGAAATCATAGCTTTTCACCTAAATTCACGCTGTTCAAAACACATTTTTAAAATCGTCTTTTTCTGCGCAGTGACTCTAATCTGAACCGATATGAAGTCCATCCCACTCGCACCGTGTCAGAGGCAATTGGACCGGAGTTCTACACACACCTCAGGGTAAAATCATGACTATGTGCTTGTTTGTGAGAACAGAAATCATCATGAAAAATGATTAAAATTGGTGGCATGTCTTTGTTTGTGTTTGTAGCTGCAGAACCTCGGCTGTTACTCCGTGAGTAATCTTGAGCTCAGGCTGCATCTGCCCTCTGTGGCAGCAGGAGACCGAGTCTTTATGACTGTCACTGATGTATTTTCCTACAACGTGAGTTCATCTGCTGCGTAGAGTGTTTGTCCCTCCTGTTTAGATCATGTCTGACATATTTAAATCCTCCCCCCGCAGGCCACAGGGGTGAACTGCAGCGTGCAGAGTGATCTTGCCCAGCTGAAGGCCAGGCAGAGAGACATGCGCCTGCTTCATCCTGAAGACATGATGCAGAATGACATACTGGTGAGCCCCCCTGGTGATACAGCAGCTGCTGAGCACTGTGCAGCGTTAGTGTGTGTGTGTGTGTGTGCGTTAACATGCTATTTGTTTGTGTGTGTGTGTAGAACTGCAGCAGGTCGTGGTGTACTGAGGTGGTGTGTGAAGTCCAACAGCTCCTAAAAGGCCAAGCCGCCATTATTCGTGTCAGCCGCAGAGTTCATGATGATTTTTTCAGAAAAGTGAGTCCTGCAACAGAAATGTCCACACTCATCTGCCCTATGACACAAACACTGGTCATCACATCTGTGTCTCTTTTTTTTAAGGCCAAATATAAGTCAGTGAGGATAGTAGGTGCCTATCGCCTCGCCGCTCAGGAGACGAACCTCATCACTCTGGGCACAGGGACAGTCTGGAGGGAGGTAAGAAGACTGAACTCACTGCCATGTTAGTTTTAGGCTGTCCTGAGGGAGAAAAAGAAACTCTGTAAAACTATAAAACAGCCCAAAAATAATGCAAAATCAAAAACAGACCTCTATTTTTTCAGGTCTTTTACTTGGATAAGATTCCACTACAGCATGTTGTTCCTTCCCAATGAGCAATAGACAGCTATTAGACATCTAGTTATTTTTTCGACCTAATTTCTAATCTAGATTCTGTATATCTGTAGACGGAATTTAGACGTTACACTTTAACCCGCTATTCGATAAGTATTTATTTCAAAACGCAACTGTGAGTTGCATAACTGATCTCCAAGTACTAAACCAAAATAATTATGATAGCAGTTGAGCAACATACTGGTAGACCTCTGTTAGCTGGCTAGTCTAAACTTGGTCTAAATTTAGACGTCTGAAAACTTTCATTTTTAGACCTGTGGTCGCCTGATTTTAGACCAGTCGTCTAGACTACATTTAGATGTCTATTAGACCTCTTTTAGACAGAAAAATGCTCAGTGGGTTCTTTATAAGACACATTAGGAATAAAGCCGTTCGCTTAAGAACCAAAACAAATGATGGTGATGCCAAAAGTCACAACCATTATCAAAATATTCAAAATGGTCCAGAAAACCTTTGTCATGAATAGTTTGCCTCCCTTTTAAACATACAAATGCAGTATTCGTCAAGTAATGAATGATTTGGGGTTTAGAGCATCAGTCTTTCTCTCTAATTTTTCATATTCGGTTTAATTTTAAAGAAAAAGACATTTTTTGTCTAATCTCTTCACTTCTGTCTCGTTCTGTAGACTGTGCTGGAGGTGTTGAAGGGCAGAGCTATTCCCATCTCACTTTGGATTTTAATTGGAAGCATCATTGGTGGTTTGCTGCTTCTGGCCCTGATAATTTTTATACTATGGAAGGTATTTCACCAGATTGTTTGATTTACAATTAATAAAGAATTGCTTTTTTTTTTTTGTTTACAGCACGATAACTTACCCTCTAATGTCTCTACAGCTGGGATTCTTCACACGCAAACTCAGAGGAGAGGATGAGAACCACGAGGACTGAGCCCGAATTCTGCTGCCATGACAACAGTCATTGGCTACGATGACTACCACATTAACTGAGTCTGCCTCTTACCAGGCACAGTGATAGCTCTGGGACTGGACTCAACCATCACATGCGATAGGGACCTCCAGGACCAAAGAGAGAAACACGCGGGTCCAATAGAAATGCACTACCAACGATTTCCAGGGTTGGGAGCACTTATGTAAATAATCCTGTTCTGTTTTTTTTAAGGGACGTGTATTAAACCACAATTCTTCTATTTAATATACAGACATCTCTTTGGTTTTTTCATTTCAAATGATCACTTTGTCTGATGTTTGTCTTACAGTTTAGAGTTTGTTCTTAAATGGAATAAAAACTTTATAAAAAAAAATCCTCCACTCAATTTATTTGTTGAAGCATGGAGAAAAAAAACACAGTATTTAGATTTTATTCCACTTCAAACTGAAACAATTCATTCCTTTAGACAATAAAACAGCCATACTTTACAGCATCCACTCAAAAAAAAGGCAAAAGCATATCTGAATCAGCTTGCAGCTGTGGCAGTGGAGTTGACGTAGGACTCCAGAATAAAGATGGTTTCATCCACCTGGTTCTCTGCTGAATCCAGCCTGCAGGGTGAAAGAACAACATCAGAGACTGTAACACCAAAAGCATGACTCAACACACATGTTGCACAAAGGTTAAAAAAAATAAAAACAGAGTGTCTGTTTCATGTCCTACTTGTTGATATGAAGCCGGAGGGTCTCCAGCTGTTGCTTCTCAGGAGCAGTGATCATCTCCTCCACCTCCGTCAGCTGCTCAGGCTCAGCTCCACTGGCCTGCAGAGACGCTAGAATGGCCTCGATCCTTTGAGATTTCTCCAGCAGACGCCTGTTACACAAGCAGAAAACCATCAACCAATGTGTGGGCCAGAAAAATTTTAAGTGCGTTGTTTAAAGTAACAAGACAAAGAGCATTGGGGGGGTGAACGTCTGGATGAACTCACTTGCTGTCTTTGGTTTCAAAGAGGCGTCGATCTATGAGGTTGGCTACAGTCTGCACAGAGAAAAATGCACAATGATGGAAAAATACTGAAGGCAAAACAACACAGAGGACACACAAAGCTCACTTAGGCTCGTTCTGGTCTGTTACACTTGTTTGTTTTACCTTGTAGCAGTTTTGAAGCAGCATTCTCGCAGTCGGGAGTTGGTTGACGGTGTAAAGATAAAAGGTGCGAGAGGGGGCGTAGTCAGGAGTCTTTGGGATTTCCTGAGAGTGAAACAAAAACAGTATGACTGTTCAGAGAGTGAGTAGGTAGATTACAAAACAGGAATTGGAGCTGCTCCAGTGTGCTCATTCAAGCTGCCAGTGAAACAAATGGTCACTTTATGAAAATCCTTCCCTGCACTGTTGACCATAAAAAGATGACTGTCACAGATTGGGCTGCTCAGCTGTTCATGTACAGATTTAGAAATATCTCATTGACCGAGTGCATCTAAGAAAACGTGCCAAGTAATTTTCTAAGTTTGTTTTTGGATCTGATTTTTTTGTAGAACTCCCACTCTGCAGACAGTTGCTTCGAAGAGAGTCATCAAACTTGTATATCAAAATCTTAAAAAGTTCGGAGTTTGATAAAACTGTGGTGACAACCGTGAAAGCATTTACACACATATACCTGCAGTTGCACCAGGTTCTGTGACAGTAGCGTGTAGAGCATGTCTTTAGCCTCCTTAGCTGGAATCATCGCAAAATCCTCCACCTGCTTCTGCTCCAGGTGACGTTTCCTTAGCAACAGGCGGAAGATGCGTGCAGAGCGGGAGCCAAATCTAGAGATAACACAAAAATGAGATCAATTTTCCAATGACTGAATTGATGTGCAGTACACAGATTTTTTTTAAATGTACTTGTTTACCTCTCCTGCACTACAGATTCAAGCGTGGCCCGAGCCAGATTAGCCAGCGCTCTGTGCAGATCTAAGATGTACGTTAAGAAAAGCGTCTCTACTTTTTTTCATGGATCAAACACATCACATGCCCAGGACTGTCTTGGTTTTAAAGAAAAAGGATACTGACGACATACATCCCCCCTCCACTTTCACCAGCCTTTCCCACAAACTCCATCTACCAAAGAAAAAGAAAAGGAGATCAGGTGAAACCTTCCAGAGAGAAATTCAAAACTCGTTAATAAGCACACGTGTAATCAAAATGTCATACCGGGTCATCGACCAGTAGTGTGAGGTACTGGTCTAGGATGGGTCTGGGGATGCTGTAGCTAGTGGGGAGGGACCTGAAGATCTCGTTGGCTGAAAGGGGCTTCGTGTAGGTGGCTGTGGGCGGGGTTGTCACTTCACTCATCCTCAGCATGGTCCTTACTATCTCACTGCTCGTCTGTGTTACAAAAATGAGAGTTTAGAATGACAGCCATAAGCAGCATAACAATAACTGTGAGATTATTGTCTCCTGTGAAATAATCAGCTGATAGCTGGGGTATCTGATTCAACAATAACAGTGCATGTCTTTTTAATTATAAACCAATTTTAACCCTCTGGGGCTCTTAGGACATTTTTGACCATTTTTGGCGACTTTTAACATTTCATTTGTTGATCATTTACATCAACACATCAAAACATAATAGTGCATTAAAATTAATGTTGAAATTCCTGCCCAGCATCTAATATGTGGAAAATAACTCCAAATTTCCTTTTTTCCCATCAAAAATAACAGTGACATCATATGGTCAAACTGGCATTTAAAGGGTTAAAATTCTGCAAATGAATTAATATTTGACAAATATGATCAGGAATGAAGTTGATTAAAAGATTTAAGCAAAAAAAAGTGGGAAAAAAATATTAATGTATATTATTTTATAGCACTTTTAGGAGATGGGCATTTTTGTCCATCTGAGGACCTAAATGTAACTGTTTTTAAGGACCCTGAAGGTAAAAAAAATAGAAATATAATGGTCTAACACCCTCTCTCGCTCACCCTCCCATTAGTCTAGTTCCTTTTAGCAGCGAAGCTCCTGTCATGCATATTAGGTATGATCTCCTTTGCTAAGTTTTCCTCGTCACAAACTTCTATCAGTACAAATCCCTCTCTTCTTCTTTGTCTTCCAACCAGCAGCCACCCATGAGATAAAACACCAGTGGCCCTTCCTAGTTTGTTCATTTGGTGCTACTGTAAAGACATAGCAGTGCAAGATGGTTGCCCCCATGGAAGGTAACCCTCTTCATTTTTTTATTTTAGATGTATAAGACTCATTCCAAGTTCATACAGATAAGACTTAATTATACACTAAATTAAACATACTAATGAAGAAGTTCCTCAAAGAAGGGTGAAAGGGGAGTATTAAAGTGATTAGTCTTGAAACAACAATTAAAAGCTTCAGTATGAAAACCTGACCTGGTCCAGCTTGTTGGCTACGGCACTGATGATGGCCTGGTCTCTGAAGTGGAGATGGAATCTCTCAAAATTCACCTGCCAGTGAATGCCCTCATCCCCATGTGTCTGAGCATAGACCATAGAGAGATACAGGGATGAAAGGTCATACAAAAGAGACATGAAGAAGAAATCATAACTTTTTTAAAATGTGGCGACGTGTCAAAAAAACATCCAACCTCTATATCCATTTTAGCCTTCTTTGCGTTCCTTTGGTCCTCTCCATCCTCAGGGGAGAGCTGGCGTTTGCCTCGCCCTATGAGTGTCACATGAGGTACCTTGTAACAGTCTGGGAAGCTCTCTGCCGTTGGCGGGGCTGTGTTAGCAGGGGCAGCTGGTTTATCAGTATTAGCAGGAGTAGCACTTTCCTTTGTTCCGGCTCCTGCTACCGGAGGGCAGCGCTGCAGAAAATGAGTCTCTACTAGTTTGGAGAAAGCGGATGAGACTTCACTGTAGTCCATGCTGCGGCCCTCTGGAACAAAAGGAAGGACAAGGAGAAAATAGTGTTTTCAGGATAGCAGAGAGAAATTTATTTCATTTTTTATTTAGTTTATTCAATTTGAAAAAAAAAAGGTAAGCTGAAAAAATAAAACATTAAAGCATGCACACCAATAAGCTATCACCAAAATACTACAATAACTGACATGTTACAAGCTCTTTTGAAAAGAAGAAAAAAAAAACATGCTTCCACACAACTACAAGAGACATCAATCAATCATCAATCAAGCTTATTAATATTGAACTTTTCGTACTAGTCAAGTCTTCACAGTGATTGAAAACAAAACAGCTAAGAATAAAAACATAAATAAAATTAATAATGACAGAAAATGGGACAATTAAACTGAAAAAAACAGGATAGGTAGAGACTAATACACACAATGGAAAGTAAAATATGTGGAATTAAAATATTAAAAGAGATGAAATAAGTTAAAACATAAAAGAAAAGCATCAAATATGTGATATATAAATATATAATATATATGTGAAAATGACTTAAAGATAAGTAGTCAAATATATAAATAAAACACTAAGCTAGCAATAAAAATGAGTGATTAAGAATAAAATTAAAATAGTTTAGAATAAACCAAAAACAGCACATAGCAAAACTAATAAAAGCCAGACTGAAGAGAGAGGTCTTAAGTTAACGTTTAAAAGTCTCAATATTTGCATATTTGCATGAGAGCTTTTTTACAGCCTCTAACAGATACTGAGGTTGATATACTGACCCTCCATGTTCTGTGTGAGCCGGTCGGCCACTGTCTTCACTATGCTGCTCATGGTCATCTCACCCCTCTGGAGTAGCTCCTCTATGATCAACTCTCCGGTGTCACCGTACAGGGTTTTGGCCGAGTAGATGTAGCGTGGGTATCGCAGAATCCTCAGAATGTGATCACAGCTGGTCCGGTACTCTGTGGGACTACCAGGTCCTTTACGGCCCGCGCTGAACGTGCAGATCCTGTGCTGCACAAGCACACACAGGGACTTTTTTATCTGCAGTAGAAAAGAAAGGAAACAAAGATTGCTATTCAATTCAGTCATCCTCAAATCCTGAGTGGTTCATAGTTAGGATATATGTGCAGAATGTATGATATGGTTTTTATCATGTAAGGTAGAGACAGTTACAGCCTCAGCAGAAAGAAGAGGAAAGGTACCAGGTCCAGTGAGATGCCAGTCTCATGAATGATGGTTCTTAAATTCTGTGCTCCACCTTTCAACAGGTGAGTCCCAACTCTCTCCACCACATCTCCAAAGTGCTCTCGCAGCAGGAGACCGCACAAACGAACCTCTTGGGCAGTCATCTGTACCAACACAGAAAATTTCATGAAGCAAATTAATTTAAACAACTACTACAAATAAAACTCTACATCTGCTTTTGACATTAAACAAAGATGGTCTGATTAAGCACCAATTTAAACATTTAAGAGCCAAATAGTTTACAAACTGGAGCATAAGTGAAAAATACACAAAATCACTCATTGTAGGAGGCAATATTCACAAAAAGCAAAGTGTCACAATTTCAGAAATTAGACCCTTTTTTAGTGATATAATCATCTCTTCAACAATGTGTGAAAATGTTGGAGGACTGCTGTTGCTGTGTGCTTAACAGCTCCTATCTGAAATACACAATGTATACAAAGGAGGATAGGTTTGCATCTCATTATTGCGAAAATGAATTTCAGATGAGCATTTTGTTTTTGCATGTCCTTGTATATCCTAGGAGGACGAGTTTTTAGTGATCATCATAATTTGTTCCAAGTGTTCTGATAGTTTTTTATTTAGTGGGAACTATTTGGAGATGTCTTAATTTATCAATTAAATATAACTTTCAAATTGACTAAAAAGTTATAACTCTTTAGTCAATTTGAAAGTTTTATTACTTTTTTTTTTTTACAGAAATGTCAAAGTGCCTAAACAAGGAGTCCCTGTTTTTCCATGTTCTGATGCAAGACTTGGTTTACATTTTCAGAGGCTCTATTGCATCATTGTCCATCAACCTCTTCTCGCTACTTACTGCTATAAGTGTAATGAAAGGACACGCTGCTTTTTAGATATGCAATCTAGCCACGTATTTAAGATCTGTGTTTTTCAGTTTGCAAAATGCTTTTTAACAAGTAGAGTTATATATACTAACAACACCTAGTACCTTACCCAGTATGTATAATTCGTTAATAAAATTAGGTAATTTGATGTAATGATACAGACTAAACTTTGATTATCAGTAAACCTATACAAAACAGTAAGGTCTGATCATTAATGTTGGTCAGATTAATACAATGCTAGACATTAGGGCTGGGAGGGAAAATCAATTCAGATAAGTATCCCGATTTTTTTGTATAACAATTTTTAAATTGAGTTTTATGTTTAAAAAAGTGTTGTTGTTTTTTCAATTAAGATCAAGAATATTTTTAAGAATACATTTTTAAAACTGACTTACATGTGATGTGTATTTTGTGGGGAAATATGGTTCCTGCAATAGTCAGTAGACAATCATAATCATTCAACTGTTTCACTGGAATTAAGAATGCAGATTAAAAATCGAGAAAATCGACAATATCGTAGAATCGCAATTTAAACTGAATCGGCATCCAAATAATCGTAGAAGAATCGAATCGGGAGAATATCGTCCCAGTCCTACTAGACATAACACAGCACTTTCTCTGTTTGCCAATGAAGGAGGTGGTGACAGTCTGATCAGACTCCTTCATAAGAAGAATGGCAAAAGTCAATATTTGGGTAATAAATGTCTTTACTTGTTCATAAGGATCAGACGCTCTAAGTTTACCTGTATGCCTATGACAAACCTCTCAGAGAACATGTGGTAAAACACTTTGTCCATTTCAACCTCTGCCACGAACCTTTTTGACTGATGCGTTTCTCCACAGGGACGATCCTTCCTTTCAAAAAGTCCCCAAATTTACCTCCAAACACATGCTGTTTCTCGTTGTCAACACACGACCACTTCCGGATAAACTTGCTTGGATGTGCCCGGCTGTGCCACCGCGGTGCATGCCGGGCCGGAGGCGGACAGCTGTCTTGAGTTTGTGGAGGACCGACGTCAGTGTTTGTGCTGCTCTGGGAAGATGGCGGAGGCTGCGGCTGTTCCACCGCATCGGTTTTTCTGTCACTGTTGTAAGGGAGAAGTCAACCCAAAACTCCCGGTAAGCCACGCTTATTTGTCTCACTGCCCGTCGCAGTTCTTTGTCTAATATTAGCGGATGACAACTGGACGTTTCTTTAAAAACTGGGTTTATTCCGCTCGCCTGCTGCAGCTAAACACAAGCTAGCATGTTAGCAGCTAGCGACGTTTGTTGTTGTTAACTCACTAAATAAAATCGTATCACTCGCAAATGTCCTGGTAAATAATTGGATGTAAAATTCACACATGGACAGGGTTGATAAAAGCCTGTATGTGTGAAACAGTTTGTCCAAAACAACTCTGCTTGTCGTCTTGCTGTGACAGCCTGGGGATTTGTGTTTTGCTCAAAACAACATTTACGGCTGAGAGGTGAAGGTGTCTGTGTTTGTGCTCTGTCATTTGATTTTACAGGCAAGATTAACAAAAACTATGTGGGTATTTTCATTTTCACTTTATTGCCTTTTAAAAATAATCCAGGCAGGATGGTTCAGGGGAATTTTCTGGACTTCTCTCGTCGTTTTACTTTCAGTTTTAAAGTCAGAAGTGAGAGTTTGTGATCTTGACCAACAACTTTCTAGTCCTCCATATTTATTTCACCACATCCACCTGACACTTTAGTAGATACAATCACAACTGTAAACATAATATATATTTATACCACTGCCTAGTGTTCCCAACATCCCAAATATGATCATTTACTGGGTTTGATTATGAAAAATGTAGGTTTAAATATAATAACACATCCACTTCATGATTTCTGTTGTGGTATTGTGTTTTATTTAATCTATTAATCACATAAATGACCTGTCTATTTAATTATTAACATTTGTAAACTAAGAGTGAAGGCAAGATTTATTTACGATAAAACTTATATAATAAAAACATAAATGAGGCTAAAAAGACGACTGTTTAAACTGTCGTTTGGGTGTTGCTGATTTAAATCATGTCAAGCAGTCATGTTGTCAGTCAGCCGGTCCACCAAATAATTTGTCGTCAGCTTATTTTTATGTCATGGTTGAGGGTAATTCCAGCCCGCCCTGTCATGGTCTCCAAACTCGCCTGCTTGTCTCAGACACACTCAGTCCTGTGGCATGTCTTCACTGAGCCAACTGTCTGCAACACCCCTAGGTTTATCCCCCCACACGACTACAGTATGTCCTCAAGACCACCTCTCAGTCATGTGTCCGTTTTAACAACAGATATGACACAGAAGCAGTTTTCCCACAACCATTCCTGACCACGACCCTGGTTTAAGATCCCTTATTTCATGACCTACTTTACTCTTCACATCTGTTATAAAACAAACCTACTAGACTAATCTCTCGTAGCCCTCTTTTGTGAGTCTTAAAGACCCCACACCAATCCTGTGTCCTTGAGAAACTTTAGCTTTAATTCAGGAGACATGTGATCCAGCTGTGCACACTGGCAGTAATGTCTTCCTCATTCTGTCGAGTGATCTCTACAACGCAGCGCGCGTGTGTTAGGTGTGGTTGGCAGACCAGCTCTACCTCTTGGGCTACATTCAGACAGCTCAAGCAGACAGACGAATCTAACCGATATTATCCTCACAAAGAGAGAAACTGGCGGCATTTTGTTCAGTTGACAACAACTATGTTTTTACAGTGTTTCCATGATTCACCTTAAGAGTCCTGGCAGCAAGAAATCAACTCATTTTCAGTTGTCAATATAAATATCATTAAATGTGTCATAATGACTCACATTCATTGACCTTTTTTATATGTTGTCATACAAGAACCGCAAATTAAGATATGTTTTTTCAGGGGTTGTTTATAAAGCGCAGAGAAAACTCAAAACTAGTCCATATTTTTGGAAAAAGGAAAAGGCAATATTACTTGGTATTCAATATTTTTTCCAAGTAGAAAAGAGAAGCTTTGAGTGCTTTTCTGTGAGTTTTCTGAGTGCAGGTCTAAGCAAGTTAACAGATCGACTTAATCCAACAGTAACAAGCCAAATCAGTGTTTTTGGACTCCAAGTTGTAACACTGTAAATGTGGAGAAGTACAAGCAGGGAGATACTTACTTCAATCAATCAAAGTTTATTTTTATAGCACTGTTCATAAAAATGAAACTGCAGCTCAAAGTGCTTTACACCAGGACAAGAAAAATAAAAGTTATTAAAATAGACTAGAATAGAATAAAATAGAATAGAATATTCCTTTATTGGTCCCCCATGGGGGAAATTTTTTTTGCCACAGCAGCATCACAGACAAAGATAGTGCAAAAATGCAGTTATAAAAATAATCGTAATATTAAGAACTTAAATAACTGTTATAATGAAGAAAAAATTTGGAAAAAGGGGAGAATAAAATAAAATAAAACTATATACAATATACACAGTTTAAGTACCAGAAAAAGTAAAAAACATATTTTATTTTCTAAAACATGAACTTAAATTTATTGATAAAATAAGGTAAAAAGTGATACTAAAAAATAAATAAATTATAATAGTAATGAAAATAATGAAGCTTTACATAAAAGCCAGGCTAAATAGATGAGTTTTTAGGTTATGTTTAAAGATTTCTATATTTGCAGCTTGTCTCGGACCCTTTTGAAGTTTGTTCCACAGTTTTGGAGTGTAGCAGCTAAAAGAAGCATCACTAAAGTTTTTTGCTCTGCTCTGTGAAACGACTAAAAGAGAAGATTGAGAGGATCTGAGAGGCTTCCCTGGTTCATGAATTAAAATCATCTTTGAAAGGTATTCTGGTGCCAGGCCATGTAAAGCTTTATAAACTAGTAAAAGAATTTTAAAATCAATGTGAAAACTAACAGGCAGCCAGTGCAAAGACTTTAAAATGGGTATAATATGAGCTCTTCCCCTGGTCCTGGTCAAAACTCTAGCAGCAGAGTTTTGGATCAGTTGTAGCTGGTTTATTGTGCGTTTTGGTAGACCAGAGAGAAGAGCATTACAGATCATTACACATTTCAGCCTCTGTGCATCAATCATCTTGGAGCTACAGGTTTTACAAATAAAAAAAAAAAAACAGAAAATGCCTGGGTTTGAGGAAATAATGAGAAATACTTCCACTAACCTGTCTGACTCAGTCTTTCTGATGACTCTTTCAGGAGTACACTTGTCCGAGGTGTGAATCAGGGTTCATAGAAGAAGTAACAGAAGACTCCAGGTAAGAGGCTTACATTATTCCAGGTACATATCCCACGTCTGTAGACCGGGTGAGCTGTTTAGGCCTATTAGTGTTAGTCTGGAACAAAGGCAAGCGCGTTAGCTGTTCAGTGTTTTCCCACTCTTATTTAATTCTGGTGATGTGTGTGAGAGACACATTTCCACGTCATTAATGTTGTGGTTTCTGTTCCCCCGTCTCGCTGTTTTTCTCAGTCTCCTAGAGGGTGGTGCCAACGGCCTAGATGACACAGCCACACAGTTTGCAGAGGTAAGAGATGAGATCTGAGGGTAAATGGGTTAAAGATTAAGGCTGTAATTTTATGTTTCTATTAACTGTGTCCTTTCCCCCCCTTCATCCCTGTAGCTATGGCACCTGTTGTTACTGGAGCGGCCTTTCACTACAGACGGGGACACACCGGACTCAGAACCTCGGCTCCCCGGAGGCCGCTTGGGGAGTCTGAGTGACTTGGGAGGTTTAGGAGGGGGACCAATCGGAGGGTCAGTCCCAGCAGGGCTAGGGGGACCTATGGGGGGTCTACTAGGAGCCGGGGAACACTGGGGACCAGGGCGCCCCCCTCGCCTGCACAGTCAGAGGAGATACAGGTCTAGAGGTAGCAGTAGACCAGACCGCTCACCTGCTGTTGAAGGGTGAGTAAGAGCTGAGCTGCTCCTGTCTCGCCTTCTTGGCTCTCATCTCTGTTTTGTATTCTCTCACTTGTCATAATGACTGCACTCATTTTTTTTTGCTCTTCACTCTTTTTATTTTTGGCTCTAAAATGAACTGGTCTGTATTTTCTTTCTGTCTCAGGATTGTACAACAGTTTCTTGCCGGCCTCTTTGCCAACTCTGGAGTCCCGGGCTCCCCTCCCCTGTCATGGTGAGGGATGATGGCACAGTGTTGATGCTCGCATCAAAGTGTCGGTGCTATGTCTCATATATTTGTGGTGTCTCTGTGTCTCTCTCTCTCTGTGACTTTCTCAGGACGGGGATGTTGCACTCTAACCCGGGGGATTACGCTTGGGGACAGGGGGGGTTAGACGCAGTGATAACACAAGTAAGTCCAACTCAGTAGAGCTTAACGTCACTGTAAACTTTTGGGCTATCTGCAGTTTACACCTGTGTTTACCTGTGTTGTAGTTACTAGGTCAGCTGGAGAACACAGGGCCTCCTCCAGCAGAGAAAGAGAAAATCTCTTCACTCCCAACCGTCAATATTTCTCAGGAACAAGCAGGTCAGTGTCTCTTCTGATTTCTTCATTTCACTGGCACTCACCACAGTTTTCCTGATTCACCCCCGTTGCTTTAACTGCAATATTGCGTCCACAAAACTACTTATAATATTGCTTAACTAGTTGAAGCTGTCAGTCTGATCCTGTATATTCAAAGTTGGGCATTACAATATGATAAGTTAAAAAAGACCTTCACCAGATGGTTGTGTAAATCAGCTTGCACTGTTGATAATTTTAACTGTATGCTGTTTAATGCAGTTAGAAAACCTGCACAGACACTTGTGTTTTCTTGCCGTAGCTGCCTGCAAAGAAAAGCATCTAAAAGTGTGTCTGTTTGAGTTGAAATGCCCTTTAACCTTCAGAAGTATCGTCAGTTTCCTCTGTATGTTATTCTGAGATGATGTCCTTTGGCTCCCCGGTCCTTCACCTTCACTGTTTTTCCTCCACGTCTCTCAGTGGATCTATTCTGCGTTTTGACTTTGTCCCCTCTGAATTCTGTCCCATTTTACCTCTCAGTCGTAACTGTGGTAATTTAGCACAGATTTTGCAGAGCTGTTGGATGTGGACTGATGATCCATGCACCATTTTCCTTAGGTCATAAAACTCTTATCACTGTAGTCGTAAAAATCATGCTTGGTGCTGTTAAATTAGTCTCCTACTCTGCCTTTAAGCTGCACCAAAGTGTAATTGCTAACACTAGTCCTGTGTTCTCTTACCAAAACCATCTTAAAAAATGAAAATCTGAAGAAACCGCACAAGTTTGAATTGTAAGTTTCTCCGAGTAATCACATCTGGACCTTCTCTCCTGTAGACTGCTGTATGGAATGTCCCGTGTGCAAAGACGACTTTGCTGTCGGAGAGCCAGTCAGACAGCTACCCTGTAACCACTTCTTTCATTCAGACTGTATAGTACCATGGCTGGAAATGGTAAGTCACAGCACAGAATCCAGGAAACACATGCCCTGTTTTCTCTATACAGCAAATTTAAAGGAACAGGATGAAAAGGTCCCAGTTTTTAAATTGTGAAAATACCCATCAAAAGGGCTGTAATCCATCAGATTGATTCAGCATTTAAACCTGTAATCTCTTGGTATAGCTGTGTTACATAAAACAAACCTGCTGCATTTATTTAAAATGAGGGCGCGGGTTGTCCACTGAACCTGTGTGGCTCACAGCTAAATGCAGGAAATAAGCGGTGACCGACTAGAGAGACATTTTTGATATTCCAAGTGAAGATCAACCAGAGTTTCATATCAAATAAGATATCTACTTGTTCAGAAGTCTAGTGAGAAAACTGCCCTGAGCGAACTCTCTAACTCTCTCTCTGTATTCTGCTCTGCGGCCTCACAGCATGACACATGTCCAGTGTGTAGGAAGAGTTTGAACGGAGAAGACAGCAGCAGCCAGCCTCCCTCAGAGTCCCCCACCCTCTCCATGGACCCCCGCACACAGGAGAGATGGTCCTTTTGAGACACCCACCTTTTGTCATCCCTCGCTTCTCCTCACCCAAATCCAACAACACTCAGAGAAGACGAAAACACGCTTCTCACTCTCCTCTCTTCATCTCTGTTGCAGTCATAATCATCTCAGTCTGATATTTTTTTGTATTTCAGTTTTTTTTTTTTATTTTAATGCCTTTTTTCTCCTCAACCATGTAAACAGAACACCCAACAGACGTCTTTACAGCCTCCTGAAGTCTGCTGGATCTCTCTCTCTTTTTTTTTTTTAGCCCCGCATCAAACCAGCCTAGATTGAAACTAATCGAACCCATGTTCCACCTCTCAAGCAAGTTCCTGTCTAAGTTTTTTTCTGAAATGCACTGCTGCAATACTCCGTTGTGAGGAAAGGCCAGACTTTACATCATACACCATGCCCTCATGATTGGGAAAAAAAAGCTAAAACTCTGCAACTGAGCCCTGGAGAACACAGTCAGGGTTACTTAAACTCATGGTATGGACCTAACAGAGACCTGCAATAAATGTAACGTTTGTGAAGGGTCGAATAATGTTTAACTTTTGGGAGATTTTGTTATATTTAGATTGAGCTCCGGGTCCCTGCTGTTAAATGGTCTCAAACTGAAGCTGTGACATGGATTTAAAACAAAGGACTCTTCACACCCTCCAGCACCAGAAAAAAAGTGAGTCATAAAGGAACTAAACAAAAAATCTCCAGATCTCAACCTGATGAGACCTGCTCCTCTTAGTGTATATATTGAAAACAGATGGCATCCCTCTGTCATTTTATTCTTCTGTTTAAGACTGTCCTTTGTTTCACATTATCACCTTTTCTTTATGATGTAAATAATTTTAGTCCAACAATTTATGGTTTGCAAAGGAAAAAAAAACATTGAGAATGGAGACACAAATGTGAAATACCTGGTTATCGAACTGTATATTATATATATGAAAAAAATGTCTATGATGTATTAATAAATTGACAAAAAAACTGTCAGTTTGGGCGTTTTTGTTCTCAACCTGATCATTTAAAACACAAGATGATTCAGGATTCTTCAAAATTTTTATTTAAAAATAAAAGGTTAAAATAGCAACACAACTCATTTACAAATTATGTACAAACTCATATATATATATGTGCGTTTAATTTCTATGAAAATAGAGAGGACACTTCAAATCAAGGCACCAGTTCCCCTTCAGGTGAACTGACACATTCATCACTCTGAGGTACCTTTCTGATAACAGTGCATACAATAATCAAAATCACATGAATGAGGTTATTCCTGGTTTGTTGAGGTTAAGTGAACATTGAAATTACTGAAGCCGTGCAGTCAAAGTCCATCAAAAGCTGAAAATGACGTCACACCCGAGTCGGAAAAAGGCAAAATCGGAAGCCTGGAACAAGATGGCTACATCTATGAAAGTTATTTCAGCGCTTGCCTTGTCCGAACATAATGCAAGCGCTAAAATATCTTTCGTGGATGTAGCCATCTTGTTCCAGGCCTCCGATTCTGCTCTTTTCAGACTTGGTAACTGAAATGTTGGGAACTCGGGTGTGACGTCATTTTCAGCTCCGACATCTGACTTCCGAGGTAACTTGAACACAGCATTAGATTGGAAATGTGGAGCCGATTGGTTTGATATCAAACAAGTGCTGTAAAGAAAAAAAAAAAATCACTTCAGTGTTAGAAGCTTCTGACTCAGAGCACTGATCAGTGTGTATTCCACGCAAGTGTAAGCACTGAATGAGCAGGAGCAACAGACGGGATGTAGCCCACAGTCGGGTCCCAGACTTCAAACTGGATCACTGTTGATGACCTAGAAAGACCCCAAAAAAACAATCCGATCAAAAATCTCTCTTTCATTCGCTCATGATTACTCATCTTACATTTCTTACCTGTTGAGTACAATGAGCACCACTGAGCCATCTGGTCTGATGAAGGCTGAATACTCAAGTTTTGTTCCCTCGCTGATGGACACACCCACTCTCTGAGACCCCTCTGACAGGAACTTGCTGTGTGTGAAAATAGTTGTTTGGTCAAAGAAGGCTTGGAAAAAGTTAATGGCTGTGAAAAGTTTGTCTGTGGTCCAGTGTCTGTACCTGAAGTGGGCCATGCTGTAGAAGCTGGGCTGCTTATAGAAGACGTCTCGCTTTGCATCTACTATTACAGGGCTGTCTACGAAATTTTTCACCCAGTTTGGCCCACCAGTCTGGTCCAATGCCAGATTCCAGTCAGTCCAACCCACCACATAATGATTTAAGTCCTGCCATATAGAGAAAGAGACACCCACAGGTTAGCGTCTAGTCTGTAGCTTTTATTGTAAGCGGTTTTGTTTTCTCTAAATGAATCCTCTGGACTGCTGCCTGCTGTTTCATTTAAATGTCAGGAGGACAACACATCTACATAAACAAATCCACTCTGATTCTCAAGCACCTGAATGCACCCGTTCAAAATGGATAAGACAGTCTTTCCTAAGAGCAAAGACAGGAGAAACCGGGCACCAGTTCCAGCATGCTTTGCTGGCCTTCAGGCACTTTGTGCAGCAGAGAGCGACTTTGAAAACCTGCACTGCAGCATGGAGGGAGGTGATTCACCTTACAGCTCCCAGCCTGTCAAACTCACATCTGTTACAATGGATGTGACTGAACAGGCTGAACCTTCATGCATAAACAGAGATTATCTCACCTCTAAAATGTCGTGTGCGTACTGTTCAGCTCTGTCCCAGCTACCCAGCTTCACCCCTCTGTCCAGAGGGCTCCAGCCTGAACACGCCTCTGTGCCGAACAGGTAATACTCCGGGTACAGGTGATGGGTGACACCCAGGCTTATCTCAGGAGGAACAAAGCCATCCATGTACCAGTGTACTGCAACACCGTGAATGTACCTTCCTGCATGAATATCACTTAATACCTGAAGGACAAGAGGAAAGTACTGAGTCAAACTGAGTGCCCATGTAAAGTGTATAAAAGATAGGCTGCAGGATCACCTTCTGAGAGGGTCTTAATCCAGTGTAAAATTAATTTAGGGTCAAACACACCGTAACACCGAGTTAGACACCCCCTTGAGAGATGAATTTTGCTGATCACTTACTTCTCTAGTTATACCAACTTTAGTAACGACCGCACGATAGCAATACACAGTGGTCTGAGGAGCCACACAGTACATACTGGGTCCCAGCCATAGCACTGGCCACCAAACATCTTTTTAACTTTGCCTCATTTCTTTAGCAAAGAGACTTAACCCAACTCACCAACTCTCTTCCCGCAGCTGCTTGTTTGTAGCGACACCTCGGGCAAATCCATTACAGACTGCTGCAGGGTGATGCAGCTCAAGGAAGAACATTAGACAAGAAATTAGGCAAAGCTGGCTAGTACTATGGCTAGGACCCTATATGTACTGTTGATGAAGTTAGGTGCTGTTCTGAACATTATTTGTGGCTATAGAGTGGCGTTTTGGTTGAGGTTTGTTTATGGCTCCTCAGACTGCTGTGTATTGCTAGCGTGCGGTCGTTATTGAAGTTGGTATAACTAGAGAAGCAAGCGGTCGGCAACATTTATCTCTCGAGGGGGTGTCTAACTCGGTGTTACGGTGTGTTTGACCCCAAATTAATTTTACGCCGGAATATCCCTTTAAGTCTAAAATCATTTACTATGGCTTCTTCAAAGAAGAAAAACAAAACAAAACAAAAATTATACACAGTAAGGAATATCTTTCTCTTGCTTTCATTGTGCAGAAATGTTGATTTAAAATATTTTGTATCTTATTTAAAGCTGTTAGGAGACGATATACAACAGACCACTCTGAGTAGGTTTTACAGGACAGTTGATCGTCATGCAGGAGGATGATGAATCCTTCAAAAAGAACTTAGTCAGCAACATCACTCCTCTCACCGCCGTCAGCCACAAGACAATAGTGGGCAGAGCCAGGAAGCTTATTGTGTCATCGTTTTTTGGTGTTGTCTCAAGCAAATATGTGATTGAGATAAATAGATTCATTCATCCATTTTCATGTTGGTCATCTGGGATGTGGCTGCATTCATACAACTTGTTATGCAATTTAACTGTTAATGTATACTACAGGGAAGTCCTGATGAATTCTGTGACTGTCAATATTAATCTTAGTTTACTAAATCTCTGTCATATTTTGAAACTGTAGGCAATCTGATTGTGAAATAGATGAAAGAATAGTTTTCTGTGGTACTGAAAAAACTCAAAGAAACCTAAAAAGCATTTTTTTTACCCTGAAGAAAAAGCTGATTTCAGATTAACTCTTTTTTTGCTAATATTGTCTTTATATTGTATAAGTGAATAGAAATCTCCTGCAAATACAACACAAACAAATGATTCTTTCAAGGTTGATTTCTGTCTGATGAATTGTAAATTTTGGAGACAAAGAGTGGACACCCCTGCATCTTAACACCTTTTCTTACCTCTTAGCTTCTCTATTCCAGCATAAACTGTTGAGGACACTTTCTATCCCAATGCTACTATATCTATTTTTCCAGTCTTTAACTGCTTTAATTCCCAAATCAAAACTTAACACCAGTGTAGCCTAAGGTACATTAAAGTTCACCATGACTTTCTCTCCCTCTATCTGTCCTTGGACTCACCACTTTCGCCCAGTGCGGCAGCAGCAGGCGGTTGTCATCTAGTATGAGGATGTGTGTTTGGGGGTGTGATGAAGCGTGTAGAGCGGGACCCAGGTCCAGAGCCACCCAGTCCCTCTGCTGCTCAGGAGTGAAGCCCAGAGCCTGGAAACTGCAGTAAAGATACTTCTCTAGTCTGAAATTTAAGAGCCATGATGAGGGTTAATCCTGTGTGAAATAACGTACCTGTAGTGTGTCATCTCTCCAGCAGTGGGCTCGTTCCCTGTTGTCAGGGCCCAAAAGGTCAGGTTATATTTAGCATACTCCTCAAGGAACCTGAGAGAAAAGAAGAAAAACAACCAGCAGAGTGACTTTTCTCTTTAATGAGCATCACAAATGTGTAACATTACATTCAGGTGAGGCCTCACATGTTACCTAACATGGTAATGAGCCCAGGCTTTGTACTCCTTGCCCCCAGGCTGGCCTTTCAAGGATCCCTTTCCTATAAGTGCACCGTTAGTTTTCATCCAGGCGGGGGCGCTCCAAGCGCTACCAAGCAGAGACAAGGGGCGAGGTGACAAGGCTTGAGCACGCAGCAGAAGAGGGATCTGGAAAAAAAAAAAAAAGGAGAAAGACAAGAATGAGGAAGAGATATCAGAGAGAGGAAATGATGAAGATGTGCATGAGTGATAACAGTAGAAATAACAGACTTTCATATTGACGTCCTCGGGAGCCAGAGTAAAATTATCCAGGCTGTAGTCTCCAGGTGTGTCGGCGTATGTGTAGAGATGGGTGGAGAAGTCACAGCTGGCCATAGGGACACGGACCACACTGTAGCCGATACCTGCAGCAGGGACACAGCAGATGTAACTGAAAAGACTTATATTTATATGTAAATCTATATTTAATATGCTAGTGTTTGAAAAATGCTCTTTGACGATTATAACTGGTACAAGAGAGGCTGATCAACGTTAAGGGAGCTGATGATGCAAGAACAAATAAGCAGTACATTTAGACACCTCATGTAGTGTGTCAAAAGTATTATTCATCTTGTTGGAGCAGGAATGCAAAACATTATAAACCTTTATTAACTTGAAATTGGGAAAGGACCACATGTCAAATATTTCAACAGAAAAAAAAGTTTGTTTTATGAAAAATATATACTTATTTCAATTTGATGCACACAGAAAAAAGTTCAGATATGGACAATGAAACACTGAAAAAGACGCACAAAGCTAGAAAAAAAGATCCTGAAGGACATCCCTCAACCTTTTCAGGTGTAATAACAGGTTAGTTACATGACTCGGTAAAAAAAGGGCATTTTAAAGAGGCTGTCTCTCAGAAGTAGAGATGGTAAGATGATCACCACTCTGGGAGAGACTGGGTGCACAAATGGTTCACAAATGTCAGAATAATGTTCCTGGGCCTGAAACTGCAAAAAAACATCTTCAGTACATAATACTGTATAAAAGTCTGAGAATCTTGGCAAAATGTCTGTACAAAAGAGTCAAGGCCAAAAACCAATACTAAATATCTTAGATCTTTATAGTCAAAGTAGAAATCACAGCATGGGCTCAAAATCACTTTAGAAATTCAGTGTCAGTCATAGTTTTTTGCTTTATCCAAATATATCTGGTTTAGTTCAATAAGCCCACTTACTGGACTGAAGCAAGTAGAAAACCATCCTAAATGCTGACAAATCAAGATTAACATTATTTTTGCTCATCTTGGGCCTCACATATTCTACACCAGAAAGAAAGGGAGCACTCAGCTTGTTATTAGCACACAATTCAAGGCCAGTATCTGTAATGGTGGGTAACATAGGCTACCTGTAAGAGCCAAAATATATTTGTTGAAAATATGATTTCTACAAGGTACGTCACTTCCAAGGACTGTCACTGAGGGTGTGGTTTTGGGATTCTTGGCGGGTTATTTAAATCTCACCGGTGTAGTCAGACAATGGGTTGTGGTAAGCTCTGATAATTTTCTGTTAACTGTTTCACTCATCCTGTTCTAACCTCATTTCATCATATCACTTTTTCATTTGAAGGCGTAAGTTTTGGACCCACATCAGTGTGTTTTCTTTTCTTTTTTGGAACAATAAAACCACTTTTAACACTCAAACTGGACTGATAATTGAATGAGTCACAGATGCAAGCGCACCTAAACCCCAGCTGCCTTTTTGTTGAATAAAGCAGATGCTACTTTACCATTCAGACAGTAACTTTTTAAAATGTCCTTGTGCATTTCAGCAAGAGAAATCCATTCTGTATGTATGAATTACGACAGCATGGTTCAGTACTAGATGGTTTAAGATGCTTAACTGGCCTGCCTGCAGTCCTGCTCTGTCATCCATCAAAGACATCAAATACAGAACAGGACAAAGATGAGATGAAATTGTTGAGCTGCTGTAATCCTCTATTTAAATCTGTTTTTATCAACATTTTATGTTTTGTCTCAGCTTTTTTGAAATAAGGGATGTATCTCAATCCTTGATTTTTCTGCAATCAACGGTCATGTTTCACACGATGATGTATGACCTTGATAATGCACACAAAATGTATATTTTCTCTCAAACATGGCTAACAGTGGTAACAGATGCCCACTTCAGGGTACCTTCTGGTGAAAAGTACTGTCTCAGCAGCTGGTCCTGTGCACCCGCAGACAGTGACAGAATGTTAATGGCTGCTGCGTCTGTCATAGCACCTCCAAATCCCCTGATCCTCTGGTACTTCTGGTAGGGAACAATAGTCAACCTGAGAGCTGAAAGACACACATAGTAAACATTGGAGATGCCCTAAACCTGCTACAGCAGTAGAGACATGACAGTGGAGTATCACTCATCACTCACCTGCCCCTGTACTGTTAAGCTGGACCTGACCCTTGGCTGCCTCCAGTCTGCTGCCTGCCATGCTGCTCACATAAGAGGAGTACTGACCCAGAGGAGGCAAAGTGACCGACCCAACACTGTCACAGTAAGTGGAATTACACTCACACACCACAGAATCATGGTCAAAGCGTCTGGCGATACATTTATCACTTCCTGGAGAGAGAAAGGGCCGAGAAACATGATTAGATACATGATGTCATTCATGTGTTAAGTAATGTATGTGGAGGAGAGTGGGCTAAGATGAGGCATTTTTTATATTTTGTTGCAAACTAACAGAATGAGTGTAAACATAACTGTCTTGATAATATAGCATGCTGAAAAATGTGGTCTCCTATGGTTACCCCGTGTATGGGGTAAGTTGACCATAGGAGCTGGGTAAGTTGAGCCGTATCCCTACTACTCCCCCACTCTCCACCCCAGCCCACCCTCACCTTCTCTCTCCCTAAATAACAGTCACTTCTTCACATTCATGTGTATTTTTATCTGTTATACACAATTCAACTGGTACAATAATTCTTTTTATTATTATTGCATATAACTGCTAAAAAAGTTGTTTTGTAAAAAGCCATTTTAACATGAGAATGTCTTTAAGTGATCCAGAACATTCACAGCTGTATTTTTGAAAAGAAAAAAGTAACACATTTCAACAATCTGAACTGAAACTCTGATCCTCTCCTCAGACTCCTTTACTTTCTCAGGTGAGTCACAGAACGACTATTATGACTTTATTAGCCCTCTAAGCTAAAATGGTGGACTTTTATGTTTGGGTTTTGACCTCATGTTGTAGCTCATAGATACCACAATTGATGTATAAAACAAATTTAAAATGATCATTTTTGGTCTGAACACAATTCTAATAAAACTTATCACAGACTAAATTCACTTTCAAGAGTAAAAAATGTTTTTTTTTTTTAGAAATAAACGTCTAACCCCTTCACTCGTGTGCTTCTAACCTTCACAGACTCCATAATTTGATGTCCATCTCCTAAATATTTGGTCACATGATCAATTTCTTTTACCATTACCAAGCAACAGGGGGTGGATCAACTTACCCTTTGGCTCAACTTACCCCACTCTCCCCTACGAATGTAACCCAGTCTTCCTGTTTTATTGTGTTACCTGCACAGAGGGTCACTTCAGCTGAGAGGAAAACAAAGGCCAGGAGTGCAAACGATGGCACCGACAGCGCCATTTTACCTAGAAACACAGAGTATCTGGTGTTTTAAACCCATAAACCTGGTCAACTTCAGTATCAGGAAGCTCTTGGAGCAGCTTCTGTCATGTGGCTGCCCCCCCTCACACGCATTTTAATGTCGTGTAAAGTAAAGAAACATTCAGGGGATGATCTCACCTCGCAGGATCCGGACACAAACTCTATCATGTCCTGCAGGTTAATCCAAATATTCACTCCATGTTGTCACCTCAGCTGCGTTCATTCCGTTATAGCAGTCACTGGTGTTTTGCAAGCAAATGAGACTTTTGGACAGCCATGTGACTCTGTGGAACAGTCACGTGAACTTGAGTATAATACTAAAAGCTACAGCAAGAGGGCGCTACGCCATAGACCAGTCCATGAGGAAGGCAGCAGGTCTCAGGTGACTCTGAGCTCATTAAAGATGAGGTAAAGATGAGAAAGCCGTCATACAACTGAAGTCATTTTGGGAGTATTATCTTTGTATGACAGTTGTGTAAATACAAAATGACAACATGAGCTTTATTCAACTAAAAAACAGATCACTCAAAGCATCAGCTTGTCTCAAATTATTCCCCTAGATTCATATACAACTCATTTTAGTTTTAGATTTGTTTGTTTTCTAACAAATGTGTGACCAGTTAGTCTTTAGACACCGCTATTGTGGCATGTATCAGAAATAGACAAGAAGCTGAATACAGAGATCTGATAAGAGCCTTCAGTGACTGGAGTCACAAAAACTGACTCCTCCTCAACACCTCAAAGACAAAGGAGATAGTCATAGACTTCCATAGATCCAAACCCTCTCTTCAGCCAGTGAACACCTGTGGAGTGGACATTGAAGTGGTGACATCATATAAATCCCTAGGTGTACATCTGGATAATAAGTTGGACTGGTCTAAGAATGGAGACTTCATCTACAGACAGGGGCAGAGCCGCCTCTTCTGCCTGAGAAGACATCTGTAGTAAGATGCTGCAGATGTTTTATCAGTCTGTGGCGTCTACAGTATTCTGTTCTATGCTGCAGTCTGCTGGGGAGGAAGCATCAAACACAAAGATGCAAAACGTCTTAACAAACTGGTAAAAAAGGCTGGCTCTGTGGTTGGACTCAAGCTGGACTCAGTGGAGGATGTGTTGGAGAGATCTACACTGAGGAAGGTGGAGACTATTCTAAAGAACATGGATCACCCACTTCATAACACCTTGATGGACCAAAGGGCAAATGGTGGTGGATGGCTCTTCTCTCTTCGCTGCAGGACAGAAGGATTCAGAAGATCTTTTGTACCGACAGCCATCAGGCTTTATAACTCTTGTGTAAATAGTAGATAACTTTTAGAGACATATTTTGTGAGACAACAGACAATTGAATTTCCCTTAGGGGATTAATAAAGTTATTCTTACTCTTATTTATGTTAAAAAGTGTTTAATTGGATTTGCATTGGTGTACAATAACTGACCTTTTTCATAGAAGACATTTTTTTTAAACTTTAGTCAAGATTTTATTATCAAAGTCACACACAGGCATCATAATTTACAGCGGGTCACATATTACAGACATGGATGTTTGATTTTGTATTTCTCAGACACTGATATCCACTTATGGTTCGTATCCATGTAACTTCAGTGAGTTGCACAAAATCTTTCCATAAGCGATGGGTTTCGGTTGCACAGAAAGATTATTTCCTTCTTTCCTTCTTCAGTTTGACCTGATAAGAGAAAAATAACATTCACTGTTACCAAAAAAAGCATCAATTGTATTTCATTTTCAAAAATAGCAAAGACTAATGATGAGTAACTTACTGTGTGGATGCTGCAGCCAGTGGCGGTCCATGTAATAGAGGTAACAGCTCTCAAACTCCTTCTCGCTGTAGTTGGGCACTGACACCGGGACGAATGGATCCATCTTGTCAAACCCCCTCTGATGAGCACAAGCCAGAGAGAGGTCAACATAAACACATACAAAGATGTCCACAGATTTATTTCACACAAATGTGCCAAATGAGTGTAGATGTTTTAAATGAAAAACATTATAATACTTTGTTCTACAAAATAAGATCAACCATTTTTAGTATTTGGTGTGTCAAGAATGATATAAGATCCTACACTGACTTTTACAGTTCAGTTATTGTGCCGCATAAAAGACAGAGATGGCTGAGTAGATTTATTGGTCCATTAGAAAATGGATCTTGTGACATGCAGACATCAGATAAGGACCAACATTAAAAATATTATCACTGCACGGTCAACACGGTCACAAGGTATGATGCTGCAAATCTAGAGAGTTTCAGGCACGAAACGACGTAAACAAAGCTGACGGAGTGAGCATGGAACCGACACATGAACGGATATAATGGTGCAGAGTTTCTGTTCCACAAACACACTGCTTGCGCGTTTAACAGTCCAGACAGTACAAAACGAAAGCAATTATACACAAAACAAAGGCTGAGACTCATCCTTTGTTGACAAATGTCACACATAATCTATACACTTGTAATACTGCTGGAAATAATCGACTGTTTTGTTGTTGAGATGCTTGAAACAAAGAAAGAGGAAAGAATAGCTGAAGTCTTTTCTCAAGGGCAGGTTTGCAATTTCCCGACTAATGACTGAGGTTAGAACAGATAAGGAAAAGGCTAATCTGCTGTCAAAGCTCGAGGGAAGCTCTGCTGCAGATTATTAAGCACATAAAGACATGACTTCTGACCTCTCCCAGCAGCTCTTGAGGCAAATAGTCAGTTCTTGAAGTGTAGAGAGACCCTGTCTGAGACAGAGTTGTGATGATGGCGCCTCCAGTCTAAGACAGAGAGAGTGAATGTTATTGAGAAAAAAAAAAAGTCAAATATGTAGTAAAACTATGGCGCTGTAGTGTTTCCTACTCACCCAGTCGTTCCTCATCAGCTTCCTCAAGTTATAAACCAAAGTGAGCTCGTCTGGATCTACCTGATGGACAGAAAGAGAAGCATAAGATATACACGCTGTGGACAGAGAAGCATGAAAACCAGAATTGAATCACTGTGGATGTGTTTTCATACAGCACTCTTGTCCTCCTTTTTGATGGTGGATCTTCCCCACAGGGCATTGACACCGTCCACAGCCACAGCCAAGCGGAAGTTTGACTCCGGCTGCCCGCTCTGCAGCCTCAGCTCCTTTATCACCGCCCCCACAACATCACTGCTGCTCTTGACGCGAGATATGCCCTGCGGCAGAGAAACACCAACCCAACTATGATGCCTTCCTACACAGCAGGAATTAAAAGGGGGGGGCTCCATCATATTGACCCACGAACATTGTATAGAAGTCTTAGAAAAAAATACTAGACATGTGGAAAAGTCGTATAAGGCTTTCAGTAGCTCCTGGGTGACAAATGATACATAATGTTGGATATCACTGGAGCACATGATGACTTTGACACATTAAAATTTCATTCACCTTCCCCGTGTTGCATAATGGCACACAATCACAATTCTTTGATTTTTTTCCCTTTCCTTTAAAGTGCTGTCAAAACACTGGCAATTAATATCATATCTGATTACAGCCTTCAGCAAGCTCACAGCGCCTCCAACTGTGAACTCAAACTCAGACTGCATAACAAGTCTGTAAAAACAAAGCAGCACTAATGCGTCTTAAAAAAAGTAGATTATTATACAGCAGACGGTGCTCTAAGTGGTAGAGCAGAATGATTCATAGAGATGGTATTTTCACAGTTGGGACATAAATCTGTGGCTCTTCTCTGCCTTTGTCAGATCCAAAAATTCTGTACTGATCCATCACCACGCGAGTCTCTTGGTTATTGATCACCAATAAAGACAAGCGAAGCAAAAGATGACCCATTTAAGAGGAAATGCAGAAAGAAATAACACCTAACGGAGACAAAAATACGAGCTGATTGAAGAGTTGGATAAAACATGTTTCCAACACATACATAAAAAACCTCTCGAGTAAACTCAAGAGGTGAGGGCACGATACACAAAATTTTACTTATTTGGACTTTGGAAAACTTACCATATCCACCAGCTCTGCTAGTGTACTCCCCTCCTCAGTGTACTCTCTCTTTGTCCACACATAGCGCTGTTTTGTCTTGATCTAGGAGAGACGGCAAAGTCTCATTACCAATACAGCACACAAGACAGATTCACCAAACATGTTTCCGTGAGCTTCTATTTAACCCTCCAGGTATCCATATATCAAAACAGTTCACTAAACCATAGCTAACATGTACGTGTCTCAAAACCTTTTAGCCTGAGGTCATTATAGAGATTTTTAGATAAACTGTCTTTGTAAGAGCTTCTTCAGCAAAAAAACACCCTATGATCAGTTTTACACAAATATGATTACTCAACAGCATATAATCCATCATATTATTCCATCAACTACCTGTAACACTTCTTCTTCCCTACAAAGGAAGAGCCAGGCTGAGTGCTTTAAGACTTTCCATCCACACTGCATTAAACTCTAATTGTAAACTATCCCCTTCAGCCAAAACCATTAAACTCCCATAATGCTGCTTTATTTCTGCTGTGACAGACATATGAACTGTGTATACCATTCCTGATACAGCAGTACATTTTGCTGAATCACAGTGTTTTTTATCAGCAGGAAGATGACGAAAAGACACAACCGAGGCTTAAAACTTTAGCCAATGTAAATATTGTTGGATGGTGATACTGCTTAATAGTTTTTACCTTTGAGAGGAACGGCTCGCTGGTAATCTTAAAGTTTCGTAACCATTCGGCGGCTTGTAACGGCTGATCAAAGCGAGAGGGGTTGAAAGAGGAGGGGAGCAGCTCCTTGCAGTTCTTCACCCAGAGGTGAGCTGCAAAGACAAAATGGGACATTATAACTCTGTACTGACGGTGGCAAAGCTGTTAGTGTACTACTTAGCGTATCCTCTTTGTCTCACCATCAGGAATATGCAGCACCAGCCATCCTTGTGTGTGGCAGAAGTGGACAGTGTGACAGAGAGACATCGTCTTCCCACTGCCCTTTAACCCATCTGAACAATTCGATAAGGTGAACAAGACCAGTCTGTTTCACTGTGTGTGTGTGTGTGTGTGTGTGTGTGTGTGTGTGTGTGTGTGTGTGTGCGAGCAGGTGCATGAAAGGATACAAAATAAATACCGCACAGGAGGTTTGCTAAAGTCTGTTTTCTTCAGGTAAGAGATGACCTCCAGAGCTGGTTGCCTCACCATCACACAAGCTTCATTAAATGTTTTCATCTGAAATCATAATAAGAAGATGTTACAATACTTGAAAAGAAAAATGTTATAAAAAAATCCTTATCAGTAGATTTAATGACCACAGATACAAAGACATACCTGAAGTTGAAAGCGATTAGGAAGCCCATGAGGGAAAATAGTGCGGGTATGTGCGGGGTCCAGAGTGAAATACTGACCGATGTGTTTCTCTGATTGGCATGCCTGTGAAGGGACAAACAGTTAACTCGCACAGTATGATTACCTTAATACCCGATAGTGTAATGACTGGTTTGGTGAGATCTCTTTACCGGATCATTCTCCTGTGTTCTGAAAACTGAGAGGGGCTCTGGTTCTGACTCTACCACCACAGCCTCCTGCTGCTTCCCGCATCCACTAACATGAAGAGGCCTCGCATGGTTAACCTGCAAAAGTCAGATCACAGACATTTTTTTTTATTCAAATGTTTTGTCTTCAAATGCCCAACCCTGATGGACAAGTAAGGCAAAATCAGAGATATACCAGGAGTACGGTTAAGACAGAATAATGATCATAACACAAGATGAAGTTCTGTCTTGATTTGTCAAAGCATAAGATAAGGTAGAAACCCAACTAATTGGAAATAAACCACCTCAATACTGTAGCTGCCATCAGAGAAATTCTGGTCAATTTTATGAGTTTTGTTTTTGTTTAATAAGTAAGCCAAGAGTTAAAATAAATAAGTTAAAATAAGTTCAGTAAAAAATGGCTTAAAATCCTGTGTTGTTTAAATAAATAAATAGATAAATATTATTTGATTCACATGGGTATTTGACAAGTTAAGCAGAACTGATGTGTGGAGCTAAGGGAGGGTCAGGTTGTTTTTGTTGTGACACACCAAGAATTTGCCCACTAATTAGAGCATCTGCTAAAAAGAGAACAGCAGTTTACATGAAACATTCATTGAAGATGTAAGGTGAAGCATTGTTAAGTTAAGAAGACGATAAGACGACTTAGGATCAGTTTTTATCCCTTTTTTAGTTAAAGTGGCCAACAAAGTATGTGTGGAGTGTGTTTACTGAGTCAAATTTTTTATTAACATGACTTCTTGTGGCCAATTTCTGTTCTGTTGTCAGTCCACCTCTGGAAGTACAATGGAAGTATTCAGACTATTCATACAGGAGGATTAAATCCATGTTAAAAAATAACCTTTATCAACATGTTTTTTTAAAACTGGGTTTCAGAAGTCTACATCTGGACACACATGTATCTCTTTGCAAACTATTATAGAGTATTATAAATAATGTCAATGCGGGATCATTGGTTATGCAGTTATAGTTTTTGTATATTAAATCAGCTGTTCACAGAGATCCTACCGTGTGTCGTAGTCTGAAGGACAGTCTGTAGAGCGCCATGATCTGTAGACAAGAGTGAAATATGGTACATTTAGAGGATAGTAAGAGCCTGAATAGTGGGAAATGTATGATGTAGTTACACAAAAATGGCATGTAACCTTGCGTAAACATGTAGCTAACAGCTAGCAGTGGCATCTGAGCAGACAAGTGTATCACAGCTAATGTCAGCAACATTAGCGAATGAGGACAGAGAGCGGTTTACCTGCGATTCACTTCATCTAATGTTGGCTGATTCTGGTTTAGTCAAACTGCTGATAAATCTCCCTTGAAAAGTTCTTGAGGAGGTTAAAAACTGCAAGCATCCAGGCGAAGTCAATGTGCCAGATCTGTCATGGACACCGCCATCATGCAGCATGTAGCAGGAAGTGACGTAAAGCACCCCAAGTCCTCGAAGCCAACGAGGTGACGTCACAGGTCGACAAAAACAGAGATTTCAGACGAACTTTACCTGCAACTGAAGTTACTGGGATATTCCGACGTAAAATTAATTTAGGGTCAAACACACCGTAACACTGAGTTAGACACCCCCTCGAGAGATGAATGTTGCTGACTTGCTTCTCTCGTTATACCAACTTTAGTAATGACCTCACGATAGCAATACACAGCAGCCTGAGGAGCCACACACAAACCTCAACCAAAACGCCACTTTATAGCCACAAATAATGCTCAGAACAGCACCTAACTTAATCAACAGTACATATAGGGTCCCAGCCATAGCGCTAGCCACCATCACTTCATGGAAATGCAATCAGACCGAGACGCTAAGGCAGAAGAACTACCATAAATGTTCTTCCTTGAGCTGCGTCACCCCGCAACAGTCCGTCATGGATTGGCCTGAGGTCTCCCTTCAAACAAGCGGCTGCTGGAAGAGAGTGGGTGAGTTGTGTTTATTCTCTTTGCTAAAGAAATGAGGCAAAGTTAAAAAGATGTTTGGTGGCTAGTGCTATGGCTGGGACCCTATATGTACTGTTGATGAAGTTAGGTGCTGTTCTGAGCATTATTTGTGGCTATAGAGTGGCATTTTGGTTGAGGTTTGTGTGTGGCTTCTCAGACCGCTGTGTATTGCTATCGTGAGGTTGTTACTAAAGTTGGTATAACGAGAGAAGCAAGTCAGCAACATTCATCTCTCGAGGGGGTGTCTAACTCGGTGTTTGACACTAAATTACTTTTATGTCAGAATATCCCTTTAATGCAATTGCATGTACGGCCTGCTGTAAAATACTGTGAGGTTCAAACATAACATTAGCATATTTGAGAAATCTCTTAATCAAGCCTTTGTCCCATGTGTATTGCCGAAAGAAGCAAGGTCTAAAAACATTCAGATATATATATATATTCTGATACCTAGAGTCATTTTTCTCATTTCTCAGTTTTTTTCTACTAATATCATTACCATTTGACCATCAATATTAAAATATTTGTATCTATCTCATTACAGGCCTTTTCATGAGCTATGGTGATGAAACCCCTTTACCAAGCATGTCTCAAATTGCCAAAATTTAAAATTGACACGTAGCTGAAACAGAACAATCTAACCTAAAGAAAAAAGAATTTTAAAACATGCACTGTTTGTGAATACTGTATGGCCACAGATGGATTGGCACCCAAACAATATTTCTATGTGATTGGCTCTGAACCGCAGATGACCAGGGCCCCAAGAGGTCATATGATACTGTGTACCTGTTTTGCAATCTTAAATTTTTTAGTTTATTGATATAAGTAAATGCAACTCTAAAGCAAAAGACCAAGAAGCAGGAACCTTTTTGGTGATTTTATATGATATTTTGGTGGATACTTAAATATTTGCTGATAGCAGAGAGGAGCCAATGCAGATGTTTCCTCAACAGCTTGATTGATATAAGACATACAAACAAAAAGTCCTGCAATATTAAAAATGTACAAATGGTCTAATAGCATAAGGCAAGCAGGCATGTGCTTTTTTCTTAGTAGTGCTGAATTTTATGCGTAGTCTGTAGTATGAACTTCATCATTAATTGGATACTACAGTGAGCCAGTAAGTCAGTGAATGGTTTCCGATGGGGCTTTTCATCTCGTGATATTGTGGGCATAAAATATAACTATATAATTGAGATGATTGTGGAATAACTACATGAAAGCATTCATTTATGATAACTAAGTTGATTTATTCCCCCCACATACGAACCTTGTGACTGAGCTGACCTTGGGTAATACATTGCTACATAAATTATTGTTTGCCATGCTATTTTAAACAAATATTTTTTCTGTCTTGTGTTTAGGATGCTTTATTTCCTGCTTTTATTTATGAGTATACTAGTTCCGGTAAATCTGAGGTTACAGAACTAAATGACAACTGTTAAAATAACATAAGGTGTCAATGTTCAGTTGATTAATAACCTGTTTTTGGATTCACAACATATCTTGGAATATACATTTCAGGAAGTGCAGAATTATTTCTAAGAGGGCTGCTTCAGTTTGCTAGCGGCCTGTTACTTCTTCGTCTATCTTCTATTTAAAGATGTGTGGCAACCAGTGTGAAGACCACTGTCATGAACACACTGTAATGAATGTGGATAGAGCAATGAGCTGTTCAGACCAACTTTGACAACTCCACCGTTAGAGGAGAGTGGGTTAAGATGAGCCATTTTTCCTATTTCGGATCACTACATCGAGGCAATCATAGTTTTGTCTCTAACTAGTGTATCTGCATATATTTCAAGATGTTGTGCATCCCTGCAAACCAACAGAATGAGTGTAAACATACAGTACAGGCCAAAAGCTTGGACACACCTTCTCATTCAATGCATTTTCTTTGTTTTCATTACTATTTAAATTGTAGATTCTCAAAACTATGAATGAACACATGTGGAATCATGTGCTTAAGAAAAAAGTGTGAAATAACTGAAAACATGTTTTATATTTTAGATTTCTCAAAGTAGCCACTCTTTGCTTTTTTGATAGCGCTGCAAACTTTCGCTGTTCTCTCAATGAGCTTCATGGGGTAGTCACCTGAAATGGTTTTTACTTCACAGGAGTGCCTGAAGTAACCCTGACAAGGTACTTCTGTCATCAAGAGCAAAGAGTGGCTATTTTAAAGAAACTAGAATATAAAACATGTTTTCGGTTATTTCACACTTTTTTTATGAGTAAAAAATTCTACATGTGTTCATTCATAGTTTTAATGCCTTCAGTGACAATCTACAATGTAAATAGTCATATAAAAAAAAAAGAAAAGACATTGAATGAGAAAGTGTGTCCAAACTTTTGGCCTGTACTGTAACTGTCTTGATAAAATAGCATGCCGAAAAAAGTGGTCTCCTATGGTTACCCCGTGTATATGGTAAGTTGACCACAGGAGCAGGGCAAGTTGAGCCGTATCCCAACTATCCCCCCACTCTCCCCCCCAGCCCTCCCTCACCTTCTCTCTCCCTAAATAACAGTCACTTCTTCACATTCATGTGTATTTTTATCTATTATACACTATTCAACTGGTACAATCATTCTTTTTATTATTATTGCATATAACTGGTAAAAAGCTGTTTTGTAAAAGGCCATTTTAACATGAGAATGTCTTTAAGTGATTCAGAACATTCACAGCTGTATTTTTGAAAAGAAAAAGTAACACATTTCAACAATCTGAACTTAAACTCTGATCCTCTCATCAGACTCCTTTACTTTCTCAGTTGAACCACTGGCTCAACTTACCCCAGAACTACTATTATGACTTTATTATTCCTCTAAACTAAAATGGTGGACTTTTATGTTAGGTTTTTGACCTCATGTTGTAGCTCATAGATACCGCAATTGATGTATAAAACAAATTTAAAATGATCCTTTTTGGTCTGAACACAATTCTAATAAAACTTATATCAGACTAAATTCACTTTAAAGAGTGAAAAATGTTTTTTTGGAAATAAATGTCTGACCCCTTTACAACATGTGCTTCTAACCTTCACAGACTCCATGAATTGATGCCCATCTCCTAAACATAAGAATAAGAATAACTTTATTAATCCCCAAAGAGCAATTCAAGTGTCTGTTGTCTCACATAATATGTCTCCAAAAAGTGATCTACTGTTTACACAATATTAGGTCACATGATCAATTTCTTTTACCATTTCACACCAACAGGGGGTGGCTCAACTTACCCCACTCTCCCCTACTTTTCAAGGGTCAAAAATGTGTTAATTCAGCCCTGCCTATTGACTTTAACAACAGTGGCCCCTCAGAGTACTTGCATATTTGCCGACTCCACCATAACAACAACAAAAAACCTGTATCTTTATCACTACCTTTATTAGTACAGTCAACGCAATGTTATACTATTATTGGAAATTGTATTTGTACTATATCATAAATGTGTTTGTATGTCAAACTGGAGTGAGGTTGGGGGTTAAAATGTCCTTAACCGAGTCGTGACAATATGTAAAACCCCTTTGATATCAACTTCTTCAGCCCAGCCCTCGAGTCAACACTCTAACTGTTCTCCATGTAACATCTCGCGACACAACTTTCGGGCTGCTCTCCAAATCCCTCCACGAGCTAACTTTAGCCAAGTCGTCGCCATTTTATTAAACGTCTAAATAGCCCTCCCCAACCGACTGTTATGAACCGCAATGAGATCCAGTGCCGTGTTCAACGTTTTATCTCCTCCTCTGGCCACATGAAAATGGCCACGCAGTTGCATTCCCGCACATCCTCCTCCAGCCCCTGTACCCTGTCAGCCTTTAGCCCTCCACACACGCCACGGCTGCTGCAGCGTTCACCCTCTCTCGCTGACACGTTCACTGCCCGCGTGCGTATGAGAGCACAATCCGAGCCATTATTACTGGCGGGAGAGACGTAACTTTCCCCGAGAGAAGTGGGCAAATACGATCCAATGTGTTACCAGTCCGCCACCTAGCTGCGGAGACGCGCCGACGAAGATCTGTCGACTGTATGATTATGAAAACACCCGCGCCAATGTTGTTGCACAGTAGGCTTCGCGCTCCGATGGGACTAAAACTCGGCTTCAGGAGGTGTTTTAACCTCTGCTGGCCGTAGTTATGTAATCAAAGCAACATCTAATGCACCAAAAGCTCCGGATCGCTGTTGGTGCGAGGAAGGGGAAGAGCAGGACAGCAACACCTTAACCTCCTTGCCTAAACGCAGTTGGCTCCGGGACGCGCTCTCGGGTAAGTAGCCTACGTAGCCTTATTTCAGATTTTCATGGCAGCCTGTATTAATGTGCGCAGGCCTGTCAACATCACCAGCTCGCAGCTCCGTAGCCTGGTGAGAATTTGTGTGCATCCGCTTTGCGCTAATTTTATCCCTTGTTGCTGAGTATGTTTCTCCGTGCATGGAGATATTTCTTATTTCAGTGTTGCTGACACCAGCAGAAGGGCTGGCAGAGGACAGATAGAGAAGAAGGAAAAAAAGGTGAATCGGGTCTGATCTACATCAGAAACGCCACATGCGGGCACATTTTGATGCTACGTAGCACATTGAGTTTGGACTTATGTGTGAGTATGTTTTAGGAGGCTGAAATGTGGCTTATTTTCTCTTATTGAGATAGAGTGACGACAACAACAACACGTGCATGTGTGTATAATTTGTAAGTGCGACAGCATCAGGCGGATAGTGGTTTTCAGGGGTGCGCAAAGTCATTATGGAGAAGGAAGCCCCTGTTGACGTCCTCACTAAACCAGTGATAGGTTGCTCCAGTGCGGTAACACCCCCACTGCCCATACTGTATCTACAGTAGCAACATCAGTCAGCCTACGCAGCTGCGACCTGGGTACACAATGTACGACCAACACACTTTTAATACGAGGAGAAAGTGTGTTTGCGTGTGTGGGGGGGACTCACGTGAGAAACTTCCCAGTGTGCGTGGAGCATAGCTGCACTGACACTTTGAGTCTCCACGGTTCAGTATTTTGAGATGCCATCACAGCAGCCTCAATTTCCAGCTGTGAGCTTGCTGTGCCCGTGCTGTTGTCAGGCAGACGACGGTGGTGTTGTAGTTATTGATGATAAGTACACCGTCATGGGTTGGTGATGATGGCTGGAAGTATGGTGGGGTATTATCTTGATTTAATCGTCGCCTCAGCGCTGCCGAGGAACCACACTGACTCTAGTGTCAAGCCCACCCATCATCCTGTCACTGGAAATAGCTCCTCTTCTAATGTTAGAATAATTTTGAGTTATGTCTGCGAGGTATAGCTCTGGAGAGTATAAAAAGCTATTAGTATGCACTTTGACTGATGTTGAATGGGCTTGCCCTTTTTAGTTTGAAAACCTGCCACTTTCGTGCTCGTCTTCGAGTCACTTTGCTCGAGCAGATTGAAACTGATGTGAGTCAGTGTTCCTCTCAGTCATGTGTCCTCTCAGGGTTGCTCTTCTCCATACCCCTCATGGCCCCAAGGTCAGAGGTCATGGAAGATGATCAGAAACCATTTATCATCAGACTTTTGTATTAGCCTGTATCAGCTACCCCATAGATATCAGCGTGATGGAAATAACCCGCATGGATATGATGCAAAATTACTAAAAAAGTGACATTTTACCAGTTTTAGCATAAAGCTCATTCATTTCTAGCACCACACTGCGGTTTTCACTCCAGTGATTTCGATACATACTCAAATTTTAGGGTGCTCTGAAGGCCAATATCAGTGCTAATATGCATATCAAGAAAACTCCATATGTCATGATAAAAGCAGCAGCGGTTTTTCAGAGAGCGACTGTCTGTCTCTATGTTCATTTCAATTCATTGTAAGGATTTCAAGGAGGCTTGGCCTTGGAAAAATGCTTTGCAAAACGGTTACATAACAGCAGTTACTGGAACAGATGTTGATTTGAGCTCAGTATGATTCAAGGAAAGAGTTTGGGTGTGGAGGGACCAAAAGGCAGGAGAGATAGCCCACTGAGCTCTTAAATGAAAACGTTTACCAAGATGCTCCTTTAAGTTTGAGGGGCAGTTCAACGTGTCGAGAGACTATTCTACAGAAGTGGCTCCCGGGGGAGAGAGATGCGTGAATGCTTTGCAGGGTGTGTTTTATTAGAAAATGGATGAGAGTCTCTTTTAATGAGCGAGAGTATAATGAGGGAAGCATGACAGAAGATGCTGCTCGCTTCGATATGTTAAATAATAACAATACTGAACAAAGCGTGAGTGAGAGTGAGAGTCCTCTCAGTGGGAAGAATGTTATTTTAGGGTGTGTTTCTAGCAGTAATGTCACATTAAAAGTCAATTTACAATAGGGTCAATGAAAAGCTTACTTGACTTAGAGGAAGCTAAGGGAGGAGGAGGAATTTGCGCTCCTTTCCAAAAATAAGTTTTACCCTTTCCTACGGATTTGTGTTACCACTACTGAAAGAGGGAGGAGGGGAACGGTTGGATAGTGAATGGAGGGATTTAGGTTTGAGAGGAGGAAAAGAACAGAGTGGAGGGGGAAATATGGTTCTGATTAACATGGATACAGTGTATGAGTTGACCATTTTACTGTGTGGTCTACAGGGAGAGAGAGAAAGAGAGCGAGCGAGCGAGAGAGAGAGGGTGGATGGGACTAATAGAGAATGCATGCAAAAGCTTTCTGCCAAACATGAAAAGGGGAGTTTTTTCAGAGAGAAAAGAAAGTACAGCAGAGGGAAGGGTGGGTGGAGAAGTGCTTGTGGGAGTAGCTGAGAACAGAAGGCGCACAGACAGCGGGGAGAGGAGGGGAGGAGACTGGATCAAGTGTGTGAATTAGTCAGGAGCTGATTGATTGATATATTGATTTGAGGAGGAAAAGCAGAGTAAGGATTAGAGCGTAAGTAAAAGCGTACAGGTTCAGGGATTGCTGATGTCTCTCAGATTTGCTGTTGTTTACAGACTGTTAAAAGCGATCCATCCGAGGATGTTATCGAAGAATGAGAGCAGTTTTTTTTTGTCCAGTTAAGTGCCAACATTCAGGGAATCTGCAGCATTGATTGGTCCCCTGGGTTCTCTGTATGATGAGATCATCTCCGTGGACACAAACTTTAGCACCTCTCCACAGCTGCCTGCAGGAAGGGGACTTTCCCCCTCAATTCCTGTACAGCTACTACTCAGCATCTGAGCTCACTGAAATGACTAATCACTGGCGTTTCTGTCTTTCTGTCTGTTTTCTCTTTCCTCTCTTTCTGCCTCAGACTTACTGCTACTCACTTCAAGCCTAAAAGACAAGCGAGATCTTCCTTTGCTGGATGAAGGGGTCTAACGTTTTATGGACTGTAAAAGGATATTCTACCAGGAATCTCTTGATTAACACCTTCGTCCTGCCGTTCACCCCTGACCCTGTCAACTTCACCAGGGTCGTTTGAAAGTATCTTATACTGGAAACCCAAAAACGTCTTACTACTCCCCCCTAACTTCTCTGATGGACCAGAGAGTGAAGGGGGGAACCCCTCCAACAACAAACTCCCCTCTAGACCGCACCTCTGCACCTGAAGACTCCAAAAGAGACGATGTGGCAGAGAAAAAGAGGAGAGGCGAGGGGGAGAATGGAGACGTAGGGGAAAAGGAGGGAGAAAAAAGAGGAGCAGGAAAAAAGAGGGACGGAGACAAGGGGGCAGTGCTGGAGTTGCTCATCGAGGGGCGCTGTGGAAGTGCGGGGCAGCAACAGCTTCAGATCTCCAGTAGGGAGACAAGCTGCCCTGAGGGAAATGTACGACTCCGGATTGGACTCCAGGCCAAGCGCACAAAGAAACCGCCCAAGATCTTGGAGAGCTACGTCTGCAAACCCACTATCAGGACCTATCAGAGACAAGGCAAGGGGATCCTGCTGAAGGGGGATGGAGAGGGAGGAGTGGGCCAGCAGAGCAAAACCAGCTCTATTTCAGACAAGGCAACCAGAGATCAGCGCTCAGGCTTGGATTCTGTCCAGACCACATCAAAACAAACAGCATCTGCTGCTTCGCCACCGCTGGCATCATTATCATCATCGTCTTCGTCATCCCAGTCACTGTCATTGTCGTCAACATTACCTACAGCTTCTACCCCAGCCTCAGGCCCTGCCATAACCAGTCAAGGGACCAAGTCTGCTAAACAGGTAAGCTCAACACAAGGACACACACATACAGATCTACCCTTGTCAATAGCCAGCTATAAACCAGCGATAAATTGGGAAAAAACAAAGATTTAAAGTTGCTAAAGGTATGCGTACATTATTAAATACAAATATGCGCTGCAGTTCTTGTTTTGTTTTTAAGCAGTGAACCACCAAACAGGTTTACATGGTGCAAAATTGCTAAGCTTTCGTGCTCAGTTGTAATAAGGTCAAATGAGCTATTGTCTCAATAGCAAAACCTAAGCAGCCCATTTAAACAAACAGACCTATAAATAGGACAACAGCACGGCAACCACTTGGAGCTATTACAGACATTGGTCCATCAGTCCCTATGACAATCACCCAAGGGGAAGCTTATTGCTTTAGCTGCACAAACACCACTCAAGCTGCAGCATACCAAAATTACAGGACAAGTACGAAATGTCAAGCCTTCTCATCTGTATTAGTGGCAATTTATAGCTACCAATAGCATGGCTTTCTCTCTCACCGTGTTCTGTCTCTGCCTGGCTCTCTATATCTGTCCCTCTCTTCTATTTTTACTTCCCCTCTTTTCTCTCTACCTGCTCTCATTTATCTTTCACTCCCCCTCTGTCCCTGTCCCACTCCCTTCCTCTCCGTTTCTCTGCCTTTGTATTTCTCCTTTCTGTGTCAACCCCATTCCCATTTCTGTCACCTCACCCTCTCCTTCTTCTCAGTTTGCCCTCTTTTCTCTGCCTGATTGAGTCATTTTGTCCTCACTCTCTTTTAATTGGTGGACAGAGACAAAAGCATTTAGGTTATTGTCTTTTCTCCGTTGTCCTTCACTGTTGTCAAAAGCAAACGAATGGACATCCTGGCCATTGTTGATGACGGAGGTTTTATGTTTGCATTCTCCAGGTTCCTATCAAGCTGGCCGATAAGACTGAGGTAAATTCAAATGGCTCGTCTGAGAAAGTGAAGAAAGAGAAGCATCTTAGTGTCAATGGGCAGCCTGTTCCTGCAGGGCAGAAATCGTCTTCACCAACAGCAGACCAGACAACTTCAAATACTCCTTCCAGCCCATGCAGCCAAGTTCCATCTGCATCAGAAACCAAAAATGAGAGAAAGAGCTCCAAGAAACACAACGGTTTGGGGCAAGCATCAAAACAAAAGGGATTATCCCATGGGAAAACCTCTGCGGACACCCTTGGCACATCTGCCTCATTGAAAGTTAGTCCACCCAGTGACATCTCATTGGTTTCTTCTGTGAACTTTTTGACAAGACCTCCAGTCTCTAACAGCACCAACAGAGAACTTAGCCTGTCCAGTAAGAGCAGGCCAGACTCTCCTTCTCTTGCCTCGGTCACCCCTAATCCACAGTCCTCTCCAGCTGTCGATCCTTCCTCTGCCCATTCCCCAGAGCAGGATTCCTCATTACAGCACACTGGTGAGAAAAAGAGAGAGAAAGAGAGGAAAACCAAGAGGGAGAAAAGGAGAGATAAAAAATCAAAACGAGATAGATTGGCGACCGAAAGAGCAAAAAGTGAGAGCAGAAAAGAAGAAGGGAAGAAGAAAAAAAAGGAGAAAGTGAAGGATGGGAAATCAAGACGTGGTAAAGTTAAGGATGAGAGACATAAGACTGATGACACTCGGAGGGATGAGCTAAATATTGAAAGAGGAAAGTCTGAGAGTAAGAGGGATAAGCTCAGCCCAGAAAGGCAAAGAATAGAAGATGATAATGCAAATGGTGAAGCAGTTGTTGGCAGTAAATTAGCTAAAAACTGTAAATTAGGGAATACGGGCAGACCAGATGAGATAAACAAGGCAGAGGACGTTTGCAAGCCAGTGAAACAGGCTGAGCCAGCAACAGGTGACACCAGTAAATCAAAAGAACAAGACATCCCAAGACATTCGACTGTGCCTCCAAGCAACCCCTCTACTGCTGCCCCTCCCACTCTGCCCAATCCTTCAACCCGTGCCCCCATATCTCCCTCTTCTTCCCCACGAGAACAGGACAGCCGCCCGCTCAAGAAACGTAAAACCAGGCGGCCCAGCTGGACCAAGCTGGTACACCGAGTCCAGAGAGTAGAAAACCAGGAAGCCCCTTCAGATTCCCAGTTTAATTCGCCATTAAATTCCCCCCAGAACCCCAAGACATTGCTTCCTGCCAAGACCGTACAGCAGACTGATGAGTCACACTCAGTTTCAGCCAGCTCCTTAACCAACAGTTCATACCCTACCAAGCCTCCATCCCCAAAGCAGACTCACCCAACATCAGACCCAAGCCCACCTACGCCCAGAAGCCCAGTTACTCCTACTCGGAAAAGGGGCCGCCCTAAATCCCAGAGCTCTAACTTTGACGAACCTCCCCCAAGACTTTCACCTAACACTTTCCCAGCTGAGGTGCCTCCGCTGAGCTCTGACAGCGTTGAAAAAGCCCCCATATTGGAGCCAAGTTCCATTCTGCAGTGTGCCACTCAGCCCATAGCGAGCCCCAGGAAGCGTGGCCGTCCGCCTAAACGACCCCTCCAAGAGGACCAAAATGAAGATGCACTGAACCGCACTGATGTCACGAACAGAAGTAAAGATTTTCATCCTCCTGAAAAAGGGAACAGGCAGCTAAAAATCAGGAGGCTAATAAATGAGATGAAGAAAAGAAAAAAGAAGAGACTTCATAAGGTTATGCTGTCTGGATATGGTAGAAAGGAGGGAAGGGGCAGCGAGGCACCAGATGGGGAGACCTCTCTGAGAATGTGTAAATCAATTGAAGGAACAACAGTACACACGCTCTCAGCCCTGTCCTCCTCCTTCGGGAGTAAGCTGGGCCCTCAGATCAATGTAAGCAAGAGAGGAACCATCTACATGGGAAAAAGGCGAGGACGCAAGCCCAAGGCTCATACCAACCCAACAACCCAAGCTAACTCCAAGAACCCCACTCAGTCATGCCTCTTTACCAATCCCTCAGAAACATCTCTCTTCTCAACCCAACCCAACTCTCACCCGTTTCCCTCCCCATCTCTTACCCACTCCAGTGGGGCCCAGAGCCCTTATAGTGAAGGTAGCCTAACAGAACCGACATCCTCCCTGCTTTTCCCCCATCCTTTCTCCCTCCCTTCCCCATCATCTTCCTGTACCTCTCCTCGTCCACCCTCATCATCATCCCTCTCTCCCTTCGTAAAGAAGAGTTGTCCGTGTCAGGGGAGGCATCATTTTCCCTTCCACCAGTCTTCTTGTAAGCTCTCCTCTCCCACGCCTCCACTGCATCACACACCCGGTTCCCCTGGCCACCTTAAGGAGGCCACACCTTCCCCCAGGAGTGAATCGCACAGTGAGGAGACACTGCCTAGTGACAGTGGGATTGGTACAGACAACAACAGTGTTTCTGAGCGAGGAGAAATGAGGGGAGCCAGAGGCCTGCTCAGATTGGGTCATGGGTCAGGAGTGCTTCTGGGAGGTCAACGGCATCCCTCCTCTCTCGTGGATCGTCCGTCTCCCGTCTCTTCACCTCTCTCTCACATACCAAGACAAACAAATCCACTCACCAATCCAAGTGCTTTGGAGCGCCACAGACACAGGCACAGACGGAGGGATTACGACTGTTCCCCTTCCTGTACTTGTCTGTGCCCATGCCCCTGCCCAGGACACAACAAATGCACTCATTCAGACTTTTACCCTTGTCTTGGGCACAATGCACTGAAGAGACAAAAGAATAAACATAAAAAGAAGCACCAGCAGCTGCACATGCAGGATCCAGAGTTTCTGGCAGAACTGGAGGATCTGATTGGGCAGTTCAGTGAGGTTCATATCGGACGCCGTAGTTGGGTTAGAACAGGACTTGCGCAGGGCTTTGATGGGAGTGGGAATTCTGCTGGAGGAAGACGCCATCACTCCTCTTCCCATTCTCTGCGCTCCAACATCTTCAGGATCAACCTGAATGGGTTTTACTCGCCTCACCCATCGTCTTACCCAACCAATCCTTCCTTCTCCCCTCACCCTTTCTACCCCTGCCAGCCTGTGCATTGTAGTCGGAAGCCAGAGCGGAGGCAATGTGGCTGCCCTTCAAAGTTACAGGAGACCATTGAAAACATGGGCTTTTACAGCAGCTACCCTCCTACCACTGCACTTTACCACCACCTGCCCAGCTCCTACCCCCTTCCCACTCCACACCAGTACACTTCCCATCAGCCCCATCATGCCCATTTCTTCCTCAACCCCGCCAGATTCCATAGGCGGAGAAGCAGGCTGCCCAGGGAGGGAGAGGTTGATGGAGATATCGAGGGAGGAAGTGGAGGAGGTCAACACCTAAGCTCAGGGTTTACATCCAGTCTCATCTGTGGCTGTGGGAGAAATGAACACAAACACAAGCATAAGCACCGTCACAGGCACTGTGAGCGGGACATGGACAATGAGGAAGATCTACGTGATGAGGAGGAGGAAGAGGGAATGGAAAGAGAGGGGCTGGGGGGTTCAAAAGCAAGGTCAGGGTTCATTTTGGGGCAAGGAGATGGAGGAAGGAAAGGGGCAAAAGGGATGGGGAGGATGCTGTCTAAGGAATCACCATGGTTATGTGACAAGAGAAACGATTCCTTTTCTTCTGCCACCGCTGCCACATCATCATCATCTTCTTCAGCAGAAAGGTACAAACACACATCTCTCACTTCACTGGGTTTGGGCTCCTCTCACCTATCCTCATTCGGAGGGGGCTGGGGTGGCATAGGTCAGAGCTGGACAAAATTTGGAGGCATGGGAAGGACGGTGTTTGGAAACTCCAACCCAAGCTGGAGAGGTTTAGTCGGGGAAGAACACAAAGGTCAACTGGCTGAATCGGACGGAGAAGACGAGGATGGAGAGGATGATCAGGAGACCCATCCGTATAGGAGGTCCCCTTCCCCGGTACACACCAACCTTTTCACAACTGCTGCTATGGCAACAGGAGGGAGAGGTCTGAGGAGTGCTCTGGGAGCTCGGAATCCAGGATGTGGAGACAGGTCTTGGAGAAGAGATCAGCCGTCATGGCCGGAGAGGAGAGAAACAGGTGAGCGTTCATGAACTGTTTGCTAAGTAAAGGTGTGGGTGATGATGTGCTTTGACTTGATGTTTGAGGATGAGGTTGTGTCACATGGCTCTCTTAAATGTACATTTAGTGGAAAACATGCACAGGTGGAATACAACAGATCCTGTAAAGGCATTAAATTATGTGAGAAATCTAAGTGTCTGTGGCTAATTGGTAGTTTGACAGTTTGGTCTCTGGCTTTCAAAGTCTACAAGGTTGTGTACTCGTTCATGGGTTTTTGAATGTGATGAGCAGCTTGGCACTTGGCACGGCAGCCATTGTAATGAGTGTATAAATGTGTGTGTGTGACAGGGTGACTGTGACATGTAATGTAAAGGACTTTGAGAGCAGTTTACCACTGATCACAGAAACGTATCTGAAATGCCTAAATCATGACAGCTCAGTGAAGTGTTTATTCCAGGGGGATCTTTCCTCGCACAGGCTGACAGGTTTTTACATTTGAACATTCAGGAGACGAGATTGAATCGAGTAGTTTGCCAAGAGGAGTGACTGCGCTGCCTTTCCTCAGGTGTTGTTGAGCCATGCATCAAGCCTGGGGGTGTTTGGGAAGAAATCAGACTCTGTTCTTTTTATAGCCAATTTCAGTCCTGCTCTGCAGCGCAAGGAACATGTCATACACACACACACGCACTCAGCACACACATATGCAACCACTCAACAGCCACTCTCTGTTGGAAGTTTTTATAAGTGTTATAGCAGGAGGGCAACATCTTGATGGTAATCTTCCAGAAAATCTTTGAAATCTTCCTCGGTTTTCAGCGAACCACATGCTGTTTCAGGCCAGGGCTACTCAGTGAACACAGTCATTAGTTAACCACCAGATTGGCTATTTAAAGCCTGGCCTATCCCTCAATGCTGGCCAACGGGGCCTATTTGACTTGGAAAAATTCAATAAGGAAAGAGTGGTCAGTCTTGTCAGGGACTGTGGAAAATGGAGCAAAAAGATAAATGACCACAGAAGTGATTGATGAAGGAATTGCATGGAGGTCAGGATTGGAGCAGAGAGAGCCTGTGAGGGGAAAATGTTGTTTTTGAAAGAGGTGGAATACATTTGACATCAGCTCATCATCTAACTAAACCCACATGTGTTCTGAGGAACGACACATTGGCACGGCGCACTCGCACCCTTTTTTTTCTGTCTTTGTCTGCTCAGCTTTTTCAGATGGCGTTCCACATTAACTGCGAATACGGCTAGTTCGCATGTTGATGTGAAAAAGTCTGCACTCTGCACATTGTTTGTGTTCATTATTGTGTTTTTTATTATGTTTTTGTTAGTGTGTGTGTGTGTGCGTATGCATAAATCACCTTCTAATGCATTTCCCAGAAGTGATCTGGTTGGAGGAAATGTTGTGACTCACCTAATCTGTGGCCCATCCGCATGACTCAGCCACGACTGGCCTCACCTCACACCTCCTGCTGGCTCAATCACTGATCCACATCTGTCTCATTTCCTTTCCACCACTTACACCCCACCTCCCACCCTTCTCTCCTGCCTCCTCTCGCCTAAACTCTTCCCTCCCTCTCTCTCTCTCTCTCTCTCTCTCTCTCTCTCTCTCTGTCTCTCTTTCAATGACTGCAGGTTTACAAGGTGACTCAAGAAGCCGGGGGCAGCAAAAAAGTGTGCCAACTCCAGACAGTGTGGCAGGGACAAACAAAAGAGGGCCAGGACGGCCAAGAAAGCACCCACTGCCTTCCACTGTATCTTCCCCCACACACTCTTCTGCAGCTCCCCACATGTCATCGACTGACCTCTTGCTAGGACACAGCCACAACAGAGATGGGAGAGAAGTGGGTGGGAAAAAAGAACAAAGACGGCCAGAGAAAGATGAAGTAAGCGATACACTGCAGCAGGTGACAGAGTTGGAGCTCCAAGCTAAGAGGAAGAGAGGACGAAAGAGGAAACACGGTGACTCTCCTTGTCATCAAAGGTAAAATATCACACCCATATTATGAAGTACCTGAGCTGGTTGACTTGAAAATTCAATACAACCACTCACTACTGCTATATTAACCCATCGTTTTCAGCACTGTGTGCTAAACCAGTGCCTTTTCTCTCTGTCTCTTTTCCCTCTCTATCATTCTATCTCTCTCTCTTCATGCTCCCTTTTTAGTGTCATTGAGGACAAACCTGAGTGCGACATCCCTACTGACAATTTCAGCCAATCAGAGATCGACCAGGCTCCACCTCAGCCAGTTACCATACAAAGAGAGGAGAGAGCAGATGGTCCTCCCAGAAAAAAGTTTCTGAGGGCAGGTCTTTACTCTGATGATTACAAAACCACAGAGTGAGTCGACTCAAATCATGGAAAAACCATTCAAACTTTTTTTTTCTTGTCAATATTTTTTTGTTCACGAGTTTATGTCTCCTTTCCAGTCCTCCCTCCCTTGCCCAGCAGTCATGCAGAGAGAGTATGGAGTACACAGCAGAGGAGCGTGAATACAGCCTTTTACCAGCTCCCATACATGTTGGTGAGTATATATCAAGATGGAAACACTGCTGTACTGTGCTGCAGCTGTGAGGGCTCATTCAAACCCCCTTTGTGTCCGACAGGAAAGTACCTTAGGCTGAAACGGATTCATTTCCAGCTACCTTATGATGTCATGTGGCTTTGGCAGCATAATAAGGTAGAGTAGATCTTCAGAGTAGATCATCAGAAAGGTAAAGCATTCATCTAGCGTGTTGTGAATTAACTAGTACATTTTCTTTTGTATTGTTGCAGCTTCAAAAGCAGCCCGCAGTTCCATTGAAGAGAAAGCGACGTTACTGTGAGTTGCTGTATTTACATGATGGATTTTTTCCACTGATTATGCTGTTATAAACTCTTTCAGGGTTTGAAATATCACAGAGTTATGATTTCTGACAGTTGTTAATTGGTTGCCACCAGATTGATCAGACATCTTTCTCAGCCCATCTAGACTCACTACCAAGGTCTCAAATGAAGGAAAGGGGTCCTTGATGGGTCTGAGATCAAAAATAAAGCATTTTTGCCCAAATAAATGACATAACGTGGTTCTAAACCTAATTTAGAAACCTAATATTGGAATTTCCCCCTGTGGGACTATTAAAGGAACATCTTATCTTAAACTCTTTATCTGAATCAGTCAATAAATAAGATCCCTCACTCTGATTTACTCAGCTAAATGGTTTTGTCCGAAGGATTTATCTGACTGTGGCCTAAAAAGCCATTTGGCTAATGCTGGCGTACCATGTTTCCTCCCAAAAACCTAAACCAGGATTGGAAAGAGAAAACAGGAATGGGAAATGAGAGAGCGTCGGCAGGGGAAACACGTTTTAACAAGTTTTCTAAATGGAAGAAGGAAGCAACTTAGAATGTAAAAGGATGGCATGAAATACCAGCAAGTTAGATCAAGGTTTTCTGCCAATCTGCTGTGGATCGTGTTGGCCTTGTGTGTGTGGCCTTTCTATTGCAGGTGCTTTCGAATAAAGAGCAAGAGCAGATAAGCCCTGCAAAGAGGCTCATTAGTTTGGTGATTAGCACAGTACACTAGTTCTTGGTTTGAATGTTAGCTGGGCCTGTTCTGTGAGGACTGATGGTGTTCTGAACAAGTTTTTGAACAAGTGGGTCTTGTAAACCAGCATGTTTGGGTGCAGTTAGCACTGATGCACAGAGAGGTGTTATTGGGTTTGAACCAGAACAGGGGTCATCCCATGTGAAAATGATTCACTCTCGCCATGCCCCTGAATAACCAAAATGCACCTGAAGGGCTTGACACTAACTTTTTTCAGAAAAGAGCGCATGTGCTCCTAAATTGAGAAAGTAAGGAGCACACAAAGAACTTTAGGGGCACAATAAAAACTGATCAAATAACGTGTGTCCTATTGGTCGACTTGAGTATTATTATTTTAAATCATTTTTAGGTTAATTGGTCACATGTAATGGAAGCTATTGAAGAAAATGTTCAAAATTGCCTTTAAATTTAACACAAAAATTTTTAGAGGACAAGTTAGGGAAATAAAGAGTGTGTCTTATCGTCCGACCTTAGTACTATTATTTAAAATCAATTTTAGGTCAATTGGTCATGTGACATGGAAGCTATTAAAGGAAAACAGCCTTATTTGAGAACATCAACCAATAATCTATTGATGGTCCCTTAATCAACACCTGATGATGACAGCGAGGATGCAGAGTAGATTTAACCGCGCTGCTGTTGCTATTCGTGGTTATGGAGAGTGAGAAGACACCGGTAGATCCGCAGTGAATATCCGTCAGATATCGAACCTAAAACTAACTTCACCGCGGTACTTACATGAAAAACATTTGTCACCTCATCTGATTTTTTTTATGCGCACATGTGCCCCTAAATACGTTTTACAGTTCGCACACATCTATTTTTAGTCGCAAATGCGAGTGAAATGGTGACACTGTCAAGCCCTGACCTACAGGTAGAAAACCCAAACAACGAAGCTCGTCTAGAACCACATGAGTGCAGTGGTTTACAGTGCAGAACAGTAGCTTCTGTATCGTGCTACACTCTCCTGGTATTATATAATAAAGAAAGCTCTTGATTCTCCGCACTGGACTGCATATAAACCTGGTGATTTGGTGGTAAACACTGCAATGAGCAGGTTCAGGGTTCAAATCCAGCCCATGCCTTCTATGATAAATTAAGTGTGTGCTGGCTGCTTCCCACTGGAGTGTAGACTACAGACATGGAAGTACTGGTTAGACGTTGAAGAATATAAACTGTTATGATTAGTCCTGCTGCCTCACAGCATGACGGCACTAGGTATGAATCTAGACCACTTCTTCTAGTGGGTACCCAGTGTGCTTTGCTTTTCCCCTACTAGAGTGTGGGCAGCTGATTTTGTACAACCAGAGTGAACTGTACAATGAATAAACACTTACAAAGTACGGTGAAGTGAAAATGTAAAATGTCCTCCTCAGGTTTAGTCAATGCATCAGATCAATACTTTCATGCATCGTCTAATCTCTTTCTCTTTCCCTCCATCAATCAGGCCGGCTGAAGGAAAGGACCTTATCCTCAAACCAGACAGCGGTGCGTTGATGTGTTACACGTTGTATCTTTGCAGTGAAGAGGGCCTCTTTATCTACTATAAAGACTGGCACACAACCCTTAACTGTCTTTGTGTTTCACAGGAGGAGAGCTCGAGTGACATTACCAGCCTGTTTCCCCACCTCGACATGGAGCCTTTGACCAGCAGTGAGAGGTATGAAAAATCCAGCATTTAAATCAACTACCCTTTGCATTTTAAACACGCCAATATAATGTGGATGTTTCTCCCTGTGCGCCCCTGGCCAGGAGCTTTGTGGTGAAACAGCACGTGTTCCTTGTTAGGAACTGGGAGCTGGTAAGAGAGAGACAAATCCGACTGAGGATAGAGCGGGAGAGGGAAAGAGACCCAGAGGGAGAGGAGAGGGACTGTCCACATCCGTCCTATGATGGAGCCAATGGGGACGACAGCCACATCAAGTCAGGTCCATGAAGCAAGTGTGTGTGTTAGTTTTTGTTTCTGTAGGTGTTTGTGAATGCATACGTGTACGTGGTTGAGCTCTTTACATCTTTATTTCTTCTCTACATCTTTACAGATCTTTTCCACTTTTAGTGTTGTGTCCTTTAGCTTAATGTGTGCATGTGTGTGTGTGTTTTGAATGTGTGTGTTTGCTCTGCTTACACCCTGTGCTCCTCATGTTTGGCTTGTCTGTCCATATCATACTCAGCAGCACAAAATAAGTGGTTTTCCAACCACAGAATATCAGACTGCAGAAATGTTTCCCCATTTCTGTCATCCTCTGCTGATGTCCAAGAACCAAGCAGGCTTTGACTTTCTCCATTAGCAGTCAAAACCGCAGTTTCCATCAGAGATTCCCTCGCTGATTACGGATAGAAATCGAGGGAGGGAAATGACATTAGGCGTAATTACCGAGATATATCTGTGAAAGAAATGATGGGCTGCTTTCGTTCCTCCCTGCGTAGTCTTTACTAACATTAAGAAAACTGTTTGACCTCTGACCCCCAGACCAGCAAGTGGGGGTGGAGGTGACGGTTACCAGCAGTGACCCCCACCATCAGAGTCAGGACACCTCCAGCTTACTCACTGCCAGCTCCTGTGTGAGTGAACAAATGCACCCACGTAAAAACAAAAAGAAAAAGAGAAAGATTTTTTTTTTCCTTCAAGAATGCAAATTTCCACAAGGATAAAAATCTGCTTATGTAATTATTTGTTCATACTTACCCACCACAGTCTACCAAAACCCAGAACAGACAAGAGGAGAAGGAGGGAGAGGAAGAAAAACGAGGGGAGGGGGAAGAAGAAAAACGAGGGGAGGAAGAGGTCTGCAGCAGAGAACAGAGACGGAAACGGCTGAATGATTTGCTTTTGACCCTGCAGCACTCATAAGCTATCAGAGAAAGGTACGTCGAGCCTTGTATTCAAACTCTGACAAGTAAATGTACGGTTTAGTTGACGGTATCTCGCTCTCGTGTAGGTGGGACCACTCTGAAAAAAGGGACCAGGCCCACCGCAGGACAGATGGACAGGATATGATGTCACAACACTGCTATCACTGGTAGTAGTGCCTCAGAGAACAAAGTGACAAAAAAAGGGAGACGAGAGCTGGAGAATTATGGCGGCTGAAAAGGCAAGAAAGACATCTCACACACTGACAGATGAGTGTGTTGAACCTCGCGCTCTGAAGGGCATCACACCAAGGATGAAACCATGGCAACACATCCTTTGTCCAAATGGCGAGGGATGATGAGAGATAGATTGTCCCGGTTGAAAAAGAAAGAAACAGACCAGCTGAAAGGAATTTGCACTAGTGCTGGACGAAAACAAGCACACTAAAGACTGTATGTATGCAAAGTGGATACACTTTAAAACACACGCATACACTTTAATTGCTCACATTGGCACCTTAAGCAAACTGGGAAAGACTCACACTTTGCTCTTTGGAGACTGAAAGTGGACATATATGGTACTCAGCATTTCGACTCTGAAGTTTCCAAGAGACAAAGAGTTCACATAAAAAGCCTGGGGGGAACAAAAATGTAGCCCTAAGTAGGTCAAAATTGAACCCTCATTTAATCGTTTAGCTTTCAAAGTCACACTGCACCTTGGGAAAAAGACATGAGGAGGAGTGAACCAGTTAAAAAGCTGTTGAGACAGCGTTAGGGGTTTTCTTCACTTAACCAAGACAGTGTCTGCTATGTACCAGTGAATAGGCTGGGAAAGGGGGAAGGAGGAGGGGTGGGCTTAGTGATAGGAATTTTGGCATCGCTGCAAGAGAATTTCTAATGAGGTTTTAAGAAAGAAGATATTTTTGAAAAAAAATAACGACAGCTTGGTAACTATCTGCTTAAAAATAGACAAAGTATATTCGAGAAAGGAATGTTTATTGTTGACTATTTTCAGTATTGCTTCCTGGTGAAGGGGGTAAAAAAAGTGTTTTGTTTACTTCGGACTGCCTTTGAGAATGTTTTGCTCCAGAGCATTGACAATCAGAATGTCCTAGGGGGAGAAACGAGAGAGGAAAAGGAATGAAAAGTTGAATTGATTTGCCCCAAATGCTCTGTAGAAGTGCCATGTTGTCTTGTGTATGTACCTAAGCGAACTCATGCAGTCTTTAAAAGCAATATCTCCTCTGATAAGGACTATATAAGGATTTCTTTTGTTTTGTTTTTGTTTTTTCTTCAGTTGTGAATATTTGAGGATTGGAGGTTATTTTTATGTACAGTTGCATAGTAGATTGTTCTCATTTTAGGAGCATTTGGCTAAGCCAGCGGAAGAAACCATAAGCGTTTAGTTTCATGTGAATGTACATAGAGAGAGAGAGAAAGACCTGCTTTCTCTATCAGCAGTAGCGTGTAAAATTACAACCATACATGACGATACTATTGTGATTATACTTTACACCTAATAATCAAACCTGTCATTTTACTAATATTTTTTATCAGATTATAAAGCTGACCAATATTTCAGTCATTTCAGCCTCCTTAAAATTGACTATGATTGTATATGATTTTTTTGTAGGATGACTTAATTTGTCTCTTTTTTTAGCGGAGCGTACTTTTTTGTTTTTTTTTATATTGGTCAGACAATCAGTGACAGTGACTTAGTTTTTTCCAGTGTTAAACTTCTGCTCTCTTTCAGTAGTGTGGCTTCTATTAGCGAGCCAAGAAAGTGCAATTTCTTTGACTGTTTACATACTGTATGTATATTTTTCCTCTTTCCTTTTTTAACTAAGAGCACTACATTATTGCCAGTGGATGATTAACTTTATAGCAAAGGTACACCTAAAGAGTTATTTATCTAGTTTGCATGACTTGTAACCTTTGCCTGTTGCCTCTGATAACGTGCATCTGAAAAACAAAACATCAAAAACAGATATAACCCAACGCCATAGAATGTCAGCTCAAAATTTTGCCTCTATAACCACAGTAATAAAAGCATTTTATGTCTACTAGTACTTCACGCTGCAGACTCTTCATTTATCACTTTGAGGCCTCAATCCCGGCGCTCGTTGGTGCGTGCGGATGTGATTTTTGGAGGTTACTGCAGTGATTTTAATCAGCTTTGGCAAACAGTGCTATCTAGTGGTATTAGATCGTATATCTCGACTCATGTTGTCCTCCATAATGACCCACAATGGAGGACGCTATCAGAGGAACACGGTTACAAGATGGGGGAGGGCCGCTGCTCTCTCTGGAGGTTTGTTCTCCTCTTTCTGCCCTTTGCAGCACGTGAACACGTCCTGGGATCTTTATATAAGAGCAAAAAAAGGTGAATGTAGATAGAGGAGTAGGAAGATAAGTATTTGAAGTGTAATGTGATATAATGAGGTGGTTGCATCACTTTTTTTCCATTAGTGGTTGCACATGAGCTCCAAGAGATAAACGTTTATGTTAATCAAAGTGAAATTAAAGCTCCAGTAAGGAGTTTTTACCCTTTATTAGATTGACTAAAATTAATATTGCTACCCTTGTATGGCCTAAGTCTAAAAGACCTTGTTTACTTGGGTGACCATACGTCCTCTTTTACCCGGACATGTCCTCTATTTTGGGGGGCTGTCCGGGCTTGTCCAGGGAAGTTTATAAAATCCTTCAAATGTCTGTGGTTTCGTACAAGAGTTTCGATTTTGTGTCACGTGGACTTACAAAGTTAGAAGCACATAAAAGACACTCAATCCGACCCGAAAAACTCTCAAAATTAACTTCTGCAACTCCGTGACTCCACCCCTGTGTAGTCGGAAGTCAGAATATGGTCACCCTATTGTTTACATTTTCCAGAGTCACAGTGAGTTACATGTATATTAAAAGACAGCAGGTTGAAGTTTGTTGTTCCTTCACTACTCATGCAGGAAAAAAAACCACCAACATTATAAATGTAACTGCTTTTTTTTTTCACTGGGGTCTCCAGAATCAACGCAAAAAGTTTCTCACTGGAGCTTTAAACGCAGAAATACGACTCAAAACAGCTGCACAGGTTTGGTTCATACTGATCTTTTTATTTGGTGTATTTACAAACAAGCACATGCAGGAGGTGGACAGTGACTGACACTATAGGGGCACTGAACTCTATGCAATAGTAGGACACAGAGATGTCTACAGGCTACATGACACCAGAGAGAGAGAGAGAGAGAGAAAGAAAGGGGGAGGAGGAGGGAAAGAAGAAGGTACAGAACTCATTGTTACACTTACACACGAAGGTGAAAGTGCAGGATGTGCAGACACTCATCTCTGCTTTCACTGCCATTTATGTGCACGCTTACACACACACGCACGCACGCACGCACGCACGCACACACACACACATATGTAATGAACCGAGATAGATAGACTCTTGATGGGTCAGATAGAGCTATTCCTTTCAGAGACCTCTAGATCAATAAATAGTACATCAAATAAATTAAGTGCATTTTGCAGACTCAAACATTACACTCCAAAACATATTAAACAAACAGAAATAAGACATTTCATTCGATTAACTGTTATTGTGTCTTTATTTGGTCAAAATGGTAAACACCTAGAATTATCCATTTGTGGCATTTGATCATGTTTATAGGTTACTTAATATGAGTTTTCATATGAACTGGTTTAAGGTGATGCAACCAGACAGTGATGCCGTAATGACTCAACACGATAACGTGCAGAGCTGAGCTTTTCTGGTCTTCAAACTGTTCTGCAGAATTTAGCAAAGGTCCTAAAGTATCCGCCGGAAAAAAATCATGCTTTTGAGAATGTACTTTTTTGTTAGGTTTAAGGTCTCAACTCACGGCAAAAGATGAAACCAAAATGAAAACATACAGAAAGGGCTTTGTATATTTAACATATGCATAGTCATAAATACATAATATAGAGAATAACAAATAAATATAAGACAAACAGCAATGGGTTTCATGTGAGCAACATTGAAATCAACATATCACTTAACACCACGACCACTTATACTACCACTATCATTAATATTAATGATTTCGATGAGCAAACATGGCAGCAGGTTAAATCCAAAGGTGAGGTATGAGGTGAAGACCAGCCACCAACCCTACAGACTTTACAGTAGCATTCATGGATTACAGACATCTGGGATTTTATCACTGCATTTAATTTAAGGTCCGATGGTTTCGAACAAGAGCTGAGAGTATTATACTTAAGTTTCCGCTCCGACACGCGCAGCCCCTTCAAAGTTATGAAAAGGTGGAGAGATTAGCTACAGATTGCTGTTGTCTGATGTGATCTTCTATGACAGAGTTGGATATATAGATATTTTCTCATTCAAAGCATCCATGGCACATTACAATGCATAAAGGTATGAGGCTAAATCTAATAACTTTATGATGTCAAGATAATGGCAATACATGAAGTACACATGAGGAAGATACTGGATTTCATACTCAAAACAAACACATTTACCTTTTTCTTTTGCATGTATGACAACCACGCCATGTTCAATTACATACGTGAAGATAAAGAATTAATCCATTTGTTTTTAATCAGCCACGACTGCTTCTCTGTGTTTTACAAGCTGCTTACTTTTGTTCATCTATCTTTCTATCTATCTTGGTAATATCAATCTCAATTTATATACTTATATTTATATATATTTTTATGTATATTTTTACAGTCAAATATAGTCGCAGAAACATGTCAAACACACGTGAACCAGGCGATAAAGGTGAGAGGTCAACAGGGGCGAAAGGTCAATAGAACACAGATCTACACAGCTACAATTCACTACATTACTATGAAGTATGCAACAGGAGCTACAGCCCAGTACTCCAACGTGCCTTCTCCACCCAACAACCTGCGAGCCATGAGCATCTGCAGCCGGGGAGAAAGAGATATTAAAGTGGCTACTTCCAGGCTGTCGCCTCCTCACAACAGGCAGCCGCTGATCTGACAGCACTTGAATCTGCTAGCGGTTGATTACACAGAGTGCAGAGTTTTCCCCTGTGATCATTTTCAGATCAGTGGCTGACAAGGGAGGCAGAAATTGAGGAAAAAGGACATTTTAAAAGGGATACTTCACTCCGAGATCAAAGGTCTTCCAGTGTGAAATGATCTGAGTTTGACTCGAGTCATTATTTCACACCATCTGCCGCATTCCTGCTGTTAAAATCCATTAGTTTAATGCTACCAAACAGGATGGATCGTGATGAGAAGAAAACCCCCATATGTTTGCACAGGGAGAGAGGCTGCAGACTGCTCCTGATGCACATAAAGCAGAACAGATGGTGTTTGCACTCGAGTCAAACTTAAACCAAGACAGTGTGAAATATCTCTTTCGGAGTAACTGAGCCTCACCGTCACCTCTCAAAACTTGCCTTAAATATATATATATTTATATTTATATTTATTTATTTATCTGTATTGTCTGAGTGCAGCAGTTGAGGCGCTGAAGTCACATGATGAGGGAGGTGTAGCCAATAGCTACCAGCCCCTCTTTGTCTCCCTGACGACAGCGGATCCAGTCTTGATCAACTCCTCCTAACACCACTAGTTCTTCCCCCTTGCAGAAGCTGAGCTCTGAACCTGTTCCAGAGTGGTCACACAGCGTCCGCACTGACCTGAGGACACACACAGCAGAGAGCCGTTCAGCCAAAATCTAAATTAACCCGTCTACACCAGCCACAAGCAATGACATCACCCTCCACATACGATGAAGCCAAATCTTTGATGAGTCACATCGCCGGATTGTTCAAAGTCAAGCTGGTGAGTCACCAGTCAATCCTTTAAAGATAAATAAACACACTGGAGTGCTTCCTACTCCCCGGTGAGCTCTTTGAACGGTAAGAAAACATGTCAAAAAGGAGATAACATGACATCCCAAAGACAGCTGCAGTACAAATCAAAGTTTCTGCAGTTTTATAACACTTTCATTAATCTCAGTGAAAATGGGAGTTTAATTTTCCACCATACACCCGGATCGGACTTTTAATGTTGGGCCCTATCATCTTATAAGGTCATAATGTATTTCAAGTTTGAGATTTCACTAAAAATGTTTCTCCCCTGAAATTATCCAAAACATAACTGAGTTTAGATTGCAATTTCAAAAAAACAAACTGACTCTGGGTCCTCTTATGATGCCGTGTCTGTGCCAGACAAATCCAACCTCAGCACAGAACTTATCATACCGAACCTGCTGCTCATGCCTTTTGTTTGATTTGTTTAATGTTTTTCAAAGTTAACTCTTTTGAATATTTATAGGTATATTTTCACAATTTTGGATGCATACTAAATACTGTTCAGTCACTGTGATAAGAAGTATAGGCTCATGGGTTTTTTTATGGTTGTACCCTGTGTTCTGACTTTATGTTAGCAGTAGTCAGTCCTCATCCTTTTCTCTCTTTATTTTCATTCTGCTGTGGAAAATGTTTTTCAGATTTGACTTTTACGATCCACTGGTTGGATAAAAGCCTTTCAGAGGACAGCAGATTTGTTTACTATTGTATTTTCCTACTGTGTTTTTTTTTGTCTCCAGACTGAAAATAAATAAATAATCATTTGGACTCCTGATCAAAGCGCCACCTTGTGGCTATTTCAAGATGGACAACTACCAGCTGAGATTTTAAGATTGATAAAAAAAAAAATCCTATTTAAATACTTGATTATTTTTTTTAAAGCTTAAAAAAAGTGCCACGATCTATTACCCTTCCAGGTCAGATTTGAGAGATTTCGATACTTAACCATTACACTCCGTACCAGCATATATCCACCCCCCACTACCATTATTTGATGTCTGTTGTACCTGAGTGGTCTGGGTTTGTCCTTCATCTCTTGAACATCCCCATCCTTCACCGGCTCATGTTCGCTCTCTCCCTGCGGCTCTGCGGCCCTCCTTAAGACCGGAGTGGAGTTGCTGCTTACCATTCGGGTCAGTGCAGAAACACCAGGAGCCAGCCACTGAGAGGGACGCCTGCAGAGACACAGAGAACAAGGACAGAGGAGCAGATCAAACAAGGTTTCTGTTGTTTTTGATACTGCCAAAAAAAACTTTATTTTTCTGTTCTCATACAGTTTCTTTCTCTCAAGCAAAGGCTAATCGTGCTATTTTTGTAGGCCAACCTGGTTGGTGGTGTGTGTCCTGGTGGGCTGTTGGGGCTTTTGGAGGCTCCAAAGAGCCGCCCCAGACCCCAGGGAACCAGAGCACCACTGCTGACCGGGGCAAAGTCACTCCCTGTCTGGATCTGAAGACCTGGCAGATCCGCCTTCATCTCCTCTTTTTTCAGGCTCAGATCAGCCAGGTTCCTGCTCAGTCTGCCTCCCAAACGCATCACAGCCCCCCATCCCTGCTGGATGACCTGTTATTCACAGAAACAGTCAGTCATGAGGGATAAAACAACACATTAGAGTAAACAAACTGAATAACCAAGCTTGGGTCAGTACCTGTCCTGCCTGCTGAGCGAGACTTTCCTCCTCATCATCAGGTGGAGGTAATGCTCCGATCTCCTTCTCTTGCACCCACATCAGCTGAGGACTTGTTTGTGCAAGAGACACCTCACCCTTCAGGGGTGTAGTGCTGCTCTGTGTCGACTCCCCTGATCCTCCAGTCTTTGGGCTAACTGGAGGTTTTTCTTTGGTCGCCTCATGTTCTGGACTTTCAAAGTTAACCTCTGACAGGGTTTCAATATACCTGCAGCCAGTGGTTTTGGATTGTGAACTCTCTGTTGACCCAGCATCCTGGGAAGGAGGACTGGGGATCTGTGGACGGTGACTGTCTGACTCTAGATGGTGGTGTTGGAAGAGCAGGTCGAGGTTGAAGGTGAGCAGGCTGAGGGGCTGCAGCACCAGGAGCAGCTCCTCAAACAGGGGCTGGCAGGCGGTCAGCGACAGGCGCATGAAAGAGTTTGGGTGATAATAGGTCTCCAGCACATCTGTGAGGAAAAAGTATCACGGCTTTTAACGTATCGCTCGCAAATATGAGATGAAACTGGAGGGAGGAAAACTTACCGCTGCAGGACTGAAGATGAGATAGCCAGAAATCAAGACGCTTGGTACTGAAGGAAAAAGAGCGAGAACATCAAAATAAGAAAGAAAGTTGTTTCATTTCTAACTTCTGATTAAAGCACTTTTTGTGCCTCTACTTTGCAAATACAGAATAAGGTTTTCTTCTTTTGTAAGAGTCATTGTTTGGTTAGTGCTTAATCACATATTTTGAAACTATCTAGTGAAATAAAAACACTTATTCAATCGATTTCTCTGCATCAAACCATAAAAACATTGACTCAGGAACACCAGCTGAAAACATTATTGATCCTGCCATTATACAGCAACACCACTTTCTTCTACCTCTTTGTTCTTTCTCTACCTTTTTTCTGATGTTTAGGTTTGAACTGTGAATTTCTATGTTCGTATTCTTTGTTTATATCTTTTTATTTATGCTATTTCTACCACACCCACACTAGCTTTTGTATCATCTTTATATCTCTATGTAAAACAACCAAACTTACTTCAGGAGGCCGAGCAGAAATGCGTTGAACCTGTGCTTGCTCTGCCTGAGCTGGGGCAGCTCTCCAACTCGAACTTGAAGGTTGAACAAGGCTTGTGTTTTTGGACCTTGAAAAGTGGGTTGTGAGAAAAAGCAGGATGTGCATTTATAAAAAGAGAGAGACAGAGAAGGGATCAATGGAAAATCTTACTACCATGAGCAAAAAATTGCAGTGAAACTTGGCACTACTAGGCCGATCAATATCTGCATCCTGTTGTTCGCTTAATTCAGCATTTTAGACACAGAAATCAACAAGTATTGGCTGATGTGTAGGAAAACGTCAGGAAGACTAAGTCCAGGGTTTATCAATATCATCCAGGGAGAAAAACAGCCTAATATTAGACCTTTGGTGCCCAGATTAATTACTGCTAGTTTTCCTACAGTCTTTGAATGCTACCTGGCCGTGTGGAGGCCTGGACCAAGCTCCACGCAGAGTTTGGCCTCCTGCCTGCAATCAGGTCACTCTGGTGGGGTTTCAAGCCATCAGTCAGCAAGCTGTGCAGGGCAGGGCAGAGGCACTGCAGCACCAGACGGCCCAGGGATGGATTTATAGTGCTGTCTCCTGATAAGGCCTGAGGGGAATGAGAAAAAAGAGCAAAGACAGAGGAGAAAATGGGAGAAAGTGAGGAAAAAATTGTGCAGAATGAAACAGAGACAAGGAAATGAATCAGAGGAGAAGATTCAGAGGGAAGAAAATGGGACACAAACGGCGAGTGATGAGGGTCAGTGTGATGTGATGAGAGATGATTTTTTTGGGGGGTTGGGAGGATGGAGTTCATCAGTATTTCTTAATACTACAACAGGGCTGTCTGGAAAGATATTTTATTACCTTAAGAATGCATCATGTTAAGACAAGAGCAAGAAAGGCGTGATGGAAAACCATTTTAGAGACGAGCAACAAATAAAACACAGTTCTGTTTGATCCTATAACTCCTCCTCTGAACTGGTTTTCACCTCAAATGAATGAATGAATGAATTTTATTTTGGTTATACATTATGTTATGACAACAAAGCATTACAATATGTGTGAATCTAAAACTACCAAAAACAAAATACAAAACAAATATATATGTTCTCTCTGATTTCACACAATCACTAACCAAAGAAGGAGCAGGCTGAAGCCCAAAGGCTGATTTATACCTCTCCTAAACAAACTATAAGATATCCCAGAATATCAGCAAACAGAAAAAAATAGAGCAAAAAACAAAATACCCATAATGAACTGAAGGGGAGTGTTAGAAAGAAGACATGGAGGGCAGGAAGCATGTTTGAGTCCCACCAGGTAAGGCTGTACAGCTGAATACCAAACCCGTTTTGGCCGAGAAACTACTGTATTTTTCTCCTCTTTCCCAAACTTTTCCCATATTAATATTCTCCTGTAAATCTCCCGTATTATAATATATATAACAAAAAACATTACTCTGCCTCTCCAAACTGAGCTCTGTCCCCACCAGCTAGGATAAGTAGTACTAGTAGTAGTAGTGAGTTGTTGTCGCTGATGATTTGTGACGATGAATGACTCCAACCCCCCGCTCTCTGGATGCTGTATACTGCACCTTCCACTATGCCCTCATTACAAGGAGAGCTGGGTTTGTACAAAGAAAATGTGAAATAACTAAATAATGGTGGAATCAACTGGTCAAAATGACAGAGGACAGAATAAACAAGAAAGTAAGTAGTAAGAAAGCTGCTGTGTGAGTTGTAAGATTTGGATGAAGTGGAAATTGAGGCCGATTTTATTTTTAATGTACAAACTGGGGTGACTTAAAAGGGTTATTGTGTCATGAAATCACTGGTAAAAGCCTGAAATATTGTGTTGGTCGGCTTTTTAAATTTAAGAAGTTTAAGATTGCCAATTGTGTTTCAAAGGTCTGGAAAAGAAGCCAAGAGGGTCAAGGGTATACTTACTCTGTATGTTAACATATACTTATGTTATATTGACTTGTTGTGTGCTCTGACCTTAGACTGTATGAATATTTAGTGTAAGCCCAAACAATCTGGGCAAAAAAAATTGGACAATACAATAAAAACTACAAAATCAAAAACTGCATTTAATTCTCCCATCTACAAAAAGACTGCGTCAGTCAGCTGCAGAAGAATTCAGCTGTTTTGTTTCCATGTTTCATCATTTCTACTGCTGTTTAAAACTAAAGGTTATATATTCAAAGAGTTGTTACATGGAGCGATGTGAGGTGAAAAACAGACATTTAAAACACCACAAATCTTAATCCAGCAGAAACTAACCTTTTGAACTACGGTCCGTGAAGAACTGAATTGCGCCAAGATGGCTTCCACTGCCACGCTGACCGCACTGACCAGAGCTGGAAGGAAAAATAATCATCTACTGTCACACTGTGAAAGCTAGATACAATTAACCAAAAAACCCAGCTGTACCCGACAAAACTCTCACCTTTTTTCTCCTGCAGGAACAGGGAGGACAGGCCCAGACCTCTCATTGGATGCTTCACATCTTCGCCCATCCAGGAAGTCCCTGTCCTCTGAACAGAACCGGCGAATGAGACACTGCGAACAGCTGACAGCGAGAGCAAAAGAGAAATTACCAAATGGAAGAAAACAGAAATTCAAGAGAGGGAATATTAATCACCACAGACAGTTTTTACTTTAAATAAAATATTTGGGTTATTAGAGGGAGCAATTAAGCAATGAGAAGCTTTGGAGAAGGCAGTTAGAAGCAGATGGTACGACTGACAACAAACAGAGTGTAAGGACATCCTGTGAACATTTGTTTACTGTGACCAGCTTTCAACATCTGGATCTGAGAGGACTATTTTCTGTATGCAGCAGGGATGAACAGGATCCCATGCATTACTGTTGACTCACACTTAAATGCACAAAGAAACTCATACGTACTGAAAGCAAGCAGAGAGGTACACAAGTGGAGCTGCAGAGCTACAGGTAGTAAGCTATGACTTCAGTCAGGTAAGAAACAAATACACAACAAGATGTAAAAGGGGATCTACTGTTTACACTTATTTATATAATGCACTTATATAAATACACATTCTAGTTACAGCAGAATGCAATGAACTACGGTGGCTTTGGTTTTCCCCACATGTCCACACACAAAGCTCAGAAGTCTTTACATCACAACACCATCAACAAGCTTCTTCAGTGTGCCTGGCATGAAATGCTTATGTCCATTTCAACACCTCATGCAAAATCAAAAAAACAACATAATGACCGACACAAAGATAGACAAAAGGAGGGAGACTAAGAGGAGAGAAAGAGAGATGAGAGTGACTGTAGATACCCTCTGATAGAGCAGCTGTTACCCGTCTCCAGGCTTTAGCAGATTTGAAAGCAGCACTCTGCAGATAAGATGTATCAGGTCACCAGCAGAGAGCTGACTCCTGATACATAAACCATCTAGAGTTACACTGTTCTTTCAAATCTGCAAACCATTCAGGTTGGAGAGGTGACTAAAATTGTAAAGGGCCACCACATCCAGAGCAGAGGACAAAGACAGACGGTTAAGAGCGAGAGACAGACATTAAGTGAGCAAGAAAGAGAGATAGATAGAGAGAGATAGAGATAGATAGATAGAGAGAGAGAGAGTGGGTAAGATGTATGGACAGAAACAGAGAGAAAAATCTTACTCGCCACGTGTAACTGCGGAGGAGCCTGGTAAAGTTTTGGGGGTAAGGGGGGCGCCCTGGGCGGAATAGGAGGGTAGAGGTTTGGATAGTAGAGGGGAGCAGCAAGGGCAGGCAAGGTGTGTGAGCGAGGGAAAAGTGGGGAGCTGAGGTTAGAGCCTGCAGAGCCCTGAGGGGGCGCTCCAGAGCGCAGAGGAGGGGAGAGGGCTCCGATAGGGGAGAGGCGGGGCGGGGCACCCCTGTGCAAAGGGCAGTTTTTAGGGTGGTAGAGGTAATATGTGGGGAGAGGAGGAAGCTCTTTAGATGTTCTTTCCTTGTCTGTGTGTGAATGTGTGTGTCTTTCTGAAAAGAGTGAATCCATCGCACTGATACTGTTTGAATACGTCATCATGACATCGATGTTCTTGTACGGAGTAGTACAACCTGGAACGTCTCCAGTCCCGCTAACATTTGTGTCTGCCTTAGAGTGCGTGTCCGACTCACTGCAGTAGAGAGAGTCTAAATTACAGATGGAGTCAGACTCAAAGTTGTTGTGTGTGTTAAGGAAATCCTCATCCTCACAAGGGGAGTCTACACCGAAATCAGCCAGGGATTCATAGTTAAACCTAGAGCCGGCATCAGTGCTGGAATCATCTCTGTGGACACAAGCTGAGCTGTCAGCTGAGGCCTGCTGTGTGTTGCAGTGTTTGTCTGTAGACTCCCTGCCTGCATGGCTATTGGGTCTGGGATCTGCAAAGGGCTGGCAGTTAGAGAAGCTGGGGTGAGAGGGAGGGAGGGCAGCGTGAAGAAAGTAGGGTTGGGAGGACTGGGAGAGAGACAGTGGGGGGGTGGAAACTGCTTATTTGAAAAGGGGGAGAGATTTTAAATATTTAAGGGAGGGCAAAGGGAGGGTGCGCAAGCAAGCAAAGTGGCATAAGGAAGAAAAGTGGAAAAGTGGACGACGGTGGAAACAACAAAATGGGATGGAAAGTTGAGAAAAAAAGGAAGATTGAAGTAAAAAAAATGAAGCAACAAAATGGGAAGGAGAGAGAAATGCAGAATGTTAGTGTCTGCAAGAGAAAAATACACATTCATGAATGTATTCCTTCATCATGTCATATCATGCACTAATGCATCATTTAAACAGTCAAACGGTTGATTGACAGATACACAGATGGTGTATGAGAATCAATGGAGTTGATTTATGAAGAGGGATAACCACAGTCTTTTACTTAAGAGGGTCTGACACGACAGGAAATGACACTGCTGCAATAAAAGTGTAAACGCTCAGCAGTTTCATCGCTGCACAGTTTTAAATTATTACTCTGTCAATCAGCCACTCATTTACCAATGACTCCGTAATTAAAATGCCACCATCAATCCCAAAGATTAATCATATTAGGATCTGAGTTTTGGTTATGGCATCTGGTTTCACTTTCATCTCAAACTTGTCCTGAAATATAAAGTATAGGACAGAACAGTGAGTGCCAATCTAACAGTTTTTGTACTTCACTGCAGTGCATGCCTTCATCACCTCTGGATCACCTTCTTTCTCTCTCTCTCTTTCTCTCTATCTTCTCTGCCTTCGTTCTCAACCCCTCTCCCTTCCTCCCCTCTCCTCTCCTCTCCTTCAGTACAGCATACAGTATAATGCTGAGTCAGTCAACAGATACAGAGATATACAGACTTCTGCTCAATCACTGCGTCTATCTCTGTGAAGACTGAGAGACCGTGAAGACTCTGCTTTCATTTCACTCCATTACCTGTGACAAACTGCCGGAAAAGAGCTAAAAAGCAACCATACCTTAGTAAGACTTGAGCTGTCTTTGAACTGTAACCAACTCATGACACTTCCTATTTTTCTGACACAAGCTCTCAGCAATTGGTTCATTTACTAGGATCCTCCCCTCGGACTCTTAAAGGTGTACACACCTATTTCTGGCTGGTTTCCCACAGCATGTGATTTAGTTCTTATTCATTTGATTTTTAGTATTAGACAGTGAAGAGAAAGTCATGGGATAATGTCAAAGTATTTAACACATAACCACACTCTTTTTATCATTCATTTTAAAGGTTTTGTGTCAATAAAGTTTTATATCTTTCCAGCATAGAGATCTTCACTCAATGTTCAGGCTTTAAAGCCACCTACTCCCTTGTCTGCTTTCTATTAAAGATGTACACTTAAGTAAGTATATAAGACAGAGGCCTCTTTGTTTTTATACCCTGGACTATTTATGGGTGTCGTTTTAATTATTTTACTAGTTTTAACTCTGCACTGGATTGTACTGTTTTACTATCTAATGTTTTATTGCCCCTTTTTTAATGCACTGACTGTAGAGGCACTTTTTCATTTCGTGGTGCTTGTCACAATGACAATAAAATTCTATCTATCTATCTATCTATCTATCTATCTATCTATCTATCTATCTATCTATCTATCTATCTATCTATCTATCTATCTATCTATCTATCTATCTATCTATCTATCTATCTATCTATCTATCTATCTATCTATCTATCTATCTATCTATCTATCTATCTAACTCACTGCCTCTAGGTATCAAAATGGCAAAATCTTAGTATTTACTTCTGTTTCAGTATTTAATGAAGTTTAATTATTAATATTTTTATCACTATTCTTAGCTTAAATGCTTCAGCCTTTTTTCTACCGCTCTTTCAAAACACGTTTTTTTTTTTTACTGGCACAACATGTGCTTTTTTATAATCTGATGGTCTTTATAAGAAGGGCTTTGTGCTGCTTTTTACATGCAAATTACAACTAAGTTTGAGTTTAAATTTTTCCAATCAAAGAAAATAAATGGTAACACTTTACAATAACCATAATTTATAAATGGCAAATAGATAGTTTAATGTGTGTCAGTAGCACTTTGTAAATGGTTAATATTTGTTTTTTAAACCACCTATAAATATTTCTTTGATGGTTATTGTAAAGTTAGGGTTAGGCTTAGGTTTTTAAAGTTGTAAAATTTACAATTCATTAATGGTATATGTGCTATTTATAAATGATGATTAAACATAAATAAACTATCTGCTTACATTTATAAATGGTCTATTTACCATTTCTAAGTTATGATTATTGTAAAGTGTTACCAAATGAATAGTTAAACTAAAATGAGAAGTTTTAACCATCTAAACTAAATCCAAACCCTCCAGTAGGTGGACATAAGCATTTGAATCCTCTGTGTCTGTGGAGCCTGCAGCAGCACTGCATTAGATGAGTAACTTGATCTTAGCTATCTGTACCACTCTAGGGATGGGTGGAGGGTATAGGAGACTTTAAAGGGAACTAAAATGAACAACAGAGAGGAAGAGAAAAGGAAGCTGTTTTAGGATACATAGGTCGAAAGAAAGAAGAAAGCAGAAAGTAGAAAAGACTTAAAATGAAAGAAGGAAGAAAGAGGTTGTGAGCTCAGTGGGCGCTCCATTATCTCTCCCGTTGGTCTGAAGAGTGGATGAATAATTGAATAAGGCAGTGATGACATCACACTCTGACAACCAGTGCAGGAAATACTGGCTGGAAAGTTTCCAACCCCCTATTTCTCCTCATATTACCCACACTCCCTTCACTTTCTTTCTCCCTCCATCTTTCACTGTTATTCACGTTCAAACTCCAGCATCCCCCGCCTGCTTTTCCTCGGTCGTCATTTATCTATCGTATCATGCATCATCCCTCTTTGTGACTCACACTCATCCCACATCTCTCTGCTCTCCTTCCATACATCATCTCCATAAATGAGTCAACATTTCTCCTCCCATGGTCTTCTCTGTCTTTGTCTTTTCTGCTGTGTATTTGTGCATCCCTGAAAATAAAGTTAACAAGCAGACTATTTATTGTTTTCTCCCTCTGTTTGTCTTTATTGTCTGTCCATCCCAGATTCATTATGTCATCCAAATTACACAGGGCTGTTTTGCTGAAGAGATGCTAAAATACCACCTTTTCCTTCACAGTACCAATTCCAGAGTATCTCTCTGGTTGTGATGTGTAAAAAAATGTTGTTATATTGGTGCGAAAGTACTAAAAGCTTTGACTTGCATTACACCCACTGCCAGGATGTTGTGTGTTATTTTCACACGGGATTTTACCTCAAACCTGTCGGCTTTTTGAAGGCTGATTAGTCACTGTATCGGAGCGGTAGATTCACCAGTAAATTTGCTGATATTAAATACTCCACTTTGATGAGTATCAGAGGTGCCCACTGCCATCATGATCCTTTTTACTACAAGAGAAGCACTCACATGGAAAAGAAGACCCCATGCCCCTCTGTTTTCAAATGCATCTACCTCCTTTATATCAATGGCACCATCACAGAAATGCACTCACCTGAAGTTCTCGACTCGAATGTCCTCTCTCCATCAGCTCGTCCCCTCACCTCCACCTCTTCCTCTTTCTCCTCCTCTTTCTCTTTCTTTTCCTCACTCTTAGCTTCTTCACACTCCCACTCTCTGCCCATGGTCCACAGGCTACTGTCACTGATGGAGCTGCCAATCTTCTGAGACGGACACAGCTCCAGCTGTCCCCCTTCCTTGTCCGCTCTCTGGAGCATCTCCTTCAGAGCCGCCATGGAGGTGAGGGCCGGTGGCGGCTGCATGAAGAAGGCTTGAGCCTGAGAGGTGTACTCCCATTGCTGCCCGTCGCCGCCCTCCTTCTCTCTTCTCCACCTCAGGTTGTAGAGTATGTCTGGATCTGGAGTGATAACTGAGGGGTCTGGTTCTGGGTCACTGATCACCTTTGTTGGTGGAGAGGTGCTCTTGTTACGGAAGCGCAGCTCTTTAAAAGTCGTTGTCTTAGGAGGAGACGGGCCTGTTGAGGTGAGCTTCTTTGGAGCTTCCTTTAGAGATTTCTTCATTTCCAAGGTGTGATGCTTAGGGGGGCCTTCGCATTCAGGCGTAAACGCTATGAGCCAATCAAATTTCTCAGGTTGTGCCGAATTGGCGGGAAGAGTGCTGACTTTGAGGGTTGGTTGAGATGGGGGGATTGGGGGTAAGGGACGAGGAGGAGGAGGTGGAGGTGGTGAATCTGGAAACACTGTGGGATACCTGAATGACTCAAAGGTCATGTTCTTTGTTTTAGTGTCATGTGTGTTACTAAGATTGGTGCTGTAGTAATGATCGGAGGTCAAACCGCCATTCCTCTTCCTTCTCCTCGCCATCTCAGTGAATGAGGTGGTTCTTTGTGCATCCTTGATTTCCTGTTTATTCCTGTGTTCTTCAACGATATCTTCTCTTCCCGCTCTTTCTCTGCTGCTCCATGCATCTTTGGTGAACATCTCTGGGTCACATTTCTCCTCCTCCTCCCTCTCTTTTAGTCGGAACTCGTGTGACTCAACAGACTTGGATGAGAAAACATTGCCTCTATCTCCATCATCCTCCAACCCTCCAACACAAACTCCGAGCTCAGGGCTGAGCTTGAGAAGCTCTGCTTGGGTCAATCCAGCAAGCATCAGCAGTTTACGGATCTCCACATCAAGTGCGTGAAAGGAAGGGGGAGAAGGTAGAGCAGGTGGAGGTGGTATGGCAGGGGGAGATGAGGAGGATACTGAGATAACTGGTGGAGGAGGAAGAGGTGGGGGACGCGTGGTCGGAGGGGGAAGTGAGAGGGGTGTCTTTTCTTGTTCAGCTTGGAGAGCAGCGAGCCGTTGCGCCTCCTTTCTGGCAAGGTGACGCTTCCGAGGGGGAGGGATGGGAGGAGTTGGGGTGGGGATGGATGGAGGTGGAGAAGGAGTGGTGTAGAGGGTGAGGTAAGGGACTGGTTTAGTGGTAGGGAGAGGAGGGATAGATGGTGGAGATGGTGGTAGGGGTTTCTCGCACCTAAAAGTGGTGAATGTGGGTGATGAGGAGTTAGGAGAAAAGGTAGACAACGTAGGGGAGGTGGAGACGGCCATGGAGGTGGTCTCCCTGCTAATATTGATGTAGGTATGGAGGTCGGAGCTCACGCTGGCGTGTCGCACTGGAGGTTTAGGAGGTCTGGGTGGTGGCTCAACTGGGGAAGGAGTGAGTGAATCAGGAGCAAGAGGATCCTCACAATCTGACGGGGCAGTGAGATCAACCCCTGCATCTGAGAACTCCTGAGACTCCCCCATCATCCCTCCACGACTTCGATACAACTTCCAGGGAATGTCGATGTTCCCCATTTCATCCATGACATCTGACAGATCCTGCTCTTCCAGATCTCCGAGATCGAACCCCTTCTCATGGAGCCTAGCAATGTAGGCCAGTTTTACTTCCCTGTTCACCTTCTCCAGACGATCCAAGTGATCCAACCGATCCCTCAGAACATCCCAGTGTTGCTCCCCCTCCAGATCCCACCGAGCAACTTGGATCACCTGGCTGAAGCGCTCCATCTTACCAAATTCTCCAACTGACTCGAGAAAGTCAAGCAGGCCTAGTTTAGCAACCTCTGAATCACCCTTGACTCCAAGGTAGTCAGGAGAAGGGGAGTCCAGGGCAGAGGGGTAGCCCTCATCTGGGGAGCAGGGAGAGTTCTGGGAATGTGATGTTAAAGTGAAAGGATTACAGCTAAGAGGGAGGGCCGGGGGTGAACGAGAAGGGGGCTGGAATTCAGGAGCTTGTGAAAGAGATTGTTTTTTGGGGGAAAGAGCCATGGACAGATCATCTTGGTCGTGAGAGGAGCTGATGGAGGTGGATTGATCTGCACAGTCAGACTCCAGATCAGAGCAAGAGCTGATAGAAGTGGAGGATGATGAGGTAGAGGAGGATAGGGAGAACTCTAGGAGGGAGGGGGGGCAGTCACAGCATGATGGCACCAGGGTGTCATCATCCTCATCATCGTCTTCATCATCGTCGTCATCGTTATCAGCCTCGTCATCATCATCGATGTCAATGTCACCGCTGCTCTCTTCCTCGTCATCCTCTTCGACAACTTTGACATGTTTCTTGTTGTCAAGAGTGGTACTTTCATCTGTGTTTTTGCCTTCATTTTCCAGACTGGCAGCAGGGCAGGCAGAGGGCTCCATCTTGGCTTTCACTTCAGAGGGAAGCTGCGGCTGCTCCTTGGCTCCAGTCCCATCATGCCTCTGGGGCAATAATTGGGCTGGTGGAGGAGGTGGTAGCTGCAATTGTTGTCTGATAGAGATAGTGTTGTTGTTGTTATGGTTATGGTTGAACATGCTGTTGTTATCCTGCGGTGAGCGTCCATCGCAGCACAGACATGGGAGGCTCGGCTCATTGCAGTTCGGGTCTAGAGGGAGCACAGAGGGGAGCTGAGGAGGGGCTGCTGCCGGTGCATTTTTGGTTGCTGCGGATGCTCGAGCACTCTTGGGTTTGGGTTTAGCTGTTTTGGAGATGGCTGAAGCTGCTTTTTGTGAGCTAAACCTGGATTGGCTCACTGGTGCTCGAGGCTGCACTCCCACCCTAGTCCTGGTGGGCGCTGTGGAGCCTTTCGTTGCCCGGCGAGGAGAGGATGCGGTGATTGTGTTCATGTTTTTATCCTCTCTCTGAAAACCAGTGCCATGAGACTTTGGTCCGGCTGCAGTGTTGGTCCGTCTGTTGACATCAAAGCGCCGCGGCTTTGAAGACTGAGAGGAGGACTGCATTTTGGGTACGGGACGATTTAGGATGCTCTGCTATTTGTGTTGCTATAGAAACAAGTGTTGTAAAGGCTGGAGATTTCCAAACTATGACGCGCCGTGACGGTCACATCTTGGCTTGTATCCTAAGATCCTGTAACATCAAAGGAGACACACACAGTAAATAATGACTATGAGCAGATTCAGTTCCTCTAAGCTTGTATTCTTGCTCTACACGTGTCATTCTAGGCTAGCTCTTTGAAGTTAAACCTATCTTTTGGACTTTTCATTAAGTCCCAATTGCTTTTGGGCTTTCCGCTTTATAATTATCAAAGAGCGAGTCCTGAGAGGAGACAGGAGAGATAAGAACACACACACACACATCGGCTCACACACAGAGTCCTTCACTGAAGATATTATCGAGTATTGCTAAACAAGAAAAAATATAGCTAAAAAAATATGCATGCAACGCAATCTTTACTGGTTCCAGCTTATTGAATAAAATTTTTGATTGGTCTTTTATCATAATAAATCAAAAGTTAAGTTTTGGACTTCAGATCAGACAAACCATCACATCCAAGGACATCACCTTGGACTTGCTGCCTTAGGAAACATTAATGTTAAATCATTTTTCTTACATAGTACAGACAAAACCTGACTCTTCTAAGAAAGCCGTTGTTTGTTTGTTTGTTGTTAAATTACTGTAATGCAGTAGGAAGTTGCTGCAGCACAAATTTCTGAAACAGTATTCAAAATACTGACATGCATCTTCTCTGAACCATCTGGACACCATAGAAATCGGCTCATAAATGAAAACAATAATGCACCTATCACATGAAAAATGCCTGTAGATTTTCTGCAAGATTTCTGTCTACCTTTTATTATCTGGTGTCCTATTTTCATGTGTTTCAGATGTGCTATTCTCCATTGAAATTCAGGCACTCACCCACACAGCTTTTACATGAAATCCTCCCTGTGACAATAATTGTCAGCTAATTTCTAACTAAATAACTGTCACTCATTATCTGATTCCGTTGTGTTGAGCCTCACTGGGCTCTGATATTCATGAGTGTACAGCAGTCAAGCTGTCCCCATCTGTGCCAGTCCATCCTCACAATCTGACAACAGGCAGCAGGACTATCTTCATGAAAAGAAAATGCCATCAAAGAAACACAGTACCTGGAGCAATAACTGCAAATAACGCAGTTTTAACTGGGGCATGAAATAATCATGCAGGGAGACTGAAGCACAGTGTCTTTTTTTAAGCATATATACCGAGGGCTATTGCTCATATTCCTCCACAGTGCCCTTCACATCACTAAGGAATATTAAACACTCAAGTGACTCCTTTCTCTCCTTCACTGGGCCTTCCTTCATTATAATGCACACTAAAGCAAACATAGAAAAACAGGCTTTCATCACATGTAATTTAACTCGTCCTGTGCAGTGTATACCCCTGCATATTGATCCCACAGAGCTGGTAGAGACAGAGAGGATGGGAGGAGGAGGAAGAGGGGAGGAGGGGGGTACCTCCAACCGCATCGTCCTTATATATAGGCCCATCCGCCCCTGTTATAACTACATTATTTCTCATGATAATTCGACGCAGATTGAAAGACGCATTAGTGGAGATTTTCCTCAGATTCCGGTAAAATCACTGCAAATAACAAGATTGTATGTTTCTAAATCTACGCAGGCTCCGTGTGTGATCAGACGGTTTAGTGAGCAGAGCCCACAGTCAGAGCACGTTCATGTCAAAACGACTAAAATATCTATCAGCAGAAAATTAAAACAAGACTCGACTCACGATCAGATTGAAGTAAAGATGGATGAAGGTCTCCATCTCATCGGGCTCCTTCACATCCCAGTCCGAGTGAATGTGAATGTCTGTACGACGGGAACAGCCTCAGCATCTGTCTTCTCGCGCGAGCATCCAACAATACCCCCAAACCACACCCCTTGTTTGCCTGAGCTTCAAATCCAATTTAACTTTGGTCATTTTCAGACCTCATACAATTGCTTTGCAGGCCTGTGTTTTGAGTTACAGTGAAAATACAGCCATGACTGTATTTCATTTTTGTTTGTTTTTATTTTCTGTCACATATGTTGGCAGCAGGTCAACTGTATTTGGATTACTGAAATATTTGCTCATTTAGTGCCTCTACCTGTTTAACTTTCTCTCTGCTCAGCCAGTGTCTGTGTGAAAACTGTTCACAGGCTCATATTGTAAACAGTATTGTTTCCTGATAAGACTAATCCCTTAAACTGTCAAAATGCCTGAAAACATCCCTGAGAGGGAGAGAATGTACACACATAGAGACAAAATTCATGTTTATATATAGTTTTACTGCAGATAACATTAAGTTACATAGGATATTACCAGAATCTCTTCTGTGTTTGTGTATTTTATATTTAATATAAGTTCCCTGTTTTCTAATGTAAATGACATTGCTCTCTGGTTCCTGGAGAAAGTTTCTGTAGTCAAAAAGCACCTTATGTTTTCGTTAATGCTGAAATATCTAGTCTTATTATGTCATGTGTGATCTAATTTAATATTCTTTAAGTCAATTTATGAAGCAGCAGCGTGAACTGGAGTGTCTTAAGGTAATTTTGTACTTTATTAATTATTATTATTTATTTATGGATCTAATTTTTCATAATTTTGGGGTTTGGAGAGTGGACATGACAACTCCTCTTCATGAGTCATTAACATCATTCACAATTAAAAAAAAAAAATCTCAATCAACTGGTTGAGGTAACCATGATGAATCACTCACAAGTTGATCAACAAAACAGTAAAAATAAACTTAACAAATCTAATATCGAATATATAATAGTATCACAATAAAAATAAATAAATAAAATAAAAAATAAATAAATTAAAGAACGAAAGCATCACTATTACAGGGCTTATTGGTGTGCTATGTTCAATACTAAATATATGACTCCCCTTTAATAATGGATCGAAATACTTTCTCTGCCATGCTATATTGTAACTCTCATTTTTCATTCCGAGGCTTTAAAACAAACATTTCACAAATTTTCTATTATGAAACTTGTCATTTTTTGCTTTTTTTTTAAAGGTTTTGTTTTCTCTGAAAATTGAGTGAAAACAGTTTTCTTTCAAGCTGTTTTTATCAGATTTTTTTCATTGTGCCCCACAGCCAGATGAAAAGAAAACAAAGAAAAATGTTGGTCATGTAGTATTTATTAAAAGCATCATATCCAGACCTGTACAGACTTTCTAGCAGCAGTATAAAAATATATGTATTTAAAAAGCAGGTCAGATTTCTAAACCTGCCATGGTTTAGAAACATGTTTTCACACATGCTCTGTTCTTTTTAATAGTTAAATTTTTTTTTTCTATTAGACCACACCTTTGTTGATAACCTGACCTGGTGGGATTTATATCTGTGTCTTGTCGTGTGTATTCTCCAAGTCAGACAGCTATGAAAGCACTAACTGTCAGTGAATCATTTCTTCATAAAATCCATTGGATTTTTTAATAAATACAGAACATGTGGCTAATAATACAGGCTATTTGAAGACATTTACAACCAAATATCTACAAACCATTGCAAAGCTAAGAAACTTTAACACATTACAGTCATCTTCGCATCATGCTGTTGAACCTTTTCTCTCTAGAGAGGGTGGAGCATCATTTTGTTATAATCAAAGTTCTATCATAGCCTGGCTGATGCACCTCACACTGTCAGTAAACCCACCTCACCCTTTCTCACTTGTTCCTCTTGTAGATTTTTTTGGCAAAGTTGAGGAAGACTGCGTGAGGAAGGTTTTGAGCGTGACATGCAATGAGTTTCTGTAGCCGCTGGTAGCTCTCATCTTCATAGTTGTGGTACAGCATTGACATCTCCAGAGTGTTGTAGAGGGCTTTGACTTTTTCAACACTCGCATCATCATGTCGTCCATAACACGCCTGGGGGGGAGGAAGAGAATGACATTAGGGCTTAAGCACTGGATCTGGTACTTAATTTGTGGACCCATCAGATTTTAAGGATAAAGGGAAATCTGTTTGAGGAGAAAAGATTGTAACACTGGGATAAGATTTGAACAAAAAACACTGAAAATTGTCTGATAACATTACAAAATGAACATTTATTGGTTTGCCTACACGTTCAACAAAAAGTCTCCTAACTTCAAATTCTCTGTCAAGCAGTCATTGTTAAATACAAATGTAGAGGATACACTATTGTGAGTGTTCAAACAGAACTGGCTGTCATATGTTGTCTTACCTCCAGCTCTGCTCTCTGTTTAGGGGACATGACTTCCAGAGCTTTCACAACAAGCCAGCTGCATTTGTTATCCTGGATGTCGGTACCTATCTTTCCTGTCACAGCAGGGTCTCCGTAACAGTCAAGATAGTCATCCTACACACAAAACATGCAGATTTGTGACTCCGGTAAGTCGATAGGATGTTATATAATAGAAGCCTTGGAGGTAGAATAACATGAAAGACATTACCTGAATTTGAAAGAACTCTCCCATCTCCAGCAGGATGTGTTTAGCATTATTGTGCTCCTCTTCACTATTTATTCCTGCCTGTAAAGGTGAGGTACAGCAGTCGCAACAAAGAGTGGGAAATTTCTCTGTTATGTTGATTTCCAGACCTTTTCTTCAAACTTGGAATCTAATCATTTCAGTGTCATCATAATCATGCCCATGAGGCTATTCTGTCATGTTTATTAAGCAAAAATAAATACTGACCATGTGCATTGCAGCAGCTACAGGGAGGTAAAAGGAGTAAAAGGCGGTCTTGTACTTCACAATTGCTTTATACCTAAAGACAGAAAGACATTGTTTCACCTATAGGCTTTGCTGATGAAATCATCCACCGCAAATTCATTTTACAGAATTCTCTTCCTCTTACCTTTCCATAGTGAATCTGTTGAGATCGATCTGACCAGGAGGAGCAGTCATGAGGTCCAAAGCTTGGCCAAGCTCAGTCTGGAACGTTGTCTGAAACAAACAGAGCTGTAGTAAGAATACTGTTTATGTGTCTGGATGTTCAAAATCCAGGACTGAGACCAACCTCAGTGAATAGCTCCAGTAGGTGGACATAGTAGGGCTGATCTCTGCAGTGTCTACGCAATAGTCTGTAGATTGACCCTTCCAGGAGAAATGAGTCATTGATGGCATCCAGGCCTATCCCATCCTTAGAAACAGACAAGATTCACATGAGAAACAAATCATGGTGTCAACATTGAAAATTAATCATAGCACAATAAGACTGAACAACACAAAAATTATAGTACTATTTCCTGAAACATCTTGATTCCTACCTTCTTGTACCAGCAAGGCTGTCCTCTGCGTGTAACAGATGCATCCATGATATCATCTGCCACGAGGAAAAATGCCTGAAGCTGTAAGAAACACAACAACAGTTGTTAATTAGATAACTTAAAGAGCATAATACCCCTGCAACGTTGTATTACAACAGTCAGTATGAGTCTGCACTTAAGAGATGAGGCACAGTTTACTTTTCACATTCATTTGCTCTGTAATGCCTGCCCTCAATCTCTTGGAGCTATTTTTTTTATCTGAGGCATACTAAGCCACTTTGTCTCTGCTCTAATGAAAGCTGCCTTTGTGCCATCACCAATTTTCTTCTGTGTAAAAATCTAATGAATTAAACATACACTGATCCACGAGCTAAAACAGCTGACAGATTTTATTTTATTTTTTTCATCAACAAATTTATTGAAAAGACCACATCAAACAATGCAAATTAGTATTTTGTGGCCTTCCTGTGAGCCCAAGCCTCAGTGGTCATACTCAAAGAACACTGCTTTTCACATTTCATCGAAGAGGCGCCTCATTATACTAGGGCTGGGCGATATGGGAAAAATTTTATCACAATATTTTTGTTTCATATCAGTCGATATTGATATATATCACGATATAAAAAATTTAATTTAACAGTGCTTATTGGTAGCATTTCTTTTGCAATACAATAAGCTACTGCATCTGTGAGGTCTTTGTGTCTCTTCCACGTTTTGTCGTAAGGTGTTGCGCGAGAGAGAGCGGATTGTTTGCTACTTGTTTCTAATCATAGACTGTATATATTATGGACAACTTGGTTCTTCCCTGTACCTGTATATGGATTTGAAGCCAAAAAGCTCTCGGTAATTCCACGTTTTTTCTCCATTTCCTGAAACCAGCGCTGCGCAGTAGCGTTGTGCGCATTCGACGGGTGAGTCTTGGCGACTCTCCCGGAGCTTCATAGAAGCTTCACAGAAGCTTCACAGAAAAAGGAGGACTTGAGCACAAACCAGTCTTACTGTAACTACATGTCAATGTCGCAAGCAGGGGGAAAAAAAATTATGTTCTGCGTAATAAATTTCTAAAATTTGTCCACAGTCCCATAAGCTTTGCTGGCGGAGGCAGGATTTATGACCTATACTGCAGTCCGCCGCGAGAGTGTGCTGTTCTTGAAGTGGCTTCACACAGTGAGGAGGCAGACGGCGTCCATTCTATATACAGTCTATGGTTCTAATTCAGCACGATTGGTTCAGCGCGAAGCGGACCCAGAGCAACTCCCCTTTTCATTGGCTATTCGTATAGTCTACCAAAACATGACAGAATGCCGAAAAGGATATTGACCATGTTTTATATTGATAAAGGGAAATGCATTTTACATATATATCGTTATCGTTTTATTGCTCAGCCCTTCATTATACTCCCAATAGGAACTTTTTTTATTGGTTCAGTACATTAGTCAATGCATCTTTAGCCACAGTGGCAAAACTGTAGTGATATTTGTTAATGACAAGATCTATGCAGGCAAAGCTAGAATAACCCTTTAATATTCAGTGTCAGATGTCCTTACCAACTCAATGCACCACCCCACGGTGAGAGCCCTCTGCACAGTGTCCTGTGTGAGCTGAGTGGGCGGGATTAACTCCCTCAGTGTGCCAATCACAGATAGGCCTCTGTTCCTCTTGCCTCCAGGGGAGTTGTACACCAAAACCTAGAAAAGGACATTGATGACGCTTGAAACTGAAGCGTGAAGCTTAAGAAAATCTTGGACAGATTAGACAGCATGAAGTATGTACCTCTCTTAGTCTGTGCAGAGCATCAGAAAGCGCTGGATCTGTGAGGTCCTGCTCTGACAGCTCTGTCACCAGGTCCTCAAACTGGTCCTCAAACAGCTGAGGGTCCGACAGGAGCGCCTTTTTGTTTTGCGACCCATTGCATATATTGTCCCCCTGAAAAGACCAAGTGCACAGCGGTAAAGAGTTGTTTCTTGATTTCAGCAGGGAGTCAGATAGCCAAGTTGTTCGGATTATTTTCGAGCCGTTTAGGACCGAGCTCAGCAGACGTCTCATTGTAAACTCTCCTTCCTCACAGCTGCGTCAACCTTATCGGACTGCACCGGCGGTAACACCCTCATGCAGTTGTGGAAAACATCCGTGCTAATTATCTACATTGTTCCATACTCAAAGCTAGCCGACTACGCTAAAGTAAACAAGTGCGGGGACTACACTATTATTAGCTACCAAGTTTCTCTGTCGTAAAAAGAAGCGTTAGCTGACGTTAGCTTACATCGTTTCCCTACATCCAGGCTGTTGACAAAACCAGCAGTAAGATGCCGAATTAAAATCTTTTTGTCCATACACATGCCTTTACATACCATTATAACACTGCCGTCTTATCCAAAACTATCCTGCGAGAAACAGCAAAATCGTTAATCTTGTTTTATCTATCTCTTGCTGTTAACCTGAAGTCTGTGAACGTCTCTAAAATCCAGGATGTACACATTGTAGTTCACGTTGGCTCTACTGCCCGTTTTATTATACGGCAGCAGAACTAAACTTCCCGGCATCCAATGTGGCTATCGCGTGTGGGTGTAGATTTCGAAGGCTCGATTTGACATTATGCCTTTTGATTTGCTTGTAGTATCGAACCAGGATGGGCTTTTACACCCGCTGGCCAATAAGAATCAAGGAGAGGCGGGGTTTGCGTGTGGAGTGGGGAAGCTTACGAAGGTAAGGATGAGCCCATTATAGTGTTACTGTTAGCAACACAATCCTTAAAAAGAGGTTATGTTTCAAGGTTTTCTGCTCGCAAGAAGAGGAAACAGTTAAACATCTTTTTTTTCTCATGCAGCATAATTAAGAACTTTTGGCATGATTTAGTAAACTAGTTGAAAATTAAAATGGATAAAGTTGCACACTTGAAATTGAAACAAGTGCTGTATGGAAATTATAACATGCCAAACAAATTTTTCAAAATTTGCAATATAATAACAATTATGGGTAAATACCACATCCATAAAAGTAAATGGCAAAATAAAAATCCATCCCTTGCATTGTTTAAAACAGAACTTAAATCTTATCTTGCTTCCTTGTCACTAATTAAAGACTCTAGTCTAGAGCTAGAAAACCTATGTGATAATATCTCTAAATATGTACTGTTGTAACTCAGTGAATCATTAATTGAATTCCAAAGGCAGGCCTTGCTGTAAGTTTTGTGTTTCTTTCTTTTCTACATTATGTTGTCCTCATGTATATCGTCACTGTTGTTCTGTAAAAGTAAGATGTACATCTGAATTGCACTTGTCTCCCATTGAAAGTTTTGTAAATTGTTGAATATGTTTCAAAAAATAGTGTTACTGTGAGAGTGTAAAAGATTAGAAATGACATTACTGATATCAAAATGAATATATTTTCTGCCTCTTAATACAGCAAAGGAGTTTTCCTCTTCATAAAATGTACAAAACATCAATATACTTCCTTTTTTTACTTTGATGTCTATCATTTATTTCATACCTTGAAATACATAGGTTGCATTGAAACTTTTGCCATTGACACAGCATTTAAAATTTGGAATAGTTGTCATATTTAGATACATTTCATATTTAGGTTTCAAGGCTCTATCCTGTTAAGGCTGCCATATGGATATACATTTTTCCTTCCAAATAGATAATATTATCTTATGCAAGACAGGAGAGGTAGAAATACAGCTCAGTGCCTTTTTGGGCAGATGTGGATGTCTGTGTGCCTGTACCTGTGTGCAGGCTAATTGTGTCTTTTTAAATTATTCAATTACATATTAATGAGTGTATCCAAAATGTGCCATTACTCATAAGGAATCAATATTATGACTCTGTGAGCACATCAATAACAACTTTCAAAGACAAATAAAAAAAATTGCCAATCTGCCAAAGATGTTGATACACTTAGATTTTAGTATCCAGAACATTAAAATTACCTGTTTCTGGACTATCAACACCCTTGAGCTCTGAAGTCCAAAGAGAACTGTGCCAACACATAGTGTGAAGACAAACCTCATCACAAATTAGTCTGTACATTTATTGCAACAGACTCTGCACATCATCAGAGTCACAGTTCATACCTATTTATCTTACAAGATCAGGCTGTTTCAGTCAGTGTCACTAATATATCTGTGCACTTACAACATTTTCAAACCCCATCAAAATGAAATTAGAATGCAGAGGCACAATTTGTAGCCGTCTGATACGAACTGGGAGCACTGCACATCTTAGACTCTGACCTTCTCCTTCATCTTTCTATTAACACGAACATTTCAATTGGCATTCTTTGTAGTTCTTAGGAAAAAGAGGAAAAAACATAAGAAGCATTGTCAAAACATGCAGGTAAAGACATTCTGAAGACGTGTTAACTTAGTTACACAGACGGTCAGGATCAATGCACAGGGTACCTGCTGTATTTGGGAGGCTGTTGCAAAAAACATGCACATATGCAAATCAAACCATTGCATTTAAGCACCACCCTCAGAGAATACATTTCAAAGGCTGAGCATGTGTCTATGGCGTGCATTAAGGTAGATGTGAAAAATGCTGGCTGCCTTTTTCCAAAGGCGGGTGTGTAGGTGGACAGGCGTGAAGAAAGTGTGAATCTTAATCACAAAAAAAGACAAAATCAGCAACGCAGTAGAAGTTTTCAGTGTGTTTGTCCTCATATGCAACCTTATCTCTCATGATGCATTTTCTCTCATAAATGGAAGACAAAATAAGGATTTCCAAGATCACTTCACCAGAGTGATCCTGTGGATAAATAGCAATGTACAAAAGGGTCAGAAGCATATTGCAACCCAAATATATGTAATAGACTGAATGCACACGTGAGTCAGCGACTGTTGTAGCAGCCTTGAGGACAGTACATTTCCAGATGAGTCCAGATGAAGGACTCGAAGATTGAGCGGAGAAGATATTTGTTGTCTTGGTTAGTTCTGGGTGTATTCTGTTAATACAAGGTCAAGACTCTCAAAACACGAGCACCCAGAGGTGTTTCACCGATGCTGAGGGGTGAAAGAGTACAAGCTCTAGGTTGACGTTCAGAGAGATGAAGAGCACCACTGAAAAAGGCCATTTGCACAGCTCGCTTCAGGTGACATGGAGGAAAAGGAAGAAAGTTGTTCACAATTCATCACTAAATGTCTCCAGTAGATCTTCCCTTTTATTACTCTGTCTTATTCACTCCCATCTTTGTCTTCACTACAACCCTGTGAGCTTATATACCCCCTGTATCACAGTGCAGACTCTGAGTATAGAGCTCCTGACGACCCATGTGGAGGATGAGGTGTAACTAATCGACGTAGCGATGCAGAGGAGGAGCTTAAATCCCCACAGCTGCGCAGGTGGATCCCTTCTGGCACCCGGCTGCTGTAATGCCGGTTGTGTCGACTGTCACTGTGGGAATGGTGGTGTCCACGGCGATGGGGGTGATGAGGGTGATGATTGGGGTATCCACGGGTTGTGTTCCAGGGGGTCCTCAAAACCTGGAGATTTTAGCAAGGACACCTTTAGGCAAAGAACAGATTACTTGCAGAAGCCTGTAACTATTTGAAAGTGGTGTGATGGAAAAATGATTTGACTTTAATGTCTTGTCCTACTTGCTCTAAGGGCAGGTGGTTAGTGGCAGCACCCTCAGCCCCAGTCCTCCTTTTTGGCCCCTGCCCTATGTTCCCAGCATGCTCAGAGGAGGGCGAGAGGTTCCGTCTGGAGCGCTGCAGGAAGCGAGCCATCAAAACCCGAGTCACCTGAAGGTTGAGTAAAAAGATAAGTGAAGAGAAAGATGTGATAGCTTCACAATGTGTTAATGTTTTATTTGCATGTTTTAGTAATATTGTTCAGACTAACCTTTAGGTCTCCAAGGGAACGGTTGCAATCTTTAGGTAAACGCAGAGGTGAAGTGGGGGGAGCTTTGGAGGGGACCTGCACCCCGGTGGCTGCTGCTGACTTTATACTACCTTTCCGAGGTAGAGCTGCAGCAGGAGGCAAGGAGGTGCGTGCCAACAAACATGCCTCAGAGGATGGACCTTTTACAGATAGAATCAGGAAAAAAGACAAATTCAGGAGGTCTTTTACTATTTGGAAATATCACCCTTTTCATCAATATTAATGTCATGTCAAAAAACATACACAGAGGGCCAGATGAAGAATTTGGGCATCAGCTGAAATGATTGTTTAAATTCAACTTCACAAAAAGCTGTGGCCAAAATAACAAAACCAACCATGACTGACAAATACACAATAATAAACACACTGAATAAGAGACCAAACAGAGAAAATATCACAATGTTATTCATGACTTTTAGTTTTATCGACATCCTCTGCAGAACTCCATGACACTGAGCTAAGGACATGGTAAAATGCTTAAACTGAACAGCCAAACAAAAAACCAAAACACACCCCTCATAACTTTTTAAGGAATTTTGTCGCTGCCAGGGACGTTACTCTTATAACTTACTAATTACACCGAAATGTCTGAAACTAGAGCATCTGCAGCCTAAGGGGAAGTAAGTCTCAATATAAGAGGTAGTTTTAACTGATATGATGAAAAAGTTCCATTAAAGCAAACACACAGACATGTGTTAGGGGAAGTAATTATCAGAGGCAGATGGGAAAGTGTTTTGCATGTCGCAGTGTTGACTCATTGTAGAGTCGTCATAAGAGGCTTTGATTATAGCCACATTATTTAGGAAGCCAAGGCTCCACATTATTTGTGTGCATAGAGAACACACAGCTGTTAGACCTGTATTTAAAGGAAGGGTTAAGGATTTAAAGACAGCCAAGAGCAGTAACTACTCTGTTCAGTGAGATGTCCAAAAAGTTCAATATCTCATCATGATCTGTGTTTATTTATTTGTTTTCCTGTCAAATCCGGATTCAATTCTGCTTGGAAAATTTACAACCCCAATTCTTAGAAAGGATAAACTAAATCTGCAAGTTTTTAAGCGCTGTTACATTTAAGATAGCAGATAGTCCTCATGTAGTGAAACACCATTTTAAGAGCTCATGATTTTACAACAGAATATATTCCTCATTTCATAAAACCAGAGCCCAGCATTTGAAAATTATTGGCAAATAAGGAAATGCTGTGGCTCAATATCAAATGTAATTAAATCACTGCTAATTAAGCTGCTAGGGCAGAGTTTCATGAATTACTTGCTATTAACAACACATTTGGATGTTGCCGCTACTGTTTAAATCCAATAGAGATTGATAAATGATGGCTATGTCTTTGAGGGAAAGTGGAAAAGTTCAAAGTGTATTTGGATTTTTTTTTCTTTCTGGACCCACAGAAATAATTAAAAAAAATTGAGATTGATGACAACCTAATATTTAATCTGAAATTTGCTCTTACCTGTATCTGTAGATCCTTTGCTTCCTCCAGAGCCAAAGTCAACTGCAGATGTAAAGATCAACACACACATTTAAGAAACTAAAAAAAGGGAAGGTGAAGATATATTTTTGTATCTTTCTGACCTGTATCAGTGGAGGAGCCAAAACCAGGCTCACTGTGAGATCTCACAAGACGTAGGAGTCCATCAGCATCCTGTCTTACACTCTCTCCATCTTTCTCGCCCTTCCCAGCCAGTCGTCGCAGGTACAAGAGTTGGCCAAGCAGCTGTGGTCCATTACCCAGACCACCAATCTGCTCACAGCCAACTGCAGAGGGTGAAATGGGAGGAACAGAGGAGACTAGGGCAGCCCCTTGGCGTGATGGAGAAAAGGACTGGCCTCGTGTCTCTGTGATGGAGGATTGCTGTTGAGAGGTTGAGTTGCCTATCGCTTCCAGCTGAGAGCAGCTACTAGCTAGCATAGCCTGGCGATGCAAAACTGGGGACCTGCAGGGAAAATCAACAGAAAAAAACAACATTTCTCTGTGTTGTTGAGTCTGTCACAAGCTTACATTTGAACAAAACTCATGCCTGTGATATCAAACTGTGTCTGTGTATGTCTGTCATTATTCATGTGTGTCCTCACTTGTACGTGTTGGTTGCTGTGCTGGGTGAAGAACAGGAGTTGGACCTCTCTCCTCTGATAAAGCGCCTTGCTCTCGGCCCACCTGCGAGAGGACTCTCAGGGGTTTGAGAAGGCAGACCCCGGAAGCTGATGTGCTCTCCACCCTCTCCGCCGTCTCCCCCCTCACCAGCGCTTCTGGTGCCCCTGTCCCCATGGTTCCTCAGCCCCACCTCCATCAGACAAGAATCCTCAGAGGGGGATGAATCATCAGGTATGTCCACAATCTCTGACATCAGAAGAGATCCACTGTCCATGGACACTAATAAAAACATAATTTGTTATGAGGGAAAAAAATAGCTTCAAACTTATCTGCACCCAGCCTCTGTGTATGGGGAGCAGGCTTTCACCACTGAGTTAAACCAATGCCCCCGTTCAGCTGACATTACTGCAAAGTACTGCAAGAATAACCCAAAAACTTTATATAATCATTAAAAGGAGTCCCCCGGTGATCCAGCAGACTCCCCAAATCCCTTAATTTCTTTACAAGACTCTTCCTGTGTAAAAGTAAAGTGCCATGAAAAGTTCAATGAGGCTCATAGTTCTTTTACCGGACTTGAAATATAACTTCTATTTTATTGTGGCATTTATACTTTTACAGGTAAAGTTTCTTTCTGTAAGTGGGGTTATATGAGGAACTTTTAATATTAGGAGTATTAGCCAAAGGGACCCCAGTTTGGTTCCTTTTAACCATGACTCTACCATGTAATTCAAACTCCAACCAAAGCATATTCCTTGGTGTGAGTATTTGCTCTAATGGAAAATTTTCAGCACCTTACACTCTTTTTGATCATCGTTTTTTCCGTGTTCTTCCGCCTAAAGCAGACTGATCAGCTGTCAGGTCTAAAAGCCTTGGAGTATGGATTCTGACACCCTCCCTACAACCATGTGAACTCATAGACCCTCTATATCACAGATTCCCTATGTACAGAGCTCCTGATGTCCCACATGGAGAATGAGGTGCAATTAACTAACATAGCGACACAGAGACACCGTTATGAACCAGAAAATGGGGCAGAGGACGAATGGGACTCAATGGACTAAAGAAAAAAATGTAGAAAGTTCTGTGCTAACAGCAGAGCAGGAGAGATCCCAAATATGCCCATAAACCCACATGGGACTTGTTACCAACAGTATTTCAGGATTCAGAAGCCGCTTCAGTCTGCATTTCTCACTAACCAGAGTCCCCTGACATACCGAGCTTTTTTTTTTTTCTAGACATCAAATCAGATAACCAGAAAAGCCAAGTGGACGCACATCTCTCAGTGTTTGTTTTTTCTTGCACGGTGGCAACCTATGATCAGCACAGTATGTTCATGTTTATCAGAAGACACAGTGTTAGCAATTTAAGGGGAGACTGGACTGAAATATTAGACTCTACTGCCATCACTGTGTCTGCTGGACGATCGTAGGCGTTTGGTGCTCAAAATTATGAGCAAACCCCTGCCCTAAGAGTAGTGCTTTGGATAGATTATGTTCAAATAAGTTCAATTATGTATAGTGGTTAGAGCTTCTGTTCAATCTTTCTGAATAAAGGCGTTGAGCTGACTGGGATCCCTACTGCTAATACACTCAGTATTTACAGTAAGTACCTCATACAACCCCTTTTTAAAAACGAAGTATCCCTTTAATTCAGAATACTTTTTGGCACATTTAATTGGCAAATAACTTGTATAAATTGAGGAATACTCAAAGGGAGAGTTAGGTATATTATACTGAGTTGGTATGCAAATATGCACTAGCCAAGGCCACCTTTGGTTTGACTACTTGTTTGTTTTTAAAGAAATGTTTTTTTATTGTAATGTACTTTTAATATTTCCCTATAATATTGTTCATAAGTCACTCAGATAGACAAATAAAGTTATGAACTTGTTCCCACCTTCTCCACTGAAGGCGGTAGAAGTCCCCCTCTCTCCGGACAGCTCAGTGCCGTGGGCATCATACATTGTGGCCTTGAAAGTCAGAATGGACAAGGTTGAGCGCAGGCTGCGGGCACAACACACAAGAGCACACACCTACACAAACTTAAACACACCGACTCACCTGGCTTGCAGCTCTTTGTCCCATCACGGCTTCATAAGGAGGGGGGCAGTCAGTGGGATACAGAGGGACAGGACTCTCCATGGAACCATTGTAGGTGATGCTGGATGAGGTCAAGAAAGATATCGAACTGATTATGTCCTTTCACTTTCAGTCAAATGTGTTTGTGTTCTAAAAGTGTACACTGCTATAACGCTGAATAAAAACACTTATCAGGTGAGTTACCTCTGAGCGTCTGTTTCAGAGCTGCAGGTGTATTCTGGAGGGTAGTACGGGGGCGGAGGGATGGGTGGGACAAACTCCTCAAAGTCCATGATGTTAGTCAGGAAGGCGTCCTGAGGAGTCGTGCATTCTGGGTTGACTGAGCGAGAGCGATGTGGGGCCAGCTTGGTATGAAGGGAACACATTTAAGCTCATTTTAAGAAATGACAGTAATCATCTGTCAAGCCTAACACCTGAAATCAGCAGTGCAGTTTATTGCTGAGTACTTTTCATTCTCAACACAAAAAAAAAAAAAGCCACACTGGTGTAAAATGTGCTGTGTGCGCTCTCACCAGGTGCACAAGGTCCAGGGAGAAAATGTGAATACTGCAGGTCACAGTGGATAGAGTACAGATGATGGTGGAGAGAATGCTGAGACCACATGCACTGAACAAAAGGTCCTGTGGAGAAAAATGTTTGACAAAATTACAACCTGACACCAAAAAGGCATTTTTCTGCAAGGCAAACGTTGAAGTCTTTAAAAACACTGTAAACAAATAACAGTGTTGATGCTAATTTTGTCCTTTTTTACTGAGCTTGATGAACTTCTGATGTTCATTACGGATCTTTGATGGTGTATGATTATAAGAAATTATCTGCTCCAGTGTTCTCAACACAGCTTCTGTTCAAAGAAATTCTGGCACATTTAGAAGATCCTTTGTGTTTAAGGATAATTTGATTCACCAGCTGGAAAACACATCCTGCCCACCTTCAGCTGATGTCTGACTGAATGACAGTCAGCGTTCAGGTAGAGGACTAGGGTCTCTTCTTCTGTGATGGAGCAGGAGTGAGTGGGCGCACAACACACACACAGACCATTCTCCACCTACACACACATAAAGGAAGGATTGTTTCAAAGCACTGAACTGCACTACAAACATATTCACACTCATATGGGGTATGTTCCCTTATGCATCTGGCTACAAGGACATTTCAGCATGAGGCAGAAGACAAAACTTGCTGGTTGTACCTGGCAGGTGAGCATGGACTTGACCATCTGTGCGTTCTGACAGGAGAGCATAGAGCCAGCCAGACTGAGGATCACACACACTGCGGACAGCAGCATGAACAGTGACACCTGTGGAGGATCACACACAAAGACAGAGCCGTGTTTAATTTAGAACAGGGTGTCAAAACTCGTGCCATGCCCAGCCAAGAGAGTACAGACTAGATTTATTCCTCAAACCAAAGACATTGGCAGGTTACTTAACTGGCAAATACTCCTGCCGCTTGGAGACAAAGTAATCAAGAAAGTAGCTTGTTTGCCTTATGGACGGATTTAAATTCTGCATGCTTTTTGTCCACCATGTCACAGCCAATTTAGTCATCATAAATTATTCTGTTTATGGTTCTGGTCACTTAGTTTGATAGGATATTGCAAGGAACATTTGTGATAATATAAATACAATACTTAGGTCTTTATAACAGTGAAGCACACAGAAACACTGAGGACTTGAACATTTATAGTTCCATGATGGCTAAAACCACTTTGTCTATTGATGAGAACCATGCTAATGATCAAAAGATCAATAGAACGATTAAGAGTTCTTCAGTTATCCAATTCTGCTCTTTCAACCGTTTCTGAGCTAACAGATAAGCTAAGATAGGAGTTCCTACAAAATTGTTAGACTGGCCAATTGATAGACTGAAACAATGCAGTAGCCAATGACATTATGGCTGGATTTCAGTGTTCCGCCTGACTGTGAGGTCAGAGGAAAATGGCGGCTGTGTGAATATTTTCCATTCGATCGAGAAGACTTGAGCGTTCCTCTTACGTACCACTAACGTTAGAGGTCTCCTCCATGAGATGATCCCGACTATCCCTGATGCCACCACCTGTAGAGAGACACCACATCCGTCAGACAACTCCTCTTTAGCATCTCGTTACTCTAAATGTCGTCAATCAGATTTACACTTACAAAGAAGCCGGCCCAGAAAGGACACGACTGCCTCACACGGGCTGAGGAGGTGAAGGCCATACTGGTAAAAGAGAAGGCCAGGACCATGGCCCCCAGGCCCAGGTGGCACAGCCCCAAGTACAGGAGCAGCCGAGCCCCACCGGGCCCCCGACCAGACATGCCCCTGCGGCTGTCTGACCATCCTCGAGACCCCGAGGCTGAAGCCACACTGCTGGAGTCGGACGGTGAAGGCATGTTTGAGGAGGAAGCTGAGAGAGATTTTACCCAGTCTTCATAAACAAAGTTCAGCTGTGTGGGTAGAAGTGCAGGAGAGTAGAGGAGGGAGAGACATAAATGCTGGCTTCAGGGCTCCTCTCTGTCAAAATTATGCACCAAGCTCTCCACTGGCAAGTGCCATGGGTTCTGCGCAATACCCCATGGTGTCGGTCCAGTAAAGGAGTCCAAGAACTTTGTCAGCAGAAAAGTGTGAATTGGGCGGCTTCTATTGACTTGCAGACGCTGAACTCACCTCATTTGACATTTCAGCCATGATAGTTTCAGTCAACACAACGTCCATTCCTCCCTAGGCCACTGGAAAAGTCTATAGCATTGTCTAAGTCAGTCATTCACAGGTTAAAACGCTATGATATATACACAGTGCATGCTGAACAATATTGTATACTAATTTGCTCTTCGTTGCATCCTCCTCTTCCTCTTCTGTCTCCAATCGCCAGTGGCATTGCGGTAACTGGAGACCCGAGCAGGCCGCAGATTTTGAAGCATCCCAAAGAAAGCAGCTGATCTCTCGTCGTCTCAACGCCACAGCAAAGATAACACAAGCTGGTCAGTCCGAGTGTTCAGTCCTGAGGAACAACATACGATCAAGTGCCCTCCTCCCCCTCCTCCTCCTCCTCTTACGACCTTCTCTTAGGTCCTCTTCATCCCGTCACGATAGAGAAAAAGACCGTGGAGAGATCAGAGCCACAAGATCACATCGGGAGGCAAAGACTAACCACCTTCATCGACATGAACAGGAAATAAACATCCTCCACTTCCAAACTGCACCAAAAATATCAGCCGGGCCGGGCTGGCTGTTTGCTCACAGGTTTCGATCTTTGACAACTCCACCTCGGGGGTTTTGCGGTGGTCCACACACACGCACCTAGACTCCCCTCCTCCTCCTCCTCCTCCGCCGCCTCTTTCCTCCCTGCAGTCACGCGGGCATCCCGTTCAGACCCGTGTATGTGTGTATATGTGTGTGTATGTATCCCGTCCGTTTACCTCACTGTCTCCCACCAGGCGTCACGTGAATACAACAACCAAACCAACATATACGTTTTTAATCCGTCCAGGTTCGTTAAGATGAGCTGGCCCCTCCCCTGTGCCGCCCTCGCGCCCTCTCCTCAGTTCCTTAGCCAAGCTCTCGCGCTGGGAAGAGAGAAAAAAAAACAGACGGTATCGTATTTGCAAACCGAAACCTGCCCTGCGTGATGACAAGGCACGCAGCAGAAGAAGAAGAACGTGCAGGCAACTTGAGGATGCGGCATAGCGCGCGCGCTCCGTTGTGGTGCTGATGCTGGGAGGGAGGGAGGGTGGTTGCTTAGTAACAAACTCCTATTCCGCTACTGCAGCAATGAAGATGAAAACATTATTAGCTTTACAGGAAAGAAAGAAGTTAAGAAGAAGTCGACAGGGAGTGTTAATAAGGGTGTCTTAGAGCCTGTAGACAGGCTCTTTACTTTGAACTGGACTCACTCTAAATGTTTTAAACAGCACTTTGTTCATTTTTCTTTACTTTCCTTTAAACTCAGATCGACCCTCCCATTTTAAAGTGGTTTTCACTGATATATAAATGAGCTCAAGATATAAATTTGCTGTAAATCTGAGCGTTAAACTTGTATTTTAACCCCCTAAATGTAAAATAAGTAAATGTTTTAGGTACAGACAGGTATTTGGTTAATACTCCTTTCAATAAGTCATGGTCTCTTACCTGAGTACCTGAACCATGCTGTGGCTCATGTAGCCTAGGCACTTTTCTTGCTATTATTTTACAATTTAATTTTATTTGAATTACTGTATTTTTTTTATTATGATTTTTATTGTTATACTCTCGGGTGGAAGGAAAAAATCTCAAACAAGATGTAAATTCTCAAACAATGAGGAGAAAATGTATCATGCCACATCAAAATAAGTGTCAAATTAATGAAATACTTGGCAAAAATATCCCCTGGATGAAAAAAAATAATAATACACACATCCCATATTTAGAGGGAACTGTAAACACCATATGCATTTAATATATGCCTTAAACCAATATTGCTTGGGTACTAGAAGAATGTGCACCTTCCTTAAGCCTCACAATACTTGGTGAGAACTCTATGGCCTCATAACATTTATGTAAAGCACTTTGTGGCTTATGTTTGAGAAAAACACAATATATAAATAAATTTCACGCACTTAATCATCCCATTCAGCCTCGCAGGATTCATATATTTTAAAGACACTGTGCAAAGTCTATATGTCGCAATATTGGTTGTAATAATTGTGATTTCCCAAATACTAGTTCTTTATTTTACCTAACTATAAGCCCTGTAGACCTCGACAAGGGGAAATTCTGCTTATGTGACCCCTGGCATTCCTTTCTGTCTCTTTAATTAAGTATCCAAATACAACATAAAAGGAGTGTCACATGCTACACAGCCACCTTGAATTAATTTTTTAGCTGAGTAAATAAAACATAAATGATTTTTTCTTGCAATCAAGATTTACAAAAGCCACGAACAATCTTCAGACGACAACACAGACATGTTGTTTTGCATTTTTATTCAGGAAGCAGCAGCTCTGTTCAGTACATACAAGGTCGTGAGGCAAGTTTACAAGACAGACTGTGACAGAAACGCATAAAAAGGAGACACAAAAAATACGGCTGATCTGTCAATATCTGTCGAGCACTCATAACAAAGACTCTCTTTTGAATGTGGTGAGGTTGCCTGAACAAGAAGACTGTAATGTCATATGTAGCTAATGTGCAACAGTGTTTGGTAAGACTTTTACCAGGCACTTCAGATAAAAGCAAGACCCACTAAATCAATTAAAAAGGGGTACTAGTGGGTACTGCAGCTTCCCTCACATCCTGTCCATTCACTTGCATTATCCATCATTCTTTTATCTCTCCACTCAGCTTCTCATATTGCACTTATCTCTGCGCCCGTCTTCCACTTTCTCAATCCATCCTTCTGTTAAAACAAGGCTTAATTTACCATTGTTTGTCTCTGATTCGATACCATTCAAGTAAAAATCATAAACACAAAGAAGCTTGTTTTCATCTTCTTCAAGGACGCAGCATAAAATGACTTTCTCAACATTAGAAAGAATTTTTTATGGTAGATTCTGTTGAATTAAGTATAATACTGTAATCTACTGAAACATAGTTCAAATATGAACATAATGAAATTGATCAAGTACTATGCTTTGATATCAAGTGTTACATAAAGTCTGTGGTGTCTCTGTTATATGTTTATGTGGCCCTAAACTGTATTCCCTCTTTACTACAACAGCACAGCAGAATTTTGAGAACTGCTAAATTTATATCAAATTTTTCATTTAAAATGGGAAACAAACAAAAGCAAAAGTGCATTACAGAACGGGGGAATTTCAAGATTTAAATGTAGTTATTTATTCCACTTGTGTCCAGTATTTTACTAATTCAACAGAATCTACTGGATGCTTGTTGCTCCTTTACGTCAAGATGTGTGAATGAAAACACTTTCTAACCGTCTCCTCCTCTGCTGACAACCAACTAAAAGCTATCAGTGTGCACTCAAAAGTAAGACATTAAAAAGGTATTTTAAGGCAGTAAGCAGTGAGAGCTGCAGGGATGATTACATGAGGACAGCTAGGGGAAATAATAGGCTGAAGTAACAGAAATGTGTGCTTTGTGAAATCGTGGAAAAAATTATTATATAGGAATCCCAATTTTTTTAACATTGGCACAACAAAAATAATATTTCGGATGGCTTGGAGTGGATGTATTCAGTGAGCATACAAAGTTTCATATCCATAAATCCCTAAATATCAAAACAATCTTTTTGGAGTAAAATACATTAGCAATACACCAGTAATTTGGTTTAAAACATCCTTTTAGGTTTGTATTTTTGTATGATAGCCACTAGATGGAGACAAAGAACCTTGTGTGCTAGATTTCTCCATAGTAACATTCCTACTATGCTTGGAGACTTGTGTGAGGGGTCCAGAGTAACACCTAGAGGAGAGCACATTTGGAGGCTTTTTTCTCTGACGTGCTGGTGATTTTCACCTCTCGGCCTGTGGGGCCCTGCCAAACAAGAACATAAGAACAAAATCAGAGTATTAGAGATGTATCTGGTGCAAAAGAAGTCTTGAATTTAGTCAGGAATAGAAGTTTGTTTTTGGTTTGAGGAGTTTTTTTTGGGCTTACTGGTTTCTTGCTGGATTTCTGTAGAATGTCTCGTGCCAAAGACAGAAAAGACTGAGGGAAATTTAGAAAGAAAGACAAATGAAAAGTGAAACCATTTTAGTTAAATAAACACACACATGAGCAAAAGATTTACGAGGAGTCATGTTTACCTCCTCCACGTTAATGCTGGACTTTGCACTCGTCTCAAAGAACCTGATGCCGTGATCTTTAGCCAACTGTGGACAATAAACACACACCTAGTTTTAGACTGAAGGCCAGGACATGGGTGATAATCACTACCTGCTTCTTATCTTAAGTAAATGTAGGGTGGCAGCAATAAAAAAAACATGTGCCACACTTGCCTGCTCTGAACAATGCTCAGCACATTCGCTACTGCAAATTGACACGACACACAAGAATAAAAACAAAGATTGCTCTGTGACTAGGTGTCTGTTTGGGTCATCTCACCTTTTCTCCTGTCTCCTTGGTAACCTTCCGCTTAGACTCAATGTCACACTTATTTCCGAGTAACATCCGACTGACCCCAGCAGATGCATTCTGGGAAAAGGGAAAGCAGTTAATTGATTAGTGAAAGTTGACTTCTTGCCTTCAGGAATTTTTGCTCTGGTGAAAAGCCCTTTCTAGAAGACAGTGAAGGCAGCACAGCTTACATATAAACCAAATGTTTCAATACTCGCACTGAGGTTCAAACTGAAGGTGCAGAAGAAGCTGCACTCAACAGACGATTCCAGCTCTGAGACATTTTTTCACTACTTCAAATTGAGCTAACCTCATCACAATGCTTTAACAATAGTCACAGCTGGTATTTAGACAACTTGGTGCTTATTTTCAGCAATCAGTCTGTTGGTTTTTAATCCAGCTGAGGTCCAGGATAAAAGTAAGAATATTTCTAGGTTTCATTGCAGGTTTTTGACTATGCAAAGGGGCTCCTCTCCATGCATTAAAATTTCCTTTAAATTATTTCTCTTATTTTCATTTTGATTAAAAAGAAAGGTTTAGCTTTGATTTAAGGACCTCCAGGTGAAAAGTTGGTTTACAATGTGGTTTCTAGAGCTTTGTGATGATTTAATTTCAATCTAACTGGGATGTCACTGAGCCTTTAGTTCACATAAGTTAGCTTAGACAGTTGTTTCAGCGCAGTACAACTGGAAAATGCAAGTACTCACTTTTTTGTTTTCCACTGTAGAAAGTACCTGCCAGCTATAGCTGAAGTTTTAAATAGAAAGTGATACTAATGCTCTTTAAGACAGGGGCTTGTTTCATTCTTGTATATAACAGAAACCCATGTAACAAAATACAGTGGTAGTCTAACTATTCGTGTTGACTTATGCATGGTAAAGTTGCAGCTGCAGACTGCTGACACAAACTTGAAGACAGCAGCATAAACCCTTCCTAACACTGAGCGGTGGGAATGGTTGGGCACTGTCAGCTGTAGTGCGTCCAGTTCTCTGACCAATCAATGGTCTGGTCTGCTGCGCTTCACCTCAACCCTTTTAGCTTTGACACAGTGCACTTAGGAGATACAGGGTACCAGGTAGTAACCACTATTTTTACACATGGAAAAAGAAAAAAGGAGAGTTCCTAGCTGGTTGTGTCGTTTCACACTGACTTATAGTGATAGTACTCTCTCTACTAATATTTCTGTGTCAGTTCCCTAATATTCTGCAGCGACAGCATTCTTGGTTGGACTTTGCATGCCATCCTCTGTGCCTCTTCTCTACTTTTTAAGACCCACACCTAACTGTGAACTTTTCGAACCAAACTTACATAAGATAGAACAGATTTCACAGTCAGTGTGAGAAGTTCTTTGGTTCCTCTTCAGTCTAAGGATTTGTGCATCTAAATCTCCTGCTGCCACCAAATCAAAATGCAGCTGAATAAACAACAAATACAAGAACAATACAAACAAACTAAATAACCAAGTTTCTCTATATAGAAAGAGTGTCCCATTTCTTACTGATTATGCTCAAACCTAATGGTGGAGAACTTTTGCCATCCAGGTACTTAATCCGGACCTCATGAGCCTATTGATCGAAGCAGTTGGTTTGTTTCTTGAATATTAACCACTGTTTCTCCCAGTATTCTTCTCTTTGAGTGTTGCATTTTTACTTCATTGCAAATCTAACAGCGTAAAGAAGTCTGATTAATAGCGATGTGTCTCACCTCTTTGATGCTCTTCATCCAGTTCTGGATGTTTTCGAAGGACTTCTCATCTGTGATGTCGTACACCAGGATAATGCCCTGACACACAGAAACATGCAGACATAAGAGAGTCAGCAGTGATGTCAGCCTTGTAATCCGGTCTATTTGTTCTGCAGGGGTCCTGAACTCACCATGGCTCCTCTGTAGTAAGCTGTTGTAATGGTCTTGAACCGTTCTTGGCCTGCTGTGTCCCTGCACAAAGCACACACATTTAGAGTGCACCAAAGCATGCCTGTCTTGCAAGAACTGCAAATGACTGAAAAGAGAAAAGAAAGCTGATCTTGAAATTAGGGAATAAGATAGGAATACATGTATGTGTTTTCTATGCTTCTGCAGGAAGGTGAGTTTATGTTGCGGGCACAGATCTGTTTAATGTCCATGTGCAGCAGTTTGCTCGGCAGTGAAGCCTGACATGATTTGAAGAACAACAGGGAGGTTCCTCTTTTCTTTAACTCTTATTATTCAGCATTGACTGCCTTGCCAAATCACAGAACAAAGAATTTTTAGACACACAACCAACTGTCATCTCTTACCAAACTTGTAGCTTCACTTTCTTCCCATCCACATCGATGGTTTTTACTTTAAAGTCGATGCCTGAGAGACAACAAGAGGACAGGAAAGAGCGGAGAGGAGGGGGATGATGAGTTAAATACCTCAGATATGAACTAAAAACACACCCAAGCACACACACACACACAGAGACACATACACACACTGCAGGATATATAGGTCACCCTCATAGGGGTGGATTCATGGTCACTCCCACTGTTATTTTGACCCCCTCAGTGCAGTCCACAAGCAGACATAAAGGAAAGACGTAAAACCCTATGAGTTTTGTTTTCTCTTTTCCTGCTGGATGGACAGACAGATAGGGCAAAGGCGAGGAGGAGGGGGGGTTGTCCTTTGCAGGCCAGAAAGCCAACCATTCTTCTGGGAACGTAGAGATGGTGAAAAAGATAGGAATGAGGGTGGGTGGACCCTCTGAGAGCCAAGTGAGAGGAATGAGATCTGAGGGAGAGATGGGGGAGATAGGGTCAGGGGGAAAGACACATCCAGAGGCAGGGGAAAAGAAAGAAAGAAAGAAAGATGAGCGAGTGAATAAAAAAAGGAAAAGTTTTGAGAGTACATGGGCTAGTTCAGACATGAAAACACAGTGAAACCAGTTGGTGCGGTGCTGAAATCAAAGAATGAAATCATGTCAACATAACATTTGTCTCTCATCACCAGCTCCTGCAGACATGGAGGTTACACGGCACATATTTGTCAGTGTGGTGTGAACATACCGATCGTGGAAATGTATGTGGAGTTGAAATTGTCCTCAGCGAAACGGATAATCAGACATGTTTTGCCCACTCCGCTGTCCCCGATGAGCAACAGTTTGAAAAGGAAATCATACTTTTTCGCCATGGTTGTAGTTTTTTCCCCTCAAAGTCAAAGCTCAGTTGGAAGAGGGGAAAGTTTGGGCTGTCTCTTCCTGGTAGTGATTTTCAACGACTTTCAGATTGGAAACCTCTACAATCAGAGTGAAACAAAGCTGTTTAAAAAGATTTCTTCATGTAAGGAGTGTATCCCCTTTCCTTTTTTTCTTCCTCTCTGACTTGTCACCGGTAAATTCCGATCCCCCTCCTTGCTTCTGTGCTCTTTGCTGGATAAAAAAACATAAACTCCATCCAAAGTTGGGCAGCAGGCTACAGCAGACCAGTCTTCATTGTTATTTGTGCTTCGAGTCCATTTCCAAAAGTCTCTTTATTGCTCCCTTTGGCAAACGTACCAGAGTGGCTACGTGTTTCTGCCTCCAGCGAAACTTGCCGTCGGCACAGATCCCAGATCCGCTGAAAAAGCTACGCACGCAGGGAGTCTCCACGGGAGTAACGGCTCCGACACTAGCCGCAGTTACCCACAGGATGGCGCTATTTTATTAAAAAACTTTTTAATTCACCAGTAAACTAGTACTTTGGGTGACTTTGGTATTGGGATAGCATTTATTGACTGTGTAATTTTATTTCTTATTGCTAGTGTTTCGCATAAATCGACCAATTATCCACAATTTCTGCTCTTAGAAAAAACTAAACTTCTTTACTCATGATAATTTCATGTGAACAGCAAATAAAGTTACTAAAGGGAAAAAGGACGTTTGTAAATCAGGCAAACCGAGCATATGTGTTTAAAATGTATTTTAGGAGCTAACATCTCGCGATATTTCTCAAAAATTAACCCCCAATGCAACTAACCAAAAGTAAAAAAAATAGTTTAGTAGACAGGGTAAAGTAAATCTGTTTCCATAAAATTTCGCACTACCCCCCCCCCCAAAAAAAATAAAAATAAAAATAAAAAATAAATAAATAAATAAATAAATATATATATATATATATATATATATATATATATATAATATAAATATATATATGAACTTTCAATTTAAAACTATGTATTTTAAGAGCTAATATCTCGTGATATTTAACCAAATTAAACCCCTTAATGAAGCTCACCAAAAGTCTAAATATTTCATAAATGGTTTAGGAAATGGAAAAGGAAATCTGATTCGATAAAATTTTCGTACTATCAAAAAAAGTTATCTAAATGTGAAAACTATCAATTTACAACAATGTACTTGAGAAGCTAATATATTGCGATATTTAACCAAATTAAATCCCTAATGAAGCTGACCAAAAGTCTAAAAGATTTCATAAATGGTTTAGGAAATGGAAAAGTAAATATGATTCGATAAAATTTTCGTACTATCAAAAAAAAAGTTATCTAAATGTGAAAACTATCAATTTACAACTATGTACTTGAGAAACTAATATATCGTGATATTTAACCAAAATAAACCCCTAATGCAGCTGACCAAAAGTCTTAAAGATTTCATAAGTGGTTTAGGAAATAGTTAAATAAATCTGATGAAATAAAATTTTCATATTATCAAAAACCGAAGTTATCTAAATGTGAAAACTATCAATTTAAAACTATGTATTTCAGGAGCTGATATCTCGCGATATTTAACCAAAATAGACCCCCCCCCCTCCCCCCATGCATGCAGCTGACCAAAAGTCTGAAAGATTTCATAAATAGTTTAAGAGGACAGGGTAAAGTAAATCTGATTCAATGAAATTTTCGTACTATCAAAAATAAAAGTTATTCAAGTGCGAAAACTATCAAATTAGAAAACCGACATCTTTTAAAACATCTGATTTATTTAAGAAATTTCTTCCGCCTCGTCTCTGCTCTCAGTCCGAAGTTTCCGGTGCGTCGTCAGTGTGTTTTTCCGGTGAGCACCCAGACAGCAGACATGCCAGTGAGTACATCTACGACATTTATATTTGGCTTGACTGTTAAAAAGTGTCGCTACGAGGAGGACATTGTGCGATGTTTTAATAGCACCGTCTTTATTTTAGAGTCAGCGGTTTTTCTGTTGTTATTATGGGCAAAATAAGATGTTAAAACAGTCGCAATATGGCGAGACACGTGTTACACAAAGCAGTCCACGCGGCAGCTTTTCGGAACACAAGTCTCAGCAGAATTTATGTCTTTTCACGGGACAAAAACTTGCATCTGTAGATGTCCCAGTTGATGATTGAATCATAAATCGAAGAGATCTAAGTTGATGATAGATCACTTTCGCTTTTGGTCGTAATCTTATTTCCTGTCTTTTGAAGGCTTCAAAGATTCATCGACCTTTGCTCCCTGTCATCGTTCAAAGTTGTTAAAGTAAATGTTTGTGTTTTTAACGCTGCAATCTCAATGTGAGAATACAAATCACCTTAACTATTGTCCATGATTTTTTTTCAGCTTGCAAAGGATCTGCTTCACCCCACCCCAGAGGAGGAAAAGAGGAGGCACAAGAAAAAGCGTCTTGTCCAGTGTCCTAACTCCTATTTTATGGATGTCAAATGTCCAGGTTAGTTTATATGTTTTATAGCAACCAGGTAAATATCTGGATGTTAGCAATTTAAAAAAAAAAAAGATAAATATTTTTAGTAATATAGCTATCTAAAATACCTTGCTAGAGTGTCATACAACTATACCTAAGACAACCAGGGCCCTCAGATTTGATAATGGGCAAACTTCACTTTGTTTAGTTAAATGATATTGAAATTCAAATCCATATGCAGGACTGTTACCATAAATCTACAAAACCCAATTCCATTGAAGTTGTGAAATTGTGATAAACGTAAATAAAAACAGAATACAATGATTTGCAAATCCTTTTCAACCTATATTAAATTGAGTACACTACAAAGACAAGATATTTAATGTTCAAACTCATAAACTTTATATATTTTTTGCAAATAATAATTAACTTTAGAATTTGATGGCAGCAACACGTGACAAAAAAGTTGGGAAAGGTGGCAAAAAATACTGAGAAATTTGAGGAATGGTCATCAAACACCTATTTGAAACATCCCACAGGTGAGCAGGCTGATTGCAAATCATGGTATTCTGTTTTTATTTACGTTTTTCACAATTTCCCAACTTCAGTGGAATTGGGTTTTGTAAATCATTATGAATTTTTTGTTTCCTATATAATGGATAAGGGCACCGCTCCAATATCCACAATATAATAACATCAGAAATAGGGCTGTCCTGATACGATATTGATATCGGATATCGGTCCGATATCAGCCAATAAACAAATATTTGATTATATCGGCCTGCATCTAAAATCTCCGATATCAGCACTCCGATACGAGCAGTCCATTCCAGACTCCACTCCGGCACCTCCAGCTAGCAGCGCCCTGATCTAGCACGCAGAGCCCATGTGATCACAACAACCGCGTGTACTAAGGTACTAACAAAGTAGAATGGAGTAGGAGTGATGTCGGCTGTGTGGCAGTATTTTTCGTTAAAGTTCGAAAAAGACGTTGCAGATGAGTGAAAAACTTGTCATGCACAAGTTTGTGCCAATATCAGATCAATATCGCTATCAGCGGATACTAAAGGCTACAATATCGGTAACGTATCAGAAGTAAAAAAGTTGTATCAGGACACCCCTAATCAGAAATATTTGCCTTTATGTGTTGCCCTTTCATCGCTCTCCTGGTGACCAGGGTGTCAATTAAGGCATACATCGACACTTGTGACTGTTTGTCTGTGTAATGAGTTTCATGTGACTCTTTACACAAACAGTTGCCAGGACACAGCAGTAATTCAAGATGATTGTGAGGTTTGGCTGGGTGTTGCATGTAGTGTTTCAGTTTGAATGTTAGCCTTGTGATTTCATGTGTGACTTTTCCTGCAGGTTGCTACAAGATCACTACAGTATTTAGTCATGCTCAGACTGTTGTGCTGTGTGTCGGCTGCTCCACGGTCCTCTGTCAGCCCACAGGAGGAAAAGCTCGCCTTACAGAAGGTAACGCTCCTTAGTGCCAATATTTCTGTTGGTTGAGTGTGAATTTTTCTAGTTATTGATTTGCAAATACATGAATCTTCGCCACCAAAATATAATATAAACTTGATTCGTTATTTTATTTTGCTGCTGTGTATTTACGTTGTAACCTCTTTTCTCCATCAACTTTTTTTTATAAAGTTGTATAGCATCCATGTGACACATATTTCTACATAAACATTAAGACCTTAACCCTGTCTGAGACACGCCTCTGAAATCCTGAGGGCAATTTTGAGAAGGGCCCCCAGATCCTGAGGTTTTCTGAAGTATTGAGGTTTATAAAAAAGCTGATATCTCAGCCTCTGTAGCAGATAGAAACAAAATTCAAAAAGTATTTGAGAACTTACATGTGTGGCTTTCAAGATAACTATTATCTATTTGTCCGAACCTTCATCATATTTTTGAAAACCTTGAACAAACAAACTTAAATGAAATAGAGCAGCTGTATAAATAAAAGTAAAGACTCTGCACTGGAGAATAACAAACTATTTGCGTTCTGTAAAACAAGTGGCAGTCATGATAAAGTGTCCATTCAATGCAAATGTAAAAATAAAAAGTAAGGTGCTAAAAAGGTATGCAGCTGCCCCAGTATAGTGCCAGTACAAAAGCAGCACTAAAAACTAAAAAATAAATAAGTGGGTGACAGTGCAAGACCCCCAATTATTACTGAAACTGTTAAAAATGAGAATACTTAAGTTTAATGCAAAAATGTCCTGCTGGTCTGTGCTGCACATGACACCTCTGACATTTGTGTATTTGCCTCTGTGTTGCCCTCTCATTGTTTTCTTCATGAACAGGGTGTCAACTGAGGCATACAGTAACCTTGCAGTTGTGACAGAAATTCTTCATCATTGATTTATTTCTACACAATCACTTGCAAGCACAAATACTTACTGTTCAGGTGTTTGTCTAAACCTCTGCAGACAACACAAACTCGTAAATGTGTGTTACACTGATGTTGTATCTGAATTGCTGTAGCCGGCTGAGTATATTGTAGCAACGATGATGCTCTGTAGGTAGTATTTTGGTGAATTGTTGAGCTCGAGGTCAAGGTATGTTCTCACTGACGCTCCTATTGTCTCACCCACTCCATCCTGTGCTCTGCTGCCGTGGTAACGAAGGGCTTTTCAGCACACTCTGCTGTGAGTTACTATGAGTACGGCTGCAACTGTTTGCTCCAGAACCACACTTATTTAGAAGTGACTCAGTTTCAAAAGGCAGATAATGTTAGTTCAAGCATTCTCTGTTGTATCCTTGGCCGTGAGTCAGTTTATACACTTTATACATAAAAGCCTGTCCTATCAGAAATAGCTTTTTTTCGTAAATGCCAAACAATTCTATGGCATTTAGAGGATGCATCGGCGCTTTAGTTTGTCGTTGAAAGAGCTGCAACAATTAGTGGATAGAAATGATGCATCTGGAGTGTCTATTCCTTTTTTTGTCATTTTGGAAAAGAAAAAGAAACGATCTGGTATCGGCCTGTGAAATGTCGACATTCTTCTACCTTTCCCTGACATTCAGGTGTTTTTTTTTTTTGTTTTCGGACTAACTGTAAAGACATTAAAGGTTCCTGTGAGGAATTTTAATTGGTAGTACAACAGACTAGAATTAATTCAGATGAGACTTAATGGCCTACAACAAGTCTGAGAACAAGACCAACAGGAATGTGGTTTATTTATTTATTTATTTTTTGGAAACATAGTTTTGATGTGCACAGATTTCATGAAACTCTGGTCTAGTTTTCGATTACTGATGTTGGACTTCCAGAAGAGACTTTTTTTTTGTCCTTGTGGTGCCGTGTCATGCCTTCGTCCATACAGTAGCAGTTTTTGATCTGTGTGAAGTAGGTCAGTTTGTTACATGGAGGCTCCACTTTAGCTGACTCCTGCAGGATGAGTCTGAAAAAGAAACAGATTTTCTTATTTGCCTCAAATGAACTGGTTTCAAGTCTGTAGAATCAACATCATGATGTGAGGGGAAGAAGCAAATATTGTCAGCACTGTCTCTAAGAGGAAAGTAAAACTGAAATAAGTTGCTATATAACTTTAAACTTTTCTTATTAGACAGCTAATTGTTAATTTTACACCTTGCTTAAATCACCTCACTCATAATTGTCTGTATCTTTCTCCAGGATGCTCATTCAGGAGGAAACAGCATTAGTATGACACACAGCTGGGGAGGAGAGTGAATGGAGCAACACTGCCATGGAGCTGCCGAAGCTTTTAGGAGAAGGATGGCATGACTACAAACCCTGTCAAAGAAGAAATCGATCTACACAATCAGCACAAAGGAATGCTTGGTGGTGTTGGGATCCCACCTTTAACATCTATCTATTAATTCTGCTCTCAATAAACTTAGGTCGTTCTTTTGGTAAAATAATCTTGCATGTTTGTCTTCCACTTTCTTCTGACTCTCAGACGTGACTTGCCTGGTTAAAGCACTTGTCCGCTCAGGTCCTTTAAACTTGTGATGATATAAATAAGTAGATTTTAATACTCTGACTTTTGGTATCCTGCAAATGTGCTGATATATGGCTTCTGTTGAGCGATTTCTGTACCAGTAAATTCTACATAATAAGAGACTTTTAGTGAAATTACATGAAAATACCTTTTACTACAGAGTTTTGCTATGTACAATTTGCACTTTGCCTTATGGATGCTGAATGATCTGCATTCAAACTTACAATAAAATCCACATCTAACATATGTCATGTATACCTGCCAAACAAATACCAGAGTAAAGTTAACACTTAAGGCAGACGGATGTTTTGCAGGGTTGTGTGTCTCGGTGTGGGTGATTCAGGGAGAGTCAACTCACTATGCTCGAGTGTCAATGACTTAAAATGACATCAACTGGTTACGCTTTGGTTTGTGATTTTATCTTTGCTTGGAAGCTTCATGTTAAAATGATTAAATATTTCTGAATGAGTTGGAATAATTAAAATCCACAAATGTGGGAATATAAAAATTGTAAGATAATGGACTATAAACTCTTCGCTCGTATTGTTCAATCACTGCTTTTGCTTAAAGTTGTGAGCAGGTATTCTATTTGCTCAGTCTACGTGAAAGCACACTGAATATAGAGCTTAACTTGGGATGGGGGCAGATGGCAACTCATTTTTGTTATTGTGAAGTTTGTCTTGTTAATTAGACAGAGTTTACAAATAAATCATTAACAGGAACGTAATCTGTGTGCCTTTTTGTTGCTGAGTCACTATAAAAGGATAAAATACCATTTGTTTAACTACATCCATTTCTAACAATAAACACTTGAATCCATAGTTTATACTTTACATAAAAGTAAAACTACTCCCATCCTTTTTTCTAATAACGTGTTTATGGTCAAAGTTTGGTGAGGGAAGGCTTTAAATTTAAAATATCCTTAAAATGATTTTCACTTCTTTGCTATCGTCAGCACAGTAATTACTGATAGCTATTCGCATAAGCCATAAACTGACAAGGTTGCATTTGTGAGGTTGTAGATTTCTACTATGCAATACCAAAATTCTCACAACCATCAAAAATATGTTTATAGAAAATAAAATAAATAGTGCATTATACATATATTTATGATGTGTTATAATTTGCTTATAAACTTGTATAACTACAGTTGTAAACACTCATAAATGATCATAATGATTTATAGCAATAATTATGACACATTATAAAGCATTTTATCATGACTTACAAGGTCAGGTATTATAAAGTGTTATGTTTATTGTTATAAAGCCTCATAATAATTAATGAATGTTTATAATGATAGTTATACAAGTTTATAAGCAAATTATAACACATAAATATATGTATAATGCACTATTTATCTTGGCATTGTCAGTGAGTAGTTAACAGTTATAACACATTATAATACCTGTTTTTGTAAGTCATGATAAAATGCTTTATGTGTTATGATTATTGCTTTAAAGCATTATGATCATTTATGAGTGTTTATAACTATAGTTATACAGTGCTATAACCTGATTATAATGCATTATACATATATTTATAATGCATTATAGAGATAGGCTTCAAATAAAGTGTTACCAAAAAAACCAACACTATAAATCCTGTCATGTACAAGCTGTTAGCAGATCTCTGAAATAGATTCAGCATAGAGGAGCTGAAAGGCTACTTCTGAAAGACTGCATCTCTACAACAACTCTACAAAGCCAAGTGTTACTGAGAGACTGGGCATTTTATTTGTTACAGGTTTTTTTTGTAAAGGTACTTTCAGCACTGACTGGTATCTGTGAAAGTGTAGGCAGGGGGTGCTCAAGCGCTAGGTTTGCACTCTGGGAGAGGGCACTTTGAGCTGTTAGTCTCATTGACATGCATTATGTGTGAAATGCTGGCTGATGAAAGTTTCTCCTGCATTTCAAAGCTTTAGGTCAGAGTTAGAGTAGAATAATTTGATTTCTCAAAGCAAAAAGACAACCACTGACTATTTTTTTGTTGTTGTTTTTCACAGTGATGTGAAATTCTTTGACAATGGAGTGCTGAAGGTCAAAGAGTTATGACATGGAGGTCCAGTACACAGTCCTGTTCATTCAGAAACTCTAAATTTTTCTGGATTTTTAAAATGATCTCGGCCTCTGCTGTTACACCTGAGTGACAGTTTGCTTTCTCATTGGTGTGGTGCCTAGTTATGATGCATCACGCCTGGAGAGATACAGAGATTGCAGGAATGATATGCACATAAGCGTGGTCACAGAGGAAGGTGTTGCTTGGGTTCATTGTACTGCAGACCAAAACCCGTCTGTTGAGCGCCGAAGTCATCTGTGCCAGGTCATCTGCGAGTGGGAGGAAGAGAGGAGGATTGGACGGGAGGATCGATAGCGAGGTGCAGGAAAAGTCATTCAGACACATGGCCAGATGAGTTTTTACAGTATTGATCTGTGCAGTTTGTATTCTCATCTCAGCTTTAAATCTAATTAAATGAAAGGTGCTGAATAAAAAGATTAAAATAGGAGAGGAAGCACAGCTCAGAGGTTACAGCAGTGTGAAAGATGGAGAGGAGAGGTGAGGAGTGTGTGGCCTTTGCTGTACAAGGATGAAAACACATACAGCACATTAGAGAAACCTTGGTCGGCTGCACACACACACAAACACACACACATGTATGCACAGCCTTTTCTTTAGGAGTACTTGGCCAAGGGCAGAGCAATTATGCATCGTTGGCATCTAGTGCACAATTAGCTGAACTGATCTCGAAAGAGTAAGATCTGGCTGACCCCTTGTGTCTTCATGGAAACGACCTCTAGCAGAACCAGAGCCAGAGTCAGGGCTGCTTGTCAGGACCTTCTGAGCACAGAGAAGAGCCGTGTCCTGTCACACATGGACACAGAGAGCAGGTCACAGGGAGGCTGGTATCTCTGCGACACAACACAACAACACACAGATGTCACAGCAAACAGTGTCAGTATGTTTGGGGGGGGGGGGGAAATCCCATTTAGCATATTCTGTTGGAGACATCTTCTCCGGTTGACCGCAGAGACAGGTTCCAATGAAGGGCACACAACAATTATTAGTATCACTTTATTTCTTCAGGTTAAAAAAGGCAACTAAAAAATATAATAATAGTCAAAGTAGAGCCACATTTTAAAGTAAAACAATGCAACTGTTAACCAACCAGCTATCTTAGGACAATAGCAAATATTGTCGTTTTTTTTCTAAATTACACTATTGAAGCTAACATTATATTAGCCATAAGGAAGGTTTATTTATTTCTAAAGTAAATATGTTTGCATGGATTTAAACCTTACCTATTGTTTTATGTAAAACGACCAGACAATAATGTAACGTTTCAGTAATAAGTATTACCAGTAGTTAATGGGTTAATATTCAGTGTAAACTTGAAATATGATGAGAAGTTTTGCCTTATTTGTACCAGAAAACAGCCAAAAGGCAGTTTTGTTCCCGGACACTTTTTTTTTTTTCTAGCAATGTGAACTGTCTCGTGGAGTTATTAAACGGGTTATCCAACAAACCCCCTGGAGGGAATGACCACATTACAATGATCAAATAACTGAGTGGATTGGGAACATAAAATCACTGCCATAGTGAAACATGTTAGCTTTCCATCCTCGGTACAACATAAGTGAAAAATGGCTGCCATGTGAAAGTGGTCTATCCTTAACTTCATAAAAACCTCAGTGATGTTATCCGTGGTTACTGAGGCAAGGTTTTGGAAGCCCATTGAAAGCAGACTCCATGTTTCAAACACTTACTCAACAGGTATAGTTATGGCGGGCGTTTAGCCTCCTAGCTAGCAGCTACAGTGTGCATACATGTTACATGCAAAAGTTGTAGTAAAGTAATCAGAGTTAAGTCAGAATAAAGTCCTTATATGCTAACCTGCTGTTTAAGATAACAGTTGTTAAAATGAGAGTCATGGAGCATTTCGTAAAAGTGTACTTCAATATAGGTTTTTCAAGCAAGGGGATACTTCAGCTTTTGGCACATCAGCACCAAATTATCATAAGTATCATGATTTTATTACAATTTTGTTCTTGTAATTACTTTATTACGACTTTATTCTCATAAATAATTAATGACTTTATTACAACTTTATTCTCGTAAATAAGTAACGATTTTATTACAGCTTTTTTCTCTTAAGTAATTACTTTATTATGACTTTATTCTTGTAAATAAGTAATGATTTTATTACAACTTTATTCTCGTAAATAAGTAACGATTTTATTACAGCTTTATTTTCGTAAGTAATTACTTTATTATGACTTTATTCTTGTAAATTAGTAATGATTTTATTACAACTTTATTCTTGAAAGTAATTACTTTATTACAACTTTACTCTTGTTAGTAATGACTTCATTCTTGTAAATTAATGACTTTAATCTCAAAGTCTTACATTTTATTAATGTGGCCCTAATACCTTGTCTTACTATTTGTATCAGGCTACATTAAACACTTTTTTGCTCCAAAGATCTTTTTTTCTAAATTGGTGTGTATGCGGCTTCCAGTGACTCTGCAAATGCAGTTTTTAACACTTCTACGTTGGCTTAATTTCTCAAGATTGTGGGTAGCTATACTCGCTTTTTTCCCCCCAGTGTACAGGGTGAAATTTAAACTCAACTCAAGGAGTTTTCTGATTTACTAATCTGTTGCCTGCATGCCTTTGACAGCTCCATACAAAAGCAGGTGGAGATAACAGGATGGTAAAAACATAATTTGCAGCACTCAGTGTAATTACTGTAATAATAATGGCTTTGATGATTCTGGTTGATCAGTATCATAATAAGCCTTTTCCATTATCTCCCTATTTGTCCCTGTGAGGGATTATCCTGCCTGTAATGTTGAAAAGACCCTAAAAAAGAGCCAAAAATGTTACTGTATTAATTATGAGGGAGAAGCAGTATAACCTGGTCTGCCTCAGTTATACTGTGCTATGTATGGAGACCCTGAGGAGAGACTGACAGAAACGAAAGATATTCAGACATAACAGGTCTAATGTCTTCTTTACCTACAGGCTATAAATCTATATATATAACCAAATATAAGAGTACATGTGTGTTCGATAATTACATCCGAAGGGCGAATGTACTTTGATGCGCATATTTCACCATCTCACAGACGTCCTTAGAGTTGGGTTCCCCTTCAGTTCCAGAGCATCATAGTTAATATGAGCCTACTTACGCCTAAGGACACCATCATACACTACATGTAGTTTCACACATACACACACTGCCTTGCATCCCCACACGCATAGAAACTGTCAAACACACACACTCAAACAACACACACAGGAGTTCTGGTCACTGTGATGGATGCTCTCCCTGAATGGCCGTGAGTATAAAAAGCTCGGCGACCCGGTGAAAACAATCAGTCATGTCAGTTTGTCACAGCTTGAAATTAATCATTCCTGTTTCTGAGATAATTTCCTGCATTAATAATTCTGACCATGTAGCTTAAATAGGCTGATATGAGCACATGTGTGTGTGTGCCAGCACCTTGTGGGAAAGAACATTTAGGGTGATGTAGAGGAGTCCGAGGGGACATTAAGGGGGAGATGGGGATATCTAACTGCACCCCCCTTTGGTCAAACCCTCTCAACTACAGCTTTGTTCTCAAGAAAAGAGAAGAAATCAACAGCAGGATGGATACAGGGATAAATCATCTTTGTGCAGCTTTAAGATACAAAGTATGAAAATATTTGATCAGATCATCTTCCTG